GGAGAGGTGGGAGTAAGGATAACACAGGGAGGAGGGGGGGTAAGAGTAAGGATAACAAAGGGAGGAGGTGGGGTGGGAGTAAGGAGAACACAGGGAGGAGGGGGTGGGAGTAAGGATAACACGAGGAGGAGAGGTGGGAGTAAGGATAACACAGGGAGGAGGGGGGGTAAGAGTAAGGATAACAAAGGGAGGAGGTGGGGTGGGAGTAAGGAGAACACAGGGAGGAGGAGGGGTGGGAGTACGGATAACACAGGGAGGAGGGGGGTGGGAGTAAGGATAACACAGGGAGGAGGGTGGGAGTAAGGAGAAAAATTACAATAATTGCCATTATAGGGTTAAGAGTGATGGGAGTTTGCACCCAGACTACTTAAATGAGCTGAAGTAGTCTGGGTGCCTATAGTACTCATCAGTGACATCAGTATTATTCACTGAACAGTGAATTATCTGGAACTCCTATTTTAGTTTGGAATTTCAAAAGGGAATTTCACATATGAGGCAATAGATGGTGAACATTCTATTGTCCACTAATCCAGACAGGGACTTCGGGTGGGGGAATTAAATGTGATAATGGGGGTGGATATGTTATTGTATCGTTCTTATAAAAAAAAAAATAAGAAACTTAACTTTTTATCAATGGGGAGCTACTGATTGGCTTAGAGCGTAAGCTGATGCTTTCGTAGAATTACTTATTTCTGACTTCAAGACTTCTCCAGTGCTGCACCTATTCTGTGGAAATCCCTTCCCTCCTCAATCAGACTTTCACCCAGCCTCCACTCCTTCAAAAAATCTTTGAAAACTCACTTCTTCATTAAAGCGTATCAATTAAACTGTCAGCAGGTTTGTCATCCCCCACCCCATGACTCCGTTCCTGCACCTGTCAAAAATGACCTACCAAGCACTCAATAAACCCTTCTGTAACAAACTATTTAATTCCCCTACTTTAACCCTTTGTGTCACTATACCCCACTCCCTCTAGTATGTAAGCTCATCGAGCAGGGTCCTCAACCCCCTCTGTTCCTGTACGTCAGTGGTCTGATCTCAATTATGTGTCTGTTAGTCCACCCATTGTACAGCGCTACGGAATTTGTTGGCGCTATATAATTAATAAAATAATAATAATAATAATATAGAATTACCTGCACAATGGATTATGTCATTTATAAAGTCACTTGCCCTTGCGGCCTATCCTATGTGGGTAAAATCACAAATAAATGGAGGGAAAGAATCAGGGACCACAGATCCTCCATCAGGACTGGAATATGTAATAGAGCTTCGGACAAACCTGTTGCGTGCCATTTTCTTCAGATGGTACATTCTTTGGTATTGATCATATCCCTATATCCCCACATGAGGGCGATAGAGACACTGAACTCATGCGCCAGGAAGCATACTATATCTATACCCTTGACATTGTTGCATCTCGGGATCTGAATAGAAAAAAAACACCTAACATATTTCTTTTGCGTAGCGTTTGATTAATTCATGGCCAGGCTACCCATATATTTGAATGGCTAATTTTGATTTATTTTATCCCTTATCTTGATGTATTTGAGATCCCTGGAATCAAACTACATATTTACTTTTTTGCCAGCATTATTTAAATTTTTTTTTTTTTTTTGTCATTTTGAAAACTAGAAACATAGTACTCAGGTTTTATTGCTGTGTATTATCTATTCATTATTTTAGTTTGTTTCTCATTACATTGTAATAAAGACACTTTATCACAGTATTTCATCATTTGGCTACAATAACTGTTCTCAGTGTATCGCTTCATACTTCATAGATACTTGTCACATTCTGGTTATGGTTTTTTTTTTTCAGGACTGAAACATTGACCTTATTGTTGACCCTTTACCTGGTTCTCACAATAAAGCAGATGTTATTACCTTATTAAGACCTCAGGGTGCTCTCTATCAAATATATATGGCGGGGTGACATAAATAGCAGAAGATGTGCCTGAAAGTGAAAGGTGCAGGTTGGATGAGAATAGCCAGAAAAAGTAAATAACTCTTCTTGACTCCTCTGTGTATTTACTTTTCCTGGCTATTGTAAGCCAACCTGCACCCCCCTGATCAGGTCTGGTGTCTATAGTGAGCATATGTGCTGGAGGGAGAGACTGATTTTTGCCCTAAAGTTTTCCCGAGAAGTCTCCCGAGAATAACAGTACCCCACATGTACAGGTTTTATGGTGTTCTGGAAAGTTAGAGAGTCACATATAAGGCTTGCATTTAATTTATTTGACATTGAAATTTGCCAGATTGGTTATGTTGCCTTTGAGAGCGTATGGTAGCCCAGGAATGAGAATTACCCCCATGATGGCATACCATTTGCAAAAGTAGACAACCCAAGGTATTGCAAGTGTGGTATGTCCAGTCTTTCTTAGTAGCCACTTAGTCACAAACACTGGCCAAATATTAGTTTTTTGCTTTTTTCACACAAAAATAAATATGAACGCTAACTTTGGCCAGTGTTTGTGACTAAGTGGCTACTAAAAAAGACTAAACATACCCCACTTTCAATACCTTGGGTTGTCTACCTTTTCAAATGGTATGCCATTATGGGGGTAATTCTCATTCCTGGGCTACCACACCATCTCAAAGGTAACATTACTAATCTGGCAAATTTCAATTTGAAAATGTAATGTGCTATATTTGACCCTGTAACTTTCCAAAACACCATAAAACCTGTTAATGGGGGGTACTGTTGTACTCGTGAGACATTGCTGAACACAAATATGTGCATTTTTTTGCAGTAAAACCTAACAGTATTATGACATTAACAGCTAAAATGTCAGACGGAAATACAAATATTAAAAAAAATCTTATTTTCTCACTTTTTTTTTATTATATTCATAATAAATTATGTTCCATATATGAAAAGTTAATGATAAATTAAAGCCCTGTTTCTCCTGAACAAAATGATATATAATAAGTGTGGATGGACTTAATATGAAAGAGGTGAATTACGGTTGGACAGACATATAGCGCAAATTCCAGTTTTTGTTTACGTTTTGTTTTGATCAGAACGTGCACTATTGACTCCGTCCTGAAGGGGTTAATCCGTTTTGTATCACGCTCAGCCAGACTGTGGACAAGTTAAGACTTGTATTTTACCTGGGCTAGTTCCTGCTGGGTAACCCCCCACCAATGGTGTGCGTGGGGCACTGTGGGTGTGAATTGCATGCTGGCTCCTTATAATAGATAGGCGTGGTAACCAGGCTGAGACCTGAATGTCATGTTTGTCTCCGGCACTGATTGGGGACAATGTGTCACTCCCAGGCTCTTTCCTCATTCTCACCCAGGCAGAGCGATTTCCCTGCTGACCGCTGCTGAGTGCTGGGATCTGCAGGCTATTTACAGCAGCTGTTCGACTCCTCCTACAACAACAGACACAGAAAGAACTTTGAAACCAAACACAGAACAGAACTCCAGAGAACTAAACACCGGGTGAAAACACACAGGGTGGAGGGGAGTCACAATGTATCTCTCTTGGACACATTAACACACAAAGTTCCAGGAGGACACAGGCAAAGCCCGAATACAACATACCAAGCACACACTGAATCCAAGTAGCCTACCAGAGCTGTCAGACTGCCACCATGGTAAGTGCAAGCCTGTGTTTCACGATAGAACATGGGGTAGGCTCCCTCTAGCTACCCTGCATTCCTACCACCACCACCCACAGCCTCACCTTCTTTTCTTTAACAACTACTCCCATCACCCTAATCAGTCACAGGTGAAATAAAGCCACCTTCTGTCTCCCCTTCCCCACAGCTTGCATTTTATTTCCTACTTGTTTCACTTTCAAATGTGGTTAGGAAATGTTTCATTAGGGACAGAGTAGTGCATAGCGAACTTTCAAAAAGATATTCTTTAATGAATTGTGACTAAGAATGTAAATCCACTAATTTAAGTATTGCTCGACCTATTGACATATTTTATAAATGCATAATGAAACGTATCAGCTGTTTTTACAAAATGATAACCTATTAGTCTGTATTTGTTTACATGATTTAGTTCTTTTTGGGAGTTTATCTAATATTTAAATACTCTAGACATGAGTTAATGTCTAAATAGTTGTGTAATAGGATCTCTGGTGCTTTACACACTCTCTTTAATATTAAGATTTTAGTTATTTTTTCAGAAGTCTGCTCATCCGGAGACAATAAGATTTTGTCACTTACATGGGCTGGTCTAAGACTTTGTGCTGCTTGGTTTCCCAACAGTTTTCAGAAATTCCCATTTCATCAACTCTCCTTGACACCATCTCATGAATTGCACATCAGCTGATTTCATCTTCTGCTCTTGCCATAACACATTTAAATATAGATATTCACATTTTTATTTGCTCTAACAGTTATTCATATATTCTTTTTCCAGTTAATATGCCCCTAAAACTGTTCCTTCTTGGCAGGTTATGCCCCTGTCCCCAGTCTCCCTTTATCTACCCCATCTATCCTCTCTTGTTGCCTGCCATATTCCCATTTCCACTGCCTCCAAATTGTTATTCCTTTTCTATTTAACATCATAACTTCTTAAAATAAAGCACTTTCAGTACTGTTTAGCAACGTTGGTATTTAAGGACACATGTGTTTTGTGTTGGGGCTGACCATGTAAAAGTTCCATTGCAAGTTTACTGTTCTGGTTGCAGGATAATTGCTGTTAATTAGAGATGTTTCAGATACATATTTATTAACATAATGACTGGTGTGGGGCTGGGACTTGGTCTGGATTCTGAATTCCCCGCACTTTGTCTCTCTATATCTGGTGATTTGTAGGTCCATGACTTGTGATTTATTTTGTCTTTTCTTCATCTTCCATCCCTTCTTTGCATTCTTGCTCTCCTATTTTTCTCTCTTTCCCTTTTTTTCAGTGGTTCAGGGGTTGCTGTCACATTTCCCCTGGCTCTCTCTATGGTTGTCCTCTCTCTGTGTGTATACAATAGCCGGTATTATTGAAGGTAGCTTTTTGTTTTATTGTTTTGCCCTCACAATGACATATCAACCTTTACACCTCACATCCCAAAGTATAAAACAACTTAATTCCCCTAACAAAAGGCATTTAATGCTTAGGTGTATTATATTAAATATGTTAAATGATCCAAAGCTGCCATCATCCTCTTAAAGGAGACAAGACTTCTCAAAGACTTCCCTACTAACTGATCACACTTACACTAGATGTGTCTACGGCACCCACGCCAAGCACAATGTGTCTCTTGAATTTTCTCTTTCACCTCTGTCATTTGACAAGTGGTCATAGAGCTTGTCTTTCCTACAAGTCAACAGCGCCACCATCACCTCTACATTGCAGGCTCACTGCCTAGGTGTTCTCTTGGACTCCGACCTCTCCTTCACCCCTACTGTCCAGTCGATCGCAAAATCCTGCCGCTTCCATCTCAAAAACAGATCCGCCCTTATTTAACATCAGACAGTTCTTTCTCGCCTTGACTACTGCAATCCCCTTCTCAGTGGTCTTACGTGTTCCCAGATTGCACCCCTGCAAAGGGATTATCTGGCCTAGCTGTCCTTGGAGTTTGTGACTGAAACATACCATACTTAAGGACCTATAGTCACCCATCTCAATGAAGGTGTCTGGGTGCAGTGATCATTTTAGTTTTAATTCTGCAAAGTAAAACATTGTACTTTTTCATAAACAGCAGTGCTTACATTCAAGTCCACCTCTGTATTTCTCCTCCTTACCAAGTAAAATTCAGTCTGTGAATCAAAAGCTGCAGCATTTTGCTACGCATGCTATCTCAAATCCGTGTGACCTCAGATGGAGATAGAGGCTGCAGCTGAGTAGTTACAGAGTTGGAAACAAGGTAATTTTATTTTACTTAATTTTTTACACCACAAAAGGTGGTGGACAGAAGAGAACCTATAGTCCAGAAATAAAAAATATATATTTTTGGGACTATAGGTTCTTTTAAGAGCTCACATTACTTTTGTGCTCCAAATTTACTTTTTGGGGAATAATTACAGAGAGTTTCCCATGCTCATGAATTAGGCTGTGATTAGAGGCCCGTTTATACAGATTTCTTCCCACTGTAAAAAGCAGACGCATGAGGCCCTTTTACTCTGTGTGCAGAGCCTATGAATTGGGAATTTAGGCATAAATCAAATCCCTCCCTGGACATTATGAGAAACCCCGATAGGAGAAGGTCTGAACTTAGGAAACCTATAAAGGAGGATTGTTGTGGTTCAAACAGACCTACTGTGAGAAGGCGAATAAAATGAACACTCTTCTGGCAAGACGGTTGCGCCTTAGCTTGCATTTCTAATTTACTTGGGACAGACAGATCACCATTAAGCCATGTAAAATAGCCCAGACCCTTTCAGACTTCCTGGTCAGCTTATACAGTTTATATACAGACCTTCTCATACTCTCTGCAACAGTGTGCTGATAAGCATGATAGATTAATTTGTGGAGCAGCTGGGTGTCTACCATTTTTCTTTCATGAACAAAAGGTAGCACTGGAGAGGTTTTCTGCCTTACACTCTTCCTTTAATCTACATAACATAATTATGATTCGAAAGAGTAAGGGGAACACTTGTCTCCTGACAGCTATCGTCCCATTTTAATTGTTGACACTCAGTAGTTCCCTATTCCCAAAAGGCTTGAGACAAATATGTACATTTCTCAAGCCATTTTGTGATTGGGGAGCTACTGATAGGCTATGAAAGTCAGCTGATGCTGTCAGTCTATCAGCAGCGTCCAATCCAAGGTTTCCTGTTTCAAGCCTCGGATTCAAACAAATGTGTAAGTGGCAGAGCTGACTGGCTCTGGATAGAAGACTTTGGGGTTAAATGTTTTTTTAAAAGGTTAAGTAGCAAGGTACGCTGGGTACAGGGACCTCCAGCCACCATAACAACCTAATTCTAATTGAGTTATTATGGTGCCTGGAGTGTGTCTTTAAATTAAGTTGTTGTTTTTTTAATTAATATCTTATAAAGGAACATTTTACATGTTCGTAATAGGAGAAACTTTCACTCTCTTATTTTTTTTTATGTAACTTACACAAACAGTTTCATAGCCTCCATCCACTCAGGTTTGAATCGTGCTTCAGCTAGTCTGCATCTATCTAGAATGATGTAAATATAAGATAGTGCAGATAAACAACTAGGAGTCACCCAGTGAAACTTAATCACTGTGCAGTAACCTATCATTACTTAATCCATCAAATGACTCAAATTATAACCCAAACCGATAGCTGTGCAATTAAATTGGAAGAAGAGGTCTAGTCCGGGAGTACAGAAAGTGTCTAGAATACTACGGCAGAAAAAACCTTCAATGCTCGAATTTCTCAATATGTCATTCCCAGCTCTCAGAGTTTCACTAAAGCAAGAATTGTTGTTCAAAGTGATATTAGAATTTAAGGGCAAAGTAACCAAATTGGCAACAATGCTGATTTGGAAATTGTTTCCAATTTGACTATTTTGGCCTTAAATGTAAAATGAACTTTGAATTCCCAACAGTTCTCACTTTAGTGAATAACCCTGTTTTTGTTTAACCCCTTAAGGACCAAACTTCTGGAATAAAAGGGAATTATGACATATCACACATGTCAAGTGTCTTTAAGGGGTTAAACTGGGATCATATCCAGTCTTGACTCCAATAACCTTCTTCATATTGGACTTTCTAACAGCCATTTGAGGTGTAAATACTAAACAATGAGATGGTGAACATGATTTAAATTATAAAATCAAGGCAAAGATTTGGGAAGATTTTCTAATTTATGTATTTTGGCACATGTTTTCCAATTTAGTTACAAAATGCAGCTGCAAACTTTTAATTTACTCTGCTCCATTCAGCCAGGCAAATATAATGCAAACACACCTGCGCTTTAGCTCCATCCTGTTGTCACTCAATTTTAAGAGGAAGTGGTGAGACATAGAAAGAAAAGAAAACAGCTGTGCCAAGCTCTTGCATCCCTGATGTGAATGTAGGCTATATAGCTAAGCTATACAGCCACTCCTGACACCATAAACACTACTGTAGTCTTGTTGTTATGCTTGGAGGCTTCCTTTAACCCCTTAAGGACACATGACATGTGTGATATGTCATGATTCCCTTTTATTTCAGAAGTTTGGTCCTTAAGGGGTTAAAGGACCACTATAGTGCCAGGAAAACCTACTCGTTTTCCTGGCTCTATAGGGTCTTGGGTCCCCCTCACCCTCTGGGCCGCCCTCCCGCCAGGCTCTAGGGTGAGGAAGGGGTTAATCCCTTACCTTTTTTTTCAGCGCCGGGCTCCATCGGCGCTGGGGACTCTCCTCCTCCTTTCCCCGCCATCGGCTGAATGCGAAGGCACGAGCCGCACGCACATTCAGCCATTCTCATAGGAAAGCATTCTCAATGCTTTCCTATGGATGCTGGCGTCTTCTCACTATGAAAATCACAGTGAGAAGTGTGGAAGCTCCTCTAGTGGGTGTCAATGAGACAGCTACTAGAGGCTGGATTAACCCATAGGTAAACATTTCTGAAACTGCTATGTTTACAGCAGGCAGGGTTAATCCTAGATGGACCTGGCATCCAGACCACTTCATTAAGCTGAAGTGGTCTGGGTGCCTATAGTGGTCCTTTAAGCAGAAGCTCAACATTTTTATTATTACTATTTAAAGTAATAGGTGACGTATTATAGCCTATGTTTGAAATATTTTGTAATCCATGCAATAAAAAAAAATATTTATTTTCAATGCATCTCCTGGCTTAGCCTTGCAATATGGAGGCTGCCATCATTAAAGGGACTCTCCAGGCAGAGAATTTTACTCACCTGGTTCCAGCGCCTGGAGCCTCGTGAAGCCGCGCCCCCTATTTCGTCAAAATTACGAAATAGGCGGGTGCGAGCAGGGAGCAATCAGACGCTTCATGACGCCCTCTGAAGTCCGGAGTGCAATACCGTGCATGCGCGCGGTGTGCGTGGCCACAAGCTGAGCTGACTGACAGCTCAGCTCGCGGTCTTTGCGCGCCCCCTTTCCTCTGCTGACAGGCAGAAGAGAGAAGGCGCGCACACAGTGCCTTCTCTCTCCTGCACACATTAGACGGATTTTAATACGTCTGACGTGTACAAGGCCTTTTTAGGGCCCTGCATGATAGGAAGTCAATCTGGTGGCCGTCTGAGTGACGGCACTGGAGGTATTCCTATCAATCAATGTAAACAATGTATTTTCTCTGAAAATACAGTGTTTACATTAGATTGCCTGCAGGGAGCTACAGATCATACCTGAACAAATACATTAAGCTGTAGTTGTTCAGGTGACTATAGTGTCCCTTTAAGCCTCTTAGATCTAAAGCACAGACTATATTACATTCAACCTTTTATTTTCAGTAATAATAAAGAAAAAAACTGACAGTTTTCCATAATGCTGTCAAAAAAAGTTGTAGTTCTACAAAAGCTGAGAATTTACACTGATCAGCCATAACAGTAAAACCACCTGCATGATATAGTGTAAGTCTCCCTCATTCTGCCGAAAAAGCTCTGATGCATCGAGGCATGGACTCCACAAGACCTCTGAACATGTCCTGTGGTATCTGTCAGCAAGAAATTAGCAGCAGATACTTTAAGTCCTGCAAGTTGCGAATTGGGGCCTCTATGGATTTGTTGTTCCAGCACATTCCACAGATGCTCATTAATATTGAGATTTGGATAATTTGGATGCCAAAGCAACATCTTGAACTCTTTGTCATATTCCTCAAACAATTACTGAACATTTTTTGCAGTATGGAGGGTTGCATTATCCTGCTGAAAGAGGCCAATGCCATCAGAAAACCATTGAAGTGAAGGGGTGTACATGAGCTGCAACAATCTCTAGGTAGGTGGTATGTGTCAAAGTAACATCCACATGAATGCCAAGACCCAAGGCTTCCCAGCAGAACATTGCTGAGGGCATTACACTGCCACTGCTGACCTGCCTTATTCCTATAGTGCATCTTGCTGCCATCTCTTCACAAGGTAAATGACACACACGCACCCAGCTATCCACCTGATCTAAAAGAAAACATGACTTACCAGACCAGACAATCTTCTTCCATTGCTTCATGGGGCCGTTATGATGCTCACATCTACATTGATAGTGCTTTCGGCAGTGCACAGGTGTCATCGTGGTCACTCTGACTGATCTTCCCCATACGCAGAAAACTGTAATGCACTGTGTGCTCTGACACATTTCTATCATGGCCAGCCTTAGATTTATTTATTTATTTTTTATTTTTTTTAGCAATTTGAGCTTAAAGGGACAGGCCAGGCACCAAAACAACTTAATTTAAATGAACATTTTAACCTCTTGTGGTAAGAGTGCCACCAGGGGCCTCCTGACACCATAACAAATTGATTTAATTGATGTTGATTTGGTGCCTGGAGTGTCCCTTTAAGTAGCTCTTCTGTGTGAAAGGACCAGACAGGCTAGCCTTTGTTCCCCACGTGCATCTGTGAGCCTTGGATGCCCATGAACCTGATTGTCCTTCCTTGCACCACTTTTGGTAGGTACTAACCACTGCATGCCGGGAACACCCCAGAAGACTTGGCTGTTTTGGAGATGCTCTGACCCAGTCATCTTACCATTGCTATTTGGCCTTTGTCAAAATCACTCAGATCTTTTTGCTTGCCTATTTTTCCTGTTTCCAACACAGGAAATTTAAGGGTTCACTTTCTGCCTAATATATCCCACCACTTGACAGGAGCCATTGCATGTCTCTGAACCATCCTGATTTTGGTGGGACAGTCCAGATTTTCAGGTCCTCTCCCACCATCCCACCTTAGTTCCCTGCTGTCCTGCTTTTGGGGACTCCCCTCCAGCATTCATGGCATGAGTGCATCATAAGACATGCTCGGGCTATGTCCAAGGCACTAGGACTCTGCAAGGTGCACTGAAACTGTCTCGCCCTGAGTGATGGACAGGCAGCCTGGTGTGTATTCACACTAGGTTGATCTGCCATTAAGTTGGGCGACTCGATCACCTCACTGCTTTTACCTCCCTTCCTCTGGCATCAATATTATTTACTTCACCTGTCAGTGATTTTAATGTTGATCAGTGTAAATTTTGTCCAAACCTATTGTAAGGCGCAAATGCATAATAAAGAGTTTCCATTCATGAAACAAAAAGGTCAAAGCACTTTATTTAATTGAAGTCTAGGCATTGGATGTATACAGCATTCATACTGAAAACAAGGGAAGCCCAAGAGTGTTTTTCAGGTTTCAAACTTGTCCTGGTTGTGCATATCTTAGTTACGAAGTATCACGTTCAAAAGCAGGAATCTCAACTTCTGCCCCTTCGCGATGTTGACTTCCAAAATTGTTTGACTGCAGTGAATGGCCAGAGAGTCATTTGCTTCAACAATACCCCAAAATGCAGAACTGTCCCGGCAAATTCTGTATTGTTGGCACCTATGTAAAAAAAGCAATTCAAACTTTTTGCTATCACCACCCACCATTCTTTATTGCATCATCCTGCAGCTGTCTCTAATTTTAACTGCTTAATTACCTCACAAAGAATACTGTATTTGCATATTTTCCCTGATCTCTGGTCATTACTTCATATACCCCTTGCACCATTATGTGTCAACTCCCCATTATTAGCTTTAGATTGTAAGCCTACAAGTTATCTTGCTAAGCATTTTATATAAAATTACTCTATTTGCTATATTTTTTCCTTTTGTATCAGTATGTGTTCATTAGTTATCTGTATTCTATCGACTGTACAGCACTGTGGAATATGTTGGCGCTATATAAATATCAAATAATGTTAATAACATAATGAGGGGTCAGTTTAAATAAGCACAATATTAAACAAATATACTCAGTTATTAAAATAAAATCGGATACATGTACTCTTCATTGAGAATATTGGCTGAGGTGATTTAATTCCATTTATCGTCTTTGACACTTAAAGAAGCACTTTAGTGTCAGGAAAACAAAACCCTGGCACTATAGGGTTATTAGGTCCCCCCCTCCCGCTGGGCTGAAGGGCTTAAAACCTCTTCAGTCACTTACCTTAATCCAGCGTCGTGGTCCCTCGGCGCTGGTGACCTCTCCTCCCCCTGCCGACGTCAGCTCCCGAGTGGAGACGAATGTGCATGCACGGCCAGAGCGTCGTGCGCATTCTAACCGCCCAAAGGAAAGCATTACTGAAGGCTTTCCTATGGGGATCTGAACTCACACTGCGTGAGTTCAATATGATTTTCACACAGAGAATTGCGGAAGCGCCTCTAGTAGCTGTCAGGGAGACAGCCACTAGAGGCTGGATTACCCCTGCAGTGTAAACATAGCAGTTTCTCTGAAACTGCTATGTTTACAGCTGCAGGGTTAAAACTAAGGGGACATGGCACCCAGACCACTTCACTGAGCTGAAGTTGTCTGGGTGCCTATAGTGGTCCTTTAACCCCTTAAGGACCAAACTTCTGGAATAAAAGGGAATCATGACATGTCACATATGTCATGTGTCCTTAAGGGGTTAAAGATCGTTGCTAAATGTGTGTTTTACTATTTCCAAGCTGGCCCATCTAGCAGCCAATATGCAAAGAGAAAAAAAACACCCTTGGCCCCCTACATGGACAGGTTCATACAACACTCTAGGTCCAGTTTCTGGAAATCCCTTTTAGATTGTCATAACCTGTTTGGTGGCTTAGACATCCTAAAAGACAATACCTCTTATTCTCCACCACTTGACATGTTTTTGAGCCTGGATTGTATTTTTTGCTCCCAGGACTTAGCAAATGAGATTGTATATGCACACATTCACAAGATCACCTGGTCAGACCATGCAATAGTGAAGACACATTTTCCAGGTTGACCTCTCCTTCTTGGCCTTGGCCTCCATACTCAGGGAGCCATATATTGCACTAATGGTTGTCTCTGAATTACGCATCTATTCAGCTAACAATGAGACCCCAGGCTTGACTAAAATTGTGTAATGGGGTGACATAAAGCGGTGGTGCAGGTTACCACTCCATGGCATCAAGAAGAAAGATTAGAGGAACATTCGGTGAATAGATAGCACTTGTTGAAGCTTATACTTAAAAAGACTAATGACACGAACACCTTGCACTTTGCGCTCTTTGGGGTGTGCGTGGACAGGTTGATCTTTTAGTCTCTTACTGGGTTCTCCAAGCGGTGCAATCGACAAACGTATTTTGAGACAGCCAATAAACCAGATAATATGTTGCCGCACACTTTGTCCCAGCAAACCAAGGAACATACAGTTCTACAGGTCCTAGCACGACTTTTTTACCAGGGAGGGTAGATGGAGTTGAATTTCTAAGTCACAGTTTATGTTACACAAGTTGAAAAGAGGTGGGGGGCTATCATTTCCTCCAGAGCACCATCCAGGGTGGGTGAACATGGTGCACAGCACCCAGAGGCTCTATAGCTAGAGGTGCATCAGCGGGGAGTGCAGCACTTGGCTCCGTCCCACACATTAGGCTCTGCCCCTCTCATTAGGCTCCACCCCCTAGCAATCCATTGGGTGGCAGAGCTGAAAAGCAAAGGTTACAAACTAACAAGCTGTTTGAGGACAACATAGCACTGGTAAGCTGTTTTGAAAGAGATATTGGCTATGGCACTGGTTAGTTATTTTGGGACAAAGCACTGGTTAACTGATTAACTATTTTGAGACAAAAAGGGCACTATGAAGCTCTGTAGGGGCAGAGATAGCCCTGTGACGTTGTGTCGGGAGAGAGATGGCCCTGACCAGCTGTGTGGGGAAAAGGTGTTACTTGGAAGCTGAGCACAAGAAGGTTCAGACAAAGCTTTTTGAGGATAAAGCTGTCCCTTTAGGAAGTGGGTGACGTTACCTGGTGACGTTGGGGCCCAAAGAGGTCGAGTGGTTTACATAGAAAATGGGTGTGGCTAAAAGTGTTATGTTTGTGAAGGGGAGGGGTTAGCAATATAGCCACACCCACCCAAGGGACATCAAACATGTTTGTGCGGCCAGGCATCAGTGACCCTAGGATCGGGCCTGTGTACCACAATTATTTGCTTATTACAAGGTGGGCTATGTTAGCCAAGATAGGTCTACTCTCAAACAGGGCCAGGTGAGTCTCTCTGGAAGAGTTTCTATTGATACACTGCATACCATCCTTTTTATCCTAACCCTGCCCTCATTCAGTTACACCATAGCCAGGCTTTACAACACTCTCTGCGACTGTGGAAGGAGTATAGGGATGTACCTGTCAGATAACAAACTAATCAATGATAGCACTCTGAATGAAATGGGAAAGCTCTTACAGAAGCCTTTCCCGCTTTGTGAGCTCATTCTCCATGGACCTCATGCAGGGCTTACTTGGATATTTTTTCTTAGAAGAAAAAAAAAATTCTTCAGGTTTTTTTGCAAGATTGCTGTTGTTTTTTTTTTTCATTTTTAGCTGTAGCAATCACAGATATATGTGCATGCCAATGGATTGATTTTGTTTACATGTCTCTCTAATGACACCAATACCTTGCAACTCGCAAAAACCTCCACATCATATATACCTATCATGGTCTTCTAGCTCAGTGGCTCCCAAACCAGTCCACAAGGCTCCCTTACCAGTCCAGGATTTATGGATTGTTTGTAATGTGTTTTTCCCCCCTTCTAAAACACCTTAGTAACTGGGTAATCCGTAAATCTTGCAAAAAAAAATTGTCACAGGAAGAATCTGTCTTGACTTCCCACCCATTTAAATATTTGCATACCGCCCAAGCATCCCTATTTAGGAGGGGCAGATCCTATTTTTGCTATTTTTGGTCCAAATCCTTCTGTCCCTTTTTTCTATTTTAATGTCACATTTCTGTCTAAAAGCTTTATATTGTTGCATACCTCCCAATAGTCCAGATTTCAGCGAGACAGTTACAATTTTCTGGTACTGTCTGGCTGTCCCAACTTAGTTTCCCTGCTGTCTCGCTATTTTAACTCCACCTCTAGTGGCAATCTACCAGACAGCCACTAGAGGGACGTCCTCACGCTATGCATGAGGACATCCAGTGACACCCAAAACCCGATAGGAAAGCATTGTATAATGCTTTTCTATAGGGGAAGTACTAATGCGAGTGTGACCATTGCTGCGCATGCGCATTAGGTCTCCCTGCTGACATCAGCCCAAGGTGGAGCCCGAGCCAGCACCAAGGGACGTTGAGGTAAGTGAAAGAAGGGGTTTTTGTAAAGCTTGAGGATTTGCAATAAATGCAAGAAGTTCAGAGACATGCATCTTTTTTCATTTTAATTTATTTACTTTTTAGTTTGATTCTATACTTTTAATATATTATCTATAATAATTCATTCAAAAAATGTGGGTCGCCCTTGGTAAGACCCAAACTGAGGTTGCAGGACTCTGGGATCACTGTGTTAAAGAAAAATATATATATAGCTTTGTTTTGTTTTTTTAATGAAGTATATGTAAACAAAATGAGAAAAACTTACTACCTTTTAGTATAAGACAGGATCCATCAGCCGTTTACATGCACCTTGGGCCAGACAGTGTTTAAAACCGACAGTTTTAGTCTCTATAGCCTTACCTGTGTCACTCCATAGAAGACCAGTAATCAAGTTTTGTGGGTTTTTTGGTCAAGTTTGTTTTTAGAAGTTTGGAAGAGTTGGGGATTCATGATAATTCTCTACCTACAGGTGCCAGTGATAAAAATTCAGAACTAATAACTATATAACCACACAGTCATAACATACAGAAAATGTAGACAGGAAATAAAATATCAAAACACTTGCTTCAACACTTACATGATGAAAAACATGGTGCAACAAGGGAAACATTGTTTTCATTCACAGAAAAGAGAAGGAACCTAATCATAATATTAACATTAACAATAATTGCTAGCGAGGCACACAGTCAACACTTATCAGGAAGACTCCAAGTACCATAATCACTATAGCCCACCATACTATTTATGGTGCCAGAGATGCCTTGTCGTCATCTCACGAAAAAGTGTCAAAACATTTTAGAACGCTTTGAAAACTTACCCAAAATGGTTTTAACTACTTACTGTGGATGGGGCCAGGCCACTCCTGCCAACTTAACAACTCAGTGGGCTGTAGTGGTTATGGTGTTTTGAGTGTTTCATTAAATCTGTCTCTTTTGTTTCACTTTCCTACTCTAAAATTCTTCCTTTTGGCTGGTTATTGTATTGTAGTATATAATGTCACAGCTCCATAAACCTACTCTTTCCGTCTCATTCTTCTAATCTACCTGATTTCTACAGTAGAAAGAAAAAGAATAAAAGGAGACCAGGCATTCAAAACGCTCCAGAAATATAATACTAAGACTAAAGTAATGTAGTGCACTGCATACCAGTTAATCCTTAGGGAACACCAGGTGGTTATCGGTCCCAGGTAAAATAGAATAAACAATGCACGACAAATAAGTGCCCAATATAGTAATGAAAAACTTTTGGGGCATTTACAGGAAAGGCACAATGCACAGAAACACAGAACACAGAGGAAGCCAATCCAAAAAAGTAAACATTTCAAATATTCTAGTCCTTAATCATAGGAATTAAGGAGTGGAAGGTCTGATACATGTAAGGTTGTGGCTTGGTTCCCTTTTCTTGCTGTGCATTGTACCTTTCCTGTGAGTGGCAATAATTGTATTTTTCATTACTTTGACAAGTACTTGTTTTGGTGTGCTTTGTTTAAAGGGATCCACTTAGCACCAAAACAACTTTAGCTTAACCCCTTAAGGACTGGACTGTTTTTGCGATGTTGTACATTTGCGACCAGGCATATTTTTACACTTTTGTGGTGTTTGTGTTTGGCTGTAATTTTCCGCTTTCTCATTTACTGTTCCCATACAAATTATATATTGTTTTTTTCAGGACAAAAGGGGCTTTCTTTACATACCATTATTTATATAATCTCATGTATTTTAATTTAAAAAAAAAAAAAAAATATGATGAAAAATTGAAAAAAATACATGTTTTTTGACTTTTACTTGAAAAATCTTTTACTCATCTACAAAAGCGAATGAAAAAAACTGCTAAATAGATTCAAAATTTTGTCCTGAGTTTAAAAATACCTAGTGTTTACGTGCTTTTTTGCTTTTTTTTGCATGTTATAGGGCTATAGGTACAAGTAGGATATTGCGGTTTCAAAACATACATTTTAAAAATTTATCAATAGTGACATTGTAACACTATTATCTGTCATAAATCTCTGAATAACACCCCACATGTACATATTTTTTTTAAAGTAGACAACCCAGGGTATTCAATATGGGGTATGTCCAGTCTTTTTTAGTAGCCACTTAGTCGAAAACACTGGCCAAAGTAAGCATTCATATTTGTTTGTGTGTGAAAAAAGTAAAAAAACTAAATTGAACGCTAATTTTGGCCAGTGTTTGTGACCAAGTGGTTACTAAAAAAGACTGGACATACCCCATTTGCAATACCTTGGGTTGTCTTCTTTTGCAAATGGTATGCCATCATGGGGGTAATTCTCATTCCTGGGCTACCATACGCTCTCAAAGGCAACGTAACCAACCTGGCCATTTTCAATGTAAAAATATTTGACCCATATATTTGACCTTGTAACTTTCAAAAATGCTATAAAACCTGTACATGGGGGGTACTGTTTTACTCGGGAGACATCGCTGAACACAAATATTAGTGTTTAAAAACTGGAAAACGTATCACAACAATTATATCATCAGTAAAAGTGCTGTTTGTGTGTGAAAAATGCAAAAAAAGTAACTTTCACTGACAATATCATCGCTGTGATATGTTTTACTGTTTTGAATCACTAATATTTGTGTTCAGCGAAGTCTCCCGAGTAAAACAGTACCCCCCATGTACAGGTTTTAGGGTGTCGTAGAACGTTACAGGGTAAAATACAGTGCTAGCAAATTAAATTCTCTGGAATTTCGGCCTGGGTTGGCAGGCAGGTCCCTCAAATTGCAATCAATAAAATTACTGAATTATGTAAAAATATTACATAAATACGCACGTAGAATTTAAATATATATGCATATTTATATATTTGAAGTCTACGTGTATATTTATATAATTATTTATGTAATTTTGTATATGGACATATGTATATTTCTTATTATTTTTATTTATTTTTATATACATAGATATATATACAAATTCATTCTAAGTGTATTTTGATATAAATATATATATATTAATTTTAAAATACAGTTAGAATAAAATTTCATATAGCTATATAATTTTTTTAAATTTTTTTATTATTTAAAAAAAAATGTATTTAATTTAAATTACTTATTATTTATATTTTATAATAATATATATATACAATATATATAGTTATTATATATATTATATATATACGTGTGTAATTTAATTATAAGTGTATTTTATATTAATATAAGTACATATTAATATAAAAATACACTTAGTATGACATATATATATATGATATATAGACATATATTATATAAATATAATATATGTCTATATATCATATATACACATATATAATTATTATTATTTTTTTAATTAACACTAACTTTATTTTTTTTTTTGATTTTACACTAGCAGGGAGACTGCCTGTCAGCACAGACAGTCATGGACACCTATTGCAGGCAGACACATGGACACCTATTGTGACCATGTGATCGCTGTGTTAAGCGATCACATGGCCACAGGGGTCCTAATCCAGTGTGGGGAGACTGTCTGGGCTGCAGGCAGTCTCCCAACAACCGGAGGCACGCTGATCGCCGCCGGGGGAACGACGGCGATCAGGTAAGTAACGGAAACCGTTAGGACGGTTCAGGACCGTCATCGGTCCGCAATGGGAAAATCCCGATGACGGTCCTGAACCGTCCTGGGTCGCGAAGGGGTTAAAAAGGGATATTATAGACAAACTAACTTTAGCTTGCTGAAGCAGTTTTAGTGTATTGATCATGCCCTTGCAGTCTAACTGTTCAGTTCTCTGCCATTTAGTATTTAAATCACTTTGTTTAGCAGCACTATTCACACCTCCCTGCATGTGACACAACCTTACTATACTCTTAATGTAAAGAGACATCTAATGTTTTAACTTCCTTTATTGCACAGTCTGTTTAATTTTAAATTTTATGGGGAGTCCTGCGTGTGATTAAAGTTTATGGGGAGGGAATGAGACACATGGGGAGGTAGACTTTGGGAATGAGACACATTGAGGGGGAGACACATTGAGGGGGTGGACTTTGGGAATGAGACACACGGGGGTGTGGGAATGAGACTGTGAAAATGAGATACAATAAGGGGTAGACTATGAAAATGAGACACACTAGGGGTGACTGTAGGAATGAGACACATGGGGGGTAGACTGTGGGAATGAGACACTTTGGGGGGATCCGGGGGAATGAGACACGGGGGGCATGGGGAGGAAATAAGACACAAGGAGGGACTGGCTGAGAAACGAATGGAAGAGCTGGGCTAATGAGACACATGGAATGGAGTGGCTTGGGGTAATGAGACACATGGAATGGAGGGGCTGGCGGAGGGACACAAAGAAACATAGAGAGGCTGGTGGAAAGAGACACACAGGGGGCTGGGAAGAGGAGAAAGAGAAACAGAGGTGTTGGAGGTGCAAAAAGACACAGGGGGGCTGGGGAAGGAGCAAAAGAGACACACAAAGGCTGGGGAAGGAGTAAAAGAGACAGACATAGGCCTGGGGGAGAGACACCCAGAGGGGCTGTGGAGAGAAAGAGACATGGTGCAGAGGGAAGTTACACACAGAGGGGCTGGGGAGAGAAAGAGACATGGTGCAGAGGGAAGTTACACACAGAGGGGCTGGGGAGATAAAGAGACATAGAGGGGATGGGGAAGGGAAGAAAGAGATACACAAAAAGGGGTAAGAATTCAAGAGTGGGATTACAGGACGCACAGGTGAAGATGCATTTTTTTGTGGGGAGGAAGTGCATCTTTGCCTGTGTAGCCGAAAACCCTTGTCAGTAAGCACAGAAAATGTTTCAGGGTATTATAGTTCAGATAAAAGTTGAAAACTGATAACTGAACTACAAGTTCCAGAAACTTATGTTCTGTCCATTCTCCCTTGCCATGCTGAGATTTCTGTGTACGTTTGTCAATATAAAATTACATGAAAATAGGAACTGGTTCATATACAATTGTTCTTGGCAGGGCTCACTGCAGGAATTCAAATCCTGAAGTTTTATTGCAAATGTAGCAACTTCAAATGTACGCTTTTTTAAACTTTTGTTATTTTGGATTATTTGTTTTAAAATGCACATAGAAAGTGAAAATGTTTGTTTGGGCCTGGAGTGCTCCTTTAAAAGCCTTTGAAACCGTAGAATCAACAGCCATGTTAAAGGGGCACCCTAAGCATGCTGTAGTGGTTCTCTTGAAATCAGCACTTTTATAAAATGTGAAAGAGGAGACACAGTTAACACCTAAAGCACTTGAGCAAACTGAAGTGCTCTATTGGTTTTGAGTGTTCCTTTAAGTGACATTTGTATTCACTCAACTTAATCTTTTCCTCTGTAGTCCAAGCAGAACCAGAACATCGAGATGTGTCGACAGGAGGCAGAAGAGGTGAAAATATTGATGAAAGATAACGTAGAGAAAGTCATCGAGAGGGAAGGAAAACTCTCTGAGCTAGAAGATCGATCTGATAAACTACTTGATATGGTATGTTTAAGTTGTTAAATGGACACTCTAATCACCAAACAACTTTAGCTTAATGAAGCTGTTTTAGTGTATATGATCATGTTCATTTTAACGGTTTCCCTTGAGAAGTATTTATCTCCTGCTCTGTTAATGTATCTTTTACCACACATACAAGGTTGTTGTAGGCTCTAGAAGCAATTAATAGAGCAAGAAATAAATAGGAGATAAATTCTAAATTAAACAGACTGTGCCGTAAAGGAAACTTAGAATCAGATTCAGAAAGTGGGTAGGGAGACTTTGTAAGTCACGTGCAGGGCAGGTGTGGCTAAGGCTACATCAACAAGGTGATAAACTTCTATACACCAAAACTGCTTAATTATACTGAAGTTGTTTTTATGCTTAGAATGTTCTTTTAACTTGACTACTCAGCTCCATGCCCAAGTTGAGATATAAAACGTTTACTACAATATTTACTCTGTAATAAGAAAGAATACAAATAAATACTTCTTTATTTATTTTCTTGCAATTCTATGCAACTGAATGAGATCTAAAATATCCTTTTTATATAAATTATTTGTAAATAAGAAATAAATGGAAACAACTGGTCAGAGTAGACAGAACATTGTTTCAACTGCATATTAATTGGTCTTATGTTGTAATGTTTTTTTTCCATTAAAGAGCATACTTCAGTGACATGGCATACACCTGTACATCATATCAACTGCCTGAGAGGAGGGATGAGCCTGTCACTGCTGTCTGCCTTTTAGTGGCTCCCTATCGGTTTACACTCTATCACATCCTGTTACTAGAGGCTCTGATATACATAAATATATTATATTACAATTTCCCATAGATACAGTGCAGCACTGTGTCTTATTCAAGATCCTTTTGTAGCTGTGTCATATACTATGTAGACATATGTTTACTGTAAGTAGGTGAATAGGCAGATTCTTGGAGAAGCTCAATCTTGTTCTTCCCCCTCTATATTCTGTTGTCATTGTCAGATATGATAGTGTGTCATTGTTATGTCATCTAAATACTATCTACACTGTCTTCCATACATGGAAAGTAATTATATGCTTTTAGAATAATTTCAACTTATACCATCCTGGATTTGATTTCTGTTTTCTTCTGTTTTGCTTCTGTGGACACAAAATGCAGTTCCCCCTACATTTTATCATTGAACACACTGCTTGAAATGAACTTAGAGCTTTTCTTACTGCAGTTACCCTGTCCCTTGAGTCTTTTTTTTTTTTATAAATTCTTTATTTTTGTTGTGCAGGTGGTTACAGGTTTTTGACAGACGCCACAACAGCGTATCTGAAGCTTTCACAATAGTCAGACAGTGGCATGATAATTCGCACAAATTTTATATTTTGCAAGCTTAACTGAGCAGATATGTCATCAGAGTGAAATAAAATAAAATATAACAAAATAATGATGCTGGTTGCTTGATACTGCTACGTCATCTATGCTAGTACAGGTATGGTGTGTTAACTCGTTTTGTAGAATAACAGTAGTTGATTGCACAATGGAGCAGTTGTGCCCCATTTTTAGAATTATGCAGTGTGTAGTTTAACAAAGCTTTTTAGAAACAGGCGTAAGTAATATGCTTTGTGTAGTATGTAGTTTGACAAAGCTTTTTAGAAGCAAGCACAGATAATATGCACTATGTAGATTATAATGTAATCAGTCTCATGTAAAATAAGGCAAAACAGTAGACAGGTCTGATCAATAATGTAAAGATACAAAGCTAGAATAACCAAGTACTGTCCTGCAACTAGCGTAGCTTAAAAGAAATAATAAAGATTGCCCTGTTCAATGCAAACTCGCTACTCGTGTTAATTAACATGGTGCTTCTTAAGGCTTTAAACAAATGCGATCTCGATTTTAATCTAATAATAATAAGTAAGTCATTAATGCCTCTACCTCAATGCACCTCTGCCGGTCATTAGCCTAAATATTACTTATCTTAGAGAGACAAGGCTGGACATTAAGCTATACAGAGTTCGCTAGAGCTGCATGGACGTGGTGGTGTGGCAGCAGTCCAAGCCGCAGTGTAGCAGCAAAAGTCAGCCAACTCCTGTGGTCGGCAGTGGCATGGTACTAGCCGGAAAGTCCCTTGGGGCCTCGGTGTTGTGGGTTGAGAAAGCTGAAGGGGCTCCGCCGTTGCTTCTCGGGCCTCCTTGAGTACTTCGGGTAGCGGGGATGTTTCCTTGGTGGCGTGATGGCTGTTCTGCTCTCCTTGCTGTGTCACGAGTTGGTGTCTCTGGGCGTCCTCTTGCTGTGAGGGCAAAGCCCGTCTGGATGTTGGTTGCGGTTGTGTTTTTGCTGTGGATGAGCATAGGCCCCATGGGTGCGCCTCTGTATTATGCTTTTTGTCAGGCCAAGGATGTAGGCTCTCTGGGTGTGTCGGGGCCCTGATTGGCGGCGTCGGGTGCATGGTCTGCAAGCTTTAGGACTGGGCAAAGCCCTCCTTGCCCCTTGTTGCTCCGTACCAGTCTTTGGTCTGGCTGTGTGCCTCGTCGGCGGCCCGCGTGCAGGTGTAGTAGTGGGCAGTCGAGGAATCGTTGTGATTGTTTGGGTCTGTGCCAGTGTGGCCTTCCACTGCGTCCAAAAGTGTTCAAAAGCTGCTGCTATGCAGTCTTCATGGTGTAATTCGCTTGTCAGCCATGTTGGTAGAGGTTGGGCGCGTGGAGTCCCAGGAGCTCGGTCGGCTGCCGCCATCTTGGCATCTGAGTGTGGATTACTTGCGGCTTTGGAGGTTTGTAGGGTTCTGTTGCCCTGTGGCGTGTGGACCGGGATGACCCCCGCCGGTCCATAGGGGGGGGGGAGTAAGGGCCCTTAGTCATCGAGGTAGCTAAACGTGGCGGGAGAGCGGCCGTCCCTCCCGCGCTCGCCATGTGACTAGGCCCCGGTCATCTGACCGATGAGTATATCTTGTAATGCCGTTTGTGAGGGATCATTCCGCTCTGCTTAACTTCCCTTTTCATTTGCTGGCCTTTGTGGCTTGATAAGTCGCTTTTTGGGTCGTTTAAAATTGATTGGTAGTGTAGCTTAGTATAGGAGCTCTGGAGTTTCGTGTCCTCACGGCTCTGCTGTTAGGCCCCGCCCCCCTTGAGTCTTTTTAAATGTGATAATACCGCAATATAATAAGAGGGCTTCTGTGTGAGGAAGAGAGAACACACATTGTATACTTTGTGTTTGTTCACTTATTCACAGTTTTACAGCAGATCCACACACACAAGCCATTTTACAAGAATTTGCTATCTCAGGTACCCTATCCTTTTCCAGAATCAACAAAACTAAATCAGAAATGTTCAATATTAAACTCACCATTGACTTAGAGCAAGCATGTCAAACTCAAAGGCTATCTGGGGTAGGACTGTTTTCGGAGATTTTGCTGACTTACTGATAACAAGTTATACAACTAAAATGTAATTTAAAACAAGGACAGTGTATTTCATTTACACGTTACTGTAAGTATTATTGCTGTGTAGCTATGTTATACACTCAGACACATCAAGAATATGGAGCTCCTAGAAAAAAGTGACATTAGGATAGAATGAGGCGCAGAGGGTTTTGGGCCAGCAATAGGGACTGTCCCTCCTAAATAGGGACACTTAGGAGGTATGTAACACACAATTCTATTTATTATATGATAAAGACTGGGTGTGGGTCAAACATTAATCACTTTGCTTGTAATTTGCATTTGGATCTACATAAACAATGTTTCGTAGATTTGTGTGTCGCAGATTTTTGTAAAAGATAACTTTTTTTTTTATATATAATACAGAGTGCCAGAACCTTGCTTGTATGTGTATAAATAATAAGAACAGACGTGATTGCACTCACTCTGAATCCAAATTCCATATGCTTTGAATAGCTGCTATAGGCCCCACATATAATACAGATTAAGGAACAGTGTACTCATAAAATACATTTCTAAATTCTATAAGGCTACTTAAAATTGCCTATGTCAGCAAACAAATATGGGGATTCAGTTCCACTTTACAATACCCCAATATCGTTGGGTCCTACACTAATTCCAACGTGGGAGAGAAATCAAATAGTGTTTGCATCTGTGTGTCTGTTTATCTGCATGTGTGGCAATTTTTGTTTTTATCTGTGTGTCTCTACATCTGTATGCGTGTCAGTGTGTTCGTTTGTATGTCAGTGTATCTGCATGTTTGTCAGTGTGTGTATCAGTGTGTCAGTGTGTGTATCAGTGCGTATGTGTATCTGCATGTATGTAAGTGTGTGTATCAGTGTGTCTGTGTATCTGCATATGTGTCAGTGTTTGTATCTGTGTGTCTGTAACTGTATGTGTGTCAGTGAAGGTTTGAATAGAAACGTCATTTTAATTATACTTTTCATTTGGTATAGAGCAGATATATAATTTGCATTGTGAGTATATACATCAAAGCACTATCACTTTAATTGTTTAGTTTTGACATTGCATTTTTATTGTTTTTAACACTTTAATTTTGCACTATATATTCACAATGTTTTTACAACAGATTATTAAACTACACTTTAGCTTATTTAGCACTAGCACTATTTAATTTGTCTCCCACACTGGAATTAATGTAGGACCCACCAATATTGGGGTACTGTATAGTAGTTATGGGCTTGACACAATATGGTCAGATGGCGGAACTGAATCCCCATATTTGTTTGCTGAGATAGGTGATTTTAGGTAGCCTTATACAATTTAAAAATATATTTTATGAATGCGATGTTCCTTAATCTGTATTATGTATAAATTTTGGTCACTACGGCAGCACCATTCCTGCAAGGGGCATCTTCCAGGTGTGCCCCCAATTCCCTTTTGTTTTTAATATGCCCCATATATGTGAAACAAAGCACCTAATAGTAACAAAATAATAATACATTTACACAACCAAATCCAGCATTAACAGTTTAAATAAGATGTATTCATATTTATGTTGTATCACAGAGTGGTATTAATAGTTTTATTTTTTTTTTATTTTTTATTAGGCCTCCAACTTCCAGAAGACTGCCAAGACAGTGGAACGCCACACACGATGGCAGAAGTGGCGGTGGTATTTCATCAGTGGAGGCATTGTTGTTGTGTTTGTTGTTATAATCATTATTGTCATCTTGGTTATGACGAGTGGTGGGGAGAACAGACCTGCACAAGAGACAACAGAGAAAAATGACGCCAATTGATAAAATCTCAGCATTGGACATTGGATGAAATATCCCAACATCTCTGTTAGAAGTGAGGAAGCCAGTGAGTGACGAAGAGGTATCTGAGATATACTGAGAACTGAACAGTCATTGTTTGTACAACTACAGAAAATGTATTATCTCCCACATTTTCTATAAGGTCTTAAAGTCTGTTTTCTCTTCATCCTTCTCCCTATACATACACTTTGCTTCTTTTACCTTGCATTAAAGGCTGTGATTTTCAAGGGGCAGCTTATAGATGCTTTTTATTTTGGTATTAGAGAGTCTATTAAAAACAAAATCTCAAGTTGTACAGTTTCTGCAGTGTAACACAGGGAAAAAAAGTCTTTCATCGCTTTGAGACAATTGTCTTATTCAAAAGCTTTAGCTTTAAATGAGACAGCTGCCTCACTCTGCAGGTTGAAAAAAAACAGGTAAAACAGGTTTTTTTTATTTTTTTATATTTTCCTGCATCTTTTTTCTTATGCTTTATAGACCCACTCCAGTGGGAACACTGATCTATCCAATCAGTGTCTTATCCCTAGGAATCCTGAAAAAGTGCACTGGGCATAATGGACAGATTTACAGATATACAGTTGGAAGATCCCTTCAGTTTGCAAAATCTTGACAGTGGAAGAGAGGTAGTCTGATCATTGTGATCATGCATAGCGGGCTCTGGTGTTGAGTTTCTCTCTCCTGCTGCTACAAAAAGTACTTTTTCTGTTATTAGTGCACTGATCTGAGTTGGCTGGGTAAAAAGGGGAAGGGGTGAAGTTTTTCTTGCTTTATCTTAGTTTGTATAATTGTTTAAAATTGTCTGCTGGTTTAAAAAAAAGAAAAAGTAAAGTGATGCATGTCTTTTTAAAGTCACATCCATCCTGCAGGAATCTGCTTCAGCTATGCAGATGTCAAGACAACTGCCAGTTCAGTGGCCTGTTTAATGCACTGGAAGTTTATTTCAAATTATAAATGGATATAAAGCATTCTATGTTGCAAATTGCTGTGTGGTGTCATTATTTATGGTATAAAATAATTAATTGGACTCTAACTTATATTCAAACAATGACAATTTATGTCTGCTGCTAGGATCAACTTTGGCTCACTCCTTAACCCCTTAAGGACACATGACATTTTCCTGTAAAATGTAGGTGTACGGAAAACATGCAAAGTAAGTGAAACCTAAAACGTAAGTCAGGGTAAAAGGGTGATGGGAAAAGGAAATTAAATTAAAACAGCCTTAAATAGAGCAGATGGTGTAAATCTCTTTCCTGGTAATGTGAATCTTACTGTAAACTGTTCCCTCTGGGCACTATAAATAAGAATATTATGTAAATAAAGACTGAATACAACACTTCATTGTGGTGTGACCGTTAAAATGGCTACACATCCTGTTTTGTGAAGCTTCCGCTCCTGGTCACAAAGGGCAGAATGGGTATTTTTAAATACTTTAACTTAAAGTATCAGTAGTTGGCTTTCTCTCTGTTTTGTTGCTTCCTGACTCCAAATTGTCAACATTATCACTGGCAGACTCTGCATCATTTGTCCTTTCTGTGTCACTGTCTGTCTTCTCTCACTAACAAACCAGACCGTGATTGCTCTTGCTAACCCTTTGGATTCTTATGGGCATGTGCCCAAAGCAAAGAGAGAATGCCATCTTTGTGTCATTGCCTCTGTGCAATGGGCATGTGATTTGTGCAACAAAGAACAGAGTGAGTATATGACATGTATACAACATAAGATAATGATGAATAGGGAAAATAAAGAGGTCAGAAATGGAATGTGGTGATTTTCCAAAAGAGGGTCAGCATACACTGTGAGATCAACAAAACTGGTAGAATACACGCAAAGTGTGGTGAGAAAAAACAGCAATATGAAAATGGGAACATAATAACAAAGCATCCATTCTATGCCAGAAGAGATGGAAATGGAAACAACATACTGCTTTAGAACTGAATTAGAACTAAATTGATACCATGCATCAGAACATAAACAATCTCGATTTTTCTTATTTTTTGCAAAATATAATACCTTCTCTGTTATGCCTCCACATTTCTTTATACTGTATATTGATTGATACTACACGATGTGTATGTGTTCAGAATTTGAGATGGCACCTGTTTATTCCAATATTATGCTAGCAAATTTAATTAATAAAAGAATACTGTCAATTGCTATTACCTTGCAGCTAGCCCCCTCCCTTACCAGGATAAATTGCTCCAATCGGGATTATTTTATTCTAGTGTGTGGGGACGATTAATCCCATAAACCAGTTGTCCACTAAGGACAGGGCGACCAGATTTTGAAAAAAACAAAAACGAGCACCCTTTAGCGACACAAAAATCGCTTTAAAAAAAACAGAGAAACACATACACAATAGAAGTCTTTAACCTATTCCAGGCTGTTACAGCTCACCCCTTTACTGGTACTTAAATGAATGTCTTTTCATTTACATTTTATAGGAGCATGATCAGAGGACACACACTCCCTAGACCAGTGCAAACTGCTGAATATACACACACGCAGACTGCTGAATACACACACACACTCACTCATAGATTGCTGGACACACAGACAGACTGCAGTGTGGGGTGCAATGAGTATGCGCAGGGGTGCTTTGTGTGTAGGGGTTCAGTGTGTGGGGGGTGCTGGGTGAGTGTGGGGGCTCAGTGTGTGGAAGGTTTCAGAGTGTGTAGGGGTTCAATGTGTGGAAGTGCTGTGTGTATGTGAAGGGGATGCTGTGTGTTGGGTGGTAGGGGTTCAGTGTGTGCAAGGTACTGTGTGTGTGTAGGGTTGAAGTGTGTGTGTGTGTGGAGGGGTTCAGTGTGTGGGGGTTAAAATCTGTGTGTGTGAGGTTGCTGTGAGTGTGAGGGTGCTGTGTGTGAATATGTTTGGAAGGATTGTGTGTGTGGGGGGAGACAGATTAATTTAAATATATTCAATATGTATTTTTATTTTTTTACTGGGAAGGGGGGCCGTGCTGCCATCCCTGGTGATCTTTGTGGTGAGTGAACTCTAGTCTGCGGGGCTAGAGTTCACTCTCAGAGATCTGAACGTTGCCATGGTAACCACGGCAACGCTCTGATTTCGCTAGAGGAACCCGGCGAACCCTACTCTCCCTCCCCGGCTGGTGGCCGCATGTCAGTGCCTGTGGGCCCATGAAGGCATACAGCAGGGCCGGCGCACGGATAGTGCCAGCTCTGCATTGGCCGACAGGGGAGATCCTGTGATCTCCCCTGCTGGCCTCGGCCAATAGCCATAGTGGCCTACTGGGCATTTGCCCTGTATGCACGATGGCCAGTCCGGGCCTGTTATAGCCTTAGGAATACAAATTTCACATAGGAAACATTGGGAGGCTAGTGCGCTGCACAGCAAAATGTCACACTGTCTTTATAAGACCATCTGCTTGAAATAGCTGAATTTTACTTAGCTATTTGTGCGCAAGTATGACAGCCAGTAGAGGCAGTTAAACCTTGTAGTGTAAACATTGCCATTCCTGCAGAACAGCAATGTTTTACAATGTAGGCTTAAAACTACAGGAACATTTCATTAAGATGAAGTAGTCGGGGTGCCTATAGTGTTTCTTTAGTCTATGGGAATTTTTGTAGATATATATTTGGAAAGTATTTCTTACAGTGCTCAAAGTACATTGCAGTAATGATTATCATTAATTAAATTAGTTGCAGGTGCAAGTTAACTATGTAAAAAGCATGCTAAACCCATTTTAATGAGATACCCACCTTTCTCCAATAAAATATACTTGGAAGACTGTGTCAAGACTGAACTCAACCTAACTCACAAACCTGGTAGAGACAGGATGTGAGTGTGTACTGGACCTTAGAATGGCCAGGCTAACAGAATAAATATAACAGGAAATCTGCAAACAGGCAAAGAGTAAAGATAAGCAGACCCAAGGTCAAGGATAAAAGAGGTATATAGAAGTGAGAAACAAGCCAATGTCAGAATAGTTAGGAAGGATATGTACCCTATATTGGGTAATAATTAGATGCAGGGCAGTGTGATGTCATCACTGTGGGCACACTACATGAAATAAAAGTGCTATGTAGCTTTAATACTTAAATGGGTGCAGGACAAGCCCTCCACATCTTGAATTACATCAGAACTCTGCGCCACGAGGTTCGGACCCATAGGGAACGTCAAGCAGACAAATGCGGAAGTGATCGAGTTGTGGAGAGGTAACATTACATTACTCCCCTGATAGAACAGCAACCTGGCATGGAATCTATGCACTAATATCAGAGTATGGACATTGGAAGCCAGAACACAGGAATATTTCTCCAGACAATAGCCTTCTCAGTGCACCAGATACTGCTGGGAACCCCTAGAGAACCGGGCATACACTATCTCATGGACCTTGTGCTCCTTACCTTTATCAGCAAGAACAGGAGCAGGTATTATTTTAATACACTTGTTACATAGCAAGGGTGAAACACGTTGGGTATCCAAAGGTTTTGGGTCAAGTCTAAAGCATAGAACACAAGATACACTCTGTATAATATCTTATAAGGCCGAGAAAACGTGGGGCCATCTTTTTTGGAGGGGACACAGAGGTGGATGTTCTGAGTAGATAGCCAGACTCTTATCACCTACTATAGGACAGAGCTGCTCTACTGTGCCAATCAGCATAATGTTTCTGGAGCACTGCATTTTTCTAAATGATGGCATGGACCTGCCACCAAACCTCCTACGTAGAGGTCAAATGGGAGTCCAATTCTAACATCTCTTTATAAATAAAGAAGGACTGCTGGATGAAAACCGTAATTCAAAGAAGGGGCTGTTAACTCAAGCTTCATGCCCGAGCTATTGCATGCAAACTCAGTCCAGGGAAGCAGGTCTGCTTAGTGGCCTTGCAGATGAGACACGTATATACCCTTACAAGGATTGATTGGCACATTCAGCAGCTCCATTTGTTCAAAGCCCAATGGGTGATAGGCAGATGAAAAGGACAAAGTAATCAAAAATCTAGGAACAAATTGTGATCCTCTGTATGAAACTATAACTTGGGAATGCTCTATAATCGAAAACTTCCGAGCGAATATCTTAGACAAGTCTAGAGATGTTGATAATTTGGGAATGGGTACGAGATGTGCAGTTTCATTGAATCTATCTACAACCATAAGAATAACTGAGAGTGAGAGTAGGAGGCAAATCCACCATGAAATCTATGGAGAGATGAGTCCATGGCTTGGTTGGTATTGGCTGTAACCAGGCAGCCATGTGGTACTTGGTGTGAGGATTTAGCATCTAATACATGCTGACACATATTCTTTGATCTCTACGGAGAAAGAGGGCCACCAAAAATCACGTGATGCCAAATAAACTGTCTTGTTTATACCTCCATGGGCTGCTGGTAGTATGCAAAGAGTCAAAAACACAGATTTTTTCCTTAGCAAGGACTAAAAGAAGCTTCTCACAGGGCAAGTCTAGAGGTTCCTGTGTTTGTGCCCTCTGAACGTTCTCCATAAATTTATAGAAAGAATAGTTCTATTCATAGCTACAATTCTGTCTGGTGGTACTATAGAGGATTCATTAAGGTCGTCAAGGTCGGGAGTGTCAAATTGTCAGGAGAGGGAGTCAGCTTTGCTATTTCTACTACCATGTCTGTATGAAATCACATAATTATAATGCGAAAATATAAGATACCAACAAGCTTGCCTGGAATTCACTTCTTTTGCATTGCTAATTTAAGAAAGATTTTTGTAGTCTGTCAGAATCTTCATTGTTATAGCAGAACCCTCAAAAAGGTGTTGTCATTACTTCAGAGCCAATAGGATTGCCAATACCTCTCTATTCTCCAATGTCTTGGTTATTATCAGGGCTGGAATTGGAACGAAAAGAAGACCTGGAAAAAAATGTGTCACGCCAGCAAAGTGTGCAGATATAGAGGTGGAAAAGATCATTTAAAATTGAACCCTATTACTCCGATGTGAAAGAAAGCAATCATAGGGCTTCAAGATAAACAAAAGAGTGGATCTATTTTAAGCAGACGTGCATTGGCATATAATCCATTTGTCAGTCCAACTACATTGACATATTAAGAAATGTTTGGTAATGAGATTAAAATGGTGAATGTATACTGCTGCACAACTGTAAGGAATGACGTTATCTTATTTATTTTGAAGCTCTATGAGTGTACTGTTCACTTAGGAAAGCATTAAGAGGCTATTGCGCATTTCTGGCAAAATGCTGTGCCAATCAGCATCTCGTCATAGACATGCATTAAATCAATTGTCACATCCTGTTCTGTTCTGCGGAGATGTCTGGCCTTGGCTTCTGGTATCCAGTACTCTTTTTACAATTCTTGTTTAGTTTTTCTGGTTTTCTATTTTTTGTCTGGTTTTCTTTATGCTGGCTTTTCTAGGTTCATTCCTGTATTCCGTTCCTGGAATTGCCAGTCTCCTGGATTCTTTTAAATGTTTGTTTTTTGTTGCCACACCCATTCCTTTGCCATTTAATCCCTTTTGTTTCAGTCTATTCCTGGTAGCAATGGTCTCATTTCCTCTGCTCATTTCTTTGCAGGTAAGTATTGTGTGTGTTTTATTGTCGTATATTTAGTCTCTGAGAGAGTATTGTAATATATATCCCAGATTCTGCAAGGTACCTACTTTGTGTAATTAGCCCCAGGGAAATGCATGAATTCAATGCTGATTGACGCAGTGCAGGAAAGAATTGGATTCGCTGAGATCTTCAAGTTTGATGATCTCACCCATAGAGATAGACTGCCGTGGCGATGGAAAAAAAGTGAGTAAAAACACCTTTCCAATGCAATCTAAGGGGGGCTGGGGAGATAAATAGGTACTTAAACACTATAGTGTCAAGAATACATATTGGTATTTCTGACACTATAGTGTTCCTTTAATCTTTCTTCTTTTTAATACAGTAATAATAAATTACTTGCACAAGTGCATGGCAACGTTTCATCCCTAAAAGGACTTTTCTCAAAGGTTGAGAAGTGCACTTTGACCATGTGTGTCTGATCCTTCTGTATCCCTCTGGATTATAAGCAACGTGAACATTGAGGTCTCCACCATCTGTGAGTGTTTTCTCTGAAGTTTAATTTACAGGGCACACAGCTTAAATATAGCTTTACTGGCAATGTGCCCGCATGTAAAGAAGCTGTCATGTCAGCACAAATGCATGTTAGTATTATAGGATGTCTGGCAGGGTGGCTGATGAGCCTTACATATCACCCCAAAATCCCCTGTATTTGTTCCAGGTGCATAGCAAATTTATTTACACACGCACTTGGGCTGCACTTCGCTTTGTTTCTCCTGACACCGTGTGGCAGCATCCCTTTGTACGGTGATGAGAAGACTGATGCAACTCATTTGTCTCATGTCAAAATTAAGTGACATCACATGTTTGTGTATTGTTTTCAGACAATATATCTATTTGTTCTATACACCTTGTCAGTTGTATTTTCCCTCATTGTTTTATTTCTTTACTTGGCCACTGCCGATAAATAAAAAAAAACTCCATATGATACTCCATTCTAGATATGTTAGTTTATACTTGCTAAGATTTTATATGCCATTTCTCAGACATGCAGTTGAAAGGTCTGAAATTGGGACGGGGTGGGCTGAGGTGTCTCTGACCATGACTAAAATGAGTGGTCCTGCGCATATTTAGAGCAGGGCCACCGATAGAAGGGGCATGTAAGCCTGGGGTAAATGCGTGGCGGTCTGACTAACCGCCATGAACTACCCTCAGGGCAGGCCATGCAGAGATCCCTGATGAAGTGTGTGGCAGGACCGCTGACGGACTATGAATTGCCCTTATGTGTGGATGTACTCTCCTGGAATGTATGTTTTCCCATGTTCTCTGTGATTTTCACATTGAATCCTGCAAATTGCTTTTTAAACACACAGGGGCGCTCTTGTGCATGGAGTCCTGTGCGCCGGACCACCCTGATACTCCATTTCGAACATGTGCTTAGAACGAGGAGTGAAAACCGCAGACCACAAGGGAAACAAGCGGCGCGTGCTTCCTCTGGGTGGCCACCGGTTCGTATCACCAAATGCCCGAAACCGGCCTGCGTGCACTGTCTTCAATCCCCGTGTCGGGGATCATCCCACGTGCTATTTGGCATCACGTACCCAGGGGTGGGGCAAATTTAGATTGGGGAGGGGAGTGCCCAAATTTTGTCATGCCTAGGGCAGCAAAAATGCAAAATACACCACTGACCCCCAGAGGTGCCAGGGTTGGGAACCGCTGGATTATAGTTCAAAATACAAAACTGTATTCCTAACACTAGAGTGCCCCTCTGTGACCTCTATATCTTAAGTACCCTTTCTTTCACTTACATGATTCCAGTGCTGAGCTGCCTTGGCACTGACTCGGTCTCCTCCTCTCACAATGTCATGGCGATGGGGAGAACTAATGTGCATGCACAGTGAGCACTGTGTGTACATTAGGACTTCCCCATAGAAAAGCACTGAATCAATGCTTTCTTCTGTGGATTTTAAAGAACCTGGACACCCTCATGCAAACCATGAGGACACCCAGTGTTTCATAGAGTTAACCTCTGTGAAGCGCCTCTAGTGGCTACCTGGAAGACAGCCACTAGAGGTGGAATTAACCCTGTAATGTAATTGTGTCAGTTTCTCAGAAAATGTTTTACATTGCAGGATTAAGGGGACAGTGGCACTGCACCCAGACCACTTAAATGAGATGAAGTGATCTGAGTGCCTATAGTGGCCCTTTAATTCTTTGCTCAGCAGCAAAGTAAATCTCTATCTCTGGGTGACAAGTTTTATGTATAATATAAAGGTTTATATGTTGGTTATCAGGCCATTGAAAGTAATTTCTTTATGCGCTGTTCACTTCCCGATATCTATCTATCTCTATCAGGAAATGAACAGCACATAAAGAAATTACATAGTTACATAAATATATATATTATATATATATATATATATATATTTATTTTAATTCTATATAAGTAGAAACATATGTACTTGTGATGCCACAAGAGCATAAGCAAGTAATTCAATGACATACATAGTAACATAAAGCATGGCATGCATAAACGTTGCACATTTTTTAAATAACATTTTAGTAAAATTAAGAAGAAACAAGCAAGTTGATAATGTCTAGCTGTTAGGCTGAAGAATAATTTTGCTTCGGTATGCTAGGCTTTATATAACAGTAAATCTTGTCAAAGAGCTTGCTAGAACAGATCCCTAGCACAGTCTGCTTCACTTTTGAATCATAAAGGCACCTATCCACAACAGGCAATGCTCATGTGTCTGAACATGTGCCATAATCTAATCTTTCTAGGCAACGTTCTTCAGACAAGAGAATGCTAAAAAGGTATGATTATGGATAGTCATGCTAGGTAAACTATAAGTATACTATCAAACTCGCAGGTATTATAACAGGAATATAACACCCCTGGGGCCCACTGCAAGAACACCAAGCACATAAAGAAAAAACTGAAAGCATATGCCCCTAAGGCACCAAATGGTCAGAAAAAAAATATGATGCTCAGGCTGTAATGCTGGTAGGATGCTAATGCCTAGGATATGGTTTCTTGTTACAAGAGAAGTTCCGCTATATAAAGTTGGTGACTTACCGGTATCTAAAAATGTTTTTCGTAAGGACACGTGGAAGGGCAGTCCCTAATGTAAACAATTTTATTTTTTTATTTTTTTTAATTCTTTATTTTTGTTGTGGAAAAATCTCCACTGGTTTTAATAGTAATATACAGTCATCCAATGCGTAAGAATAAGAATTAAACATAACATTAAGTAGTAGTATACATGAGACAATCTTGGTGAGTCGCGTTAACATCTCAGGTGGCGAAGTGTATAGATAAAACAGAAGACATAGAACACACTAATCAGTATCTCACGTTAGCTGTTCCTGTGGGTGTAAAATGTATATTATGATGTGGCTCTCTAGCAGCCCATGAGGGTTTTGGGCAATCACATTGATGTGGCGTGCTAGTCGCCTGAGGGGGTTCAAAGTTTACAATATGATAGAACCCGCTAACAGCACTTGAGGGCTTAGGGTTAATAGATTGGTGTAGCATGCTAGCTGTTCTGGCGAACTTAAAGTGTACTTTATGGTTTTAACTCTCCGACAGGTCATGAGGGCTTGCGACCATTAGGTTAGTACGATATGTCGGCGGCCCAAGCGGGCTCGTAACAGGCAATATGGGGTATCTCTTTAGCGATTCATGTAGGGTCAGAAGCATAATGGCCACACTTATAAGCTTAAAAGATAAATATTGTGGTACATCATGCTAGTGACTTTTGTGCTGTTAGAAGTAACGCTCATTGGTAGGGCATTAGCGGCTTGTGTGAATGTAATATGTACTCATTAATGAAACATGTTAGTAACTTTTATAATGTTTAAATAAACTGTAATAAGTGGGGGGATGTGATTAACAGCCACACTGTATGCCAATGAAGTGTTATTGTGTTCTAATACAGGGATCCAAGCCCCCATTCTACCCTTAGGCAATAATGGAGTCCCCTGTGAAGCACATGGCCTTTCACCAGGCAAAATCAGTTGGGTTGTTGATAAACTCCTCCTCCATTCCCTTCCAATGCAATCCCTCTTCCCCCAGGAGGCACTCTGGTTCTGTTAGATCCTAAGGGATTGACTGAGGGAGGTGTGTCCAGCAGAAGGAGGGGCTAACCTGTTTAAAGCCCTGTGAATAGCACATTTTCTCTCTCTTTGAATTACCTCTCTTCACCTTCTCTCTCTCTCTCCCCTCTCCCCACTATACACACCCTCTCTCTCTTACTCTCAGCTGCTGATCAATGGAGTGGTAACTGTATCATGTGTCTATGCCTGTTTTACTATGTTAATTTAGCCTACTTTCCATTCAGTCAATGATTAGTTTTAGTAGCAACATATACTAGCCTATTTCAAATGTATATGTATTGTTTATTTGTTTGATTAGCCTCTATTAATAAATATTATTGAATTGCCGAAAGCAAGGAGTGTGGACTTTGACTTTACACTCTTAAGTTAATGTTATTATTAATTCCAAGTTTATTCCAACTTGTGGTGAGTTAAACGTTTATTACATAAACATAGTGGTAGAACACATTTGAAACTCATGTGGTGTTAAAATAAACATGTTGAAAGCACTCATATGTAGCTCAAGTGGATTTCGCATAAGGTGTTGCGGTAGAATATGTAAGTAACTCTTATGGGGTTAAGTCACATATATTAATAGCACTCGTTAGTTACTCATGTGGGGTTATAATAAACATTTTAGTCATATACGGTAACCTCTCTTATTGGAGTCAATATTATCACAATATTAGGACATATCAGCGGCTCTTGTGAGGCAAAAAAAAAAAAGGACGGCGGGGGGAGGGGGAATAAAAATCTAGTCTACGGTGCATGCTAGTATTACACACAAAGTAAAAGTGTCTCTCTGCAGATCTGGAATAATTAGTGCAGCTGTGGGAGTATCAACTGAGGGATCAAAATAAATAGATCCCCCCAAAAAAAGAAAAAAGGAAAAGAGGGAAAAAACAAATATTAAAGTCAGTCTCGTGTTATGCAGCCGGGCTTAAGTCTCATTTGAGCCTCTGCTCTGGCCTGTTAGTTATCTTAGCAGTGGCCTCCCCTCACGGTTACCTGACCTGTGGAGGGCGCTGCGCCAGGGTTTTCTCCCCTCTCAGTGGTGTGATTGTCTGTTGGTATAGTCCGGTGCTCCATGGGCGCAGCGGGCGATGGCTGTGGTAATTGGAGCTTCTTCAGGAAGGCCGCCGGATTCTCCGCCACGGACAGCGTCAACACTGCATCTCCATGTGGTACTACCAGGGTACCCGATGCACCCTACCTGTACCTGACTCCGTGGTCTTTGAGGAGTTTGGTGACTGGCATGAATCAGCAGGACAGCGAAATGTAGGTCGTCGAAGATTCATACTTGGCAATTTTTCACCGCTATGAGGAGTGTGCTCCGTGAGCTGGTCAGCATTGCTGTCTTCACTGCCGAGCTCCGGATGACCGCGATAATGTCTCTGGGGGCATCCACAGGGGCTGTTGTGGCCTTCCATATACGGAACACGGAGGACACGGGCGGCAGCCCTCCCTCTCCCCTCACCTCCATCAGACCGGCCATTTTGTTGGCAAACTCTAGTACTGACTCCGGTCCCATCATCCTCTTATACATATGTTTTTCTTTCAGTGCCTGGTCTCCATGGTAGTGACGGTGCGGGTGAGTCGCTGGAGCTGCTGGGAGAGATCCAGTATTCTCCCAAACCATGCCTAGAGCCAGATACGAGTTACTGCTGAGATTTTTACATTTCAGTGACAATACCCTCTGTCACCCCAGAGATCACCCCCCATACGATAGGCTTCATAAAATACGCCCACTGCTAGACCATTTTCAGGACAAATTTTCGGATGTTTATACCTCCCAACAAAATTTATGCATAGATGAATCGCTAATGAAATCCAAAGGGAGATTAGGGTTCAGACAATACATCCCCTCAAGGCGCTCTAGGTATGGCATAAAACTGTACAAACTGAGTGAGAGCGAAAGTGGACACACTTTTGCCTTTCGTGTATATGAGGGGAAAGATGGTCAACTGGACCCTCCTGGCTGTCCTGACTCCCTGGGGACAAGTGGGAAACTTGTATGGGACCTACTAAACCCCTTGTTTAATAAAGGTTACCACCTTTATATGGATAATTTTTATAGTAGTGTCCGTCTGTTTAAAACACTTTATGGTTTACAGACACTGGCCTGCAGCACTGCCAGAAAAAATTCCAAAGATTTTCCACGATCTCTCATAGAGGCAAAATTAAAAAAAGGCGAATGTAAAGCACTTCGCAAAGCTGAAGTGCTTGCACTAAAATTTAGAGACAGGAAGGATGTCAACATGCTAACCACCATCCATGACGTACGGATGTCAGACGTCTCTGTCCGAGTCCAATCCGGTTTGTAGCAGGGCGTATAATAAGTACTTGGGGGGTGTTGATTTGGCTGATCAGCTGATGCAGCCATATCTTATTTTACGAAAAACCAAAGCATGGTATAAAAAGGTGGCTATCTATCTGATGCAAATAGCAACCCACAACTCATTTTTGCTTTTTAAAAAAAATAATCCAGGGAAAAATACCTTTCTCCAATTTCAGTTGAAAATAATTTCTTTAACAATTTATGGAGATGGACAAGTTCCAACAATGGTGAGTCCAGACATTTTATTTTTAAGTTACCGCCAACTGCTAGAACCCCACCCGACCCCCCAGAAACGGGTCTGTTTTAAAAACAGGAAAAGGACAGACACCCCTTTTCACTGTCCTGATTGCCCTTCGAAACCAGGACTGTGTGTAGGAACATGTTTCAAGCTGTACCACACAGAACAGTTGTAAGAAGTGTTCCTGAATTTTTATTTTATTTTTTGTTTCTTTGGAAAGCAGCCATTTTTTGTTAGTCAGTTTCCTTCCCCCAAATCTCCAGTTAGAATCTATTTGCAGGAGTCAGTTTAAAGATTGCTGCTAAATGTACATTTGCTACCTGTACATTTGGTCTAACAAGTTTTGTGGCAGTAACACATAACCAGCTGGCCAAAACCAGATGACGTGTGCATAAAAACCAGAATTAAAAAATTACCACTACACTTTCTTTGGGGGGCAAAATGGTTGAGGGAAAGAAGTCAAAACACCCCATCTTCTATAACCTTTAATGTCTACTTTATAAAAATATATACTATATACTGTCATGATGGTAACATTAACTGGGGGGTGCAAAAATATGTCAAACTGAAGATAGACCAAGCATACCTATATATCAAGTTGAAAAACTGACATGTACAAGTTCTGATTGTTGCCTTTTGGCCCCCAAACAACCCAGCAATCCTATACATGGGTATCACTGTACTCGGGAGATGTTGCTGAACACATATTGGGGTGTTGTTTGGCAGTGACACATAACAGGATCTGTTAATTCATGCCTAAAGTACAATGTGTGTGAAAAAAAACAGAAAAAAAATTACTAACTCTATGTTTGACAAAGCCTGGTGGTAGAATTAGTGCATGGAAAGTGTTAAAATACCACCATGTGAAATACCCTAGGGTGTCTACTTTTCAAAAATATATGGTTTGAAGGGGGTAAAATACATTGGCCAGCTTCAAAAATGTCCCAAATAGGACATGCATGCAGGTTGACTACATGTCAAAATTCAAAGCTGGGAAACTGATAAATGTGGCCTTTTAGCCCTCCAACAACCCGACACACCTATACATGGGGGGTATCCCTGTACTCGGGAGATGTTGCTGAACACATATTCGGGTGTTGTTTGGCAGTGACACCTAACGGAATCTGTGAAATTATACCCGAATTACAATGTATGTGAAAAAAATAAAAAAAATAAACTACCTATGCAAAGTTTGGTAAAGGTTTGTGGTAAAATGGCTGCATAGAAAGTATCAAAATATTCTTAGATGAATACTCTGGGTTATCTAGTTGAAGAAAAATACATACATGTGGGGTGTTTTTTTTGGAGATTTATGACATAACAGTGTTACAATGTTACTATTGATACATTTGAAAAATGTACATTTTGAAACAGTAATTTCCTACTTGTACTTCTAGCCCTATAACTTGCAAATAAAATCAAACAAACACATAAACATTGGGTATTTTTAACCCCTTAAGGACTGGACTGTTTTTGTGATGTTGTACATTTGCGACCAGGCATATTTTTACACTTTTGTGGTGTTTGTGTTTGGCTGTAATTTTCCGCTTTCTCATTTACTGTTCCCATACAAATTATATATTGTTTTTTTCAGGACAAAAGGGGCTTTCTTTACATACCATTATTTATATAATCTCATGTATTTTAATTTAAAAAAAATAAAAAAATCTGATGAAAAATTGAAAAAAATACATGTTTTTTGACTTTTACTTGAAAAATCTTTTACTCATCTACAAAAGCGAATGAAAAAAACTGCTAAATAGATTCAAAATTTTGTCCTGAGTTTAAAAATACCTAGTGTTTACGTGCTTTTTTGCTTTTTTTTGCATGTTATAGGGCTATAGGTACAAGTAGGATATTGCGGTTTCAAAACATACATTTTTAAAATTTATCAATAGTGACATTGTAACACTATTATCTGTCATAAATCTCTGAATAACACCCCACATGTACATATTTTTTTTAAAGTAGACAACCCAGGGTATTCAATATGGGGTATGTCCAGTCTTTTTTAGTAGCCACTTAGTCGAAAACACTGGCCAAAGTATGCATTCATATTTGTTTGTGTGTGAAAAAAGTAAAAAAACTAAATTGAACGCTAATTTTGGCCAGTGTTTGTGACCAAGTGGTTACTAAAAAAGACTGGACATACCCCATTTGCAATACCTTGGGTTGTCTTCTTTTGCAAATGGTATGCCATCATGGGGTAATTCTCATTCCTGGGCTACCATACGCTCTCAAAGGCAACGTAACCAACCTGGCCATTTTCAATGTAAAAATATTTGACCCATATATTTGACCTTGTAACTTTCAAAAATGCTATAAAACCTGTACATGGGGGGTACTGTTTTACTCGGGAGACATCGCTGAACACAGATATTAGTGTTTAAAAACTGGAAAACGTATCACAACAATTATATCATCAGTAAAAGTGCTGTTTGTGTGTGAAAAATGCAAAAAAAGTCACTTTCACTGACAATATCATCGCTGTGATATGTTTTACTGTTTTGAATCACTAATATTTGTGTTCAGCGAAGTCTCCCGAGTAAAACAGTACCCCCCATGTACAGGTTTTAGGGTGTCGTAGAACGTTACAGGGTAAAATACAGTGCTAGCAAATTAAATTCTCTGGAATTTCGGCCTGGGTTGGCAGGCAGGTCCCTCAAATTGCAATCAATAAAATTACTGAATTATGTAAAAATATTACATAAATACGCACGTAGAATTTAAATATATATGCATATTTATATATTTGAAGTCTATGTGTATATTTATATAATTATTTATGTAATTTTGTATATGGACATATGTATATTTCTTATTATTTTTATTTATTTTTATATACATAGATATATATATACAAATTCATTCTAAGTGTATTTTGATAAAAATATATATATATTAATTTTAAAATACAGTTAGAATAAAATTTCATATAGCTATATAATTTTTTTAAAAATTTTTTATTATTATTTTAAAAATGTTTTATTTAATTTAAATTACTTATTATTTATATTTTATAATATATATATATACAATATATATAGTTATTATATATATTATATATATACGTGTGTAATTTAATTATAAGTGTATTTTTATATTAATATAAGTATTAATATAAAAATACACTTAGTATGACATATATATATATGATATATAGACATATTATATATATATATATATAATATATGTCTATATATCATATATACACATATATAATTATTATTTTTTTTTATTAACACTAACTTTATTTTTTTTTCTGATTTTACACTAGCAGGGAGACTGCCTGTCAGTACAGACAGTCCCCCTGCAGGCAGACACATGGACACCTATTGTGACCATGTGATCGCTGTGTTAAGCGATCACATGGCCACAGGGGTCCTAATTCAGTTTGGGGAGACTGTCTGGGCTGCAGGCAGTCTCCCCACAATCGGAGCCACGCTGATCGCCGCCGGGGGAACGACGGCGATCAGGTAAGTACCTCTGACCGTTAGGACGGTTCAGGACCGTCATCGGTCGGCAATGGGAAAATGCCGATGACGGTCCTGAACCGTCCTGGGTCGGGAAGGGGTTAAACTCAGGACAAAATTTTGAATCTATTTAGCAGTTTGTTTCATTCGATTTTGTAGATCAGTAAAAGATTTTTTAAGTAAAAGTCAAAAAACTTTTTTTAAAATTTTTCACCATATTTTATTATTATTTTTAAATTCAATTATATGACATGATAAAAATAATAGCATGTAAAGAAAGCCCTTTTTTGTCCTGAAAAAAACAATATGTAATTTGTATCGGAACAGTAAATGAGAGAGCGGAAAATTACAGCTAAACACAAACACCACAAAAGTGTTAAAATAGCTCTGGTCCTTAACGTACAAACATCGCAAAAACAGTCCGGTCCTGAAGGGGTTAAGATTGTAGCATTGTATAATTATACGTATCACCAGCTATTTAAGAGGCATACAGCGAATGTCTAACACCTTTAGATATAAGTAAACCATCAATATTAAAGATAAGAAAAATTATTAAAAAAAACAAGCTTTTTATTTTCTCAATAAAAAAACAGTTATAGGAAATTCCACCAATCAAGTAAATATACACACTGTCATAATGACCTGGTGGCATTTAGATAAATATCAGAAATAACAGATTTCTATGGTCATGTTATTTTTTATTCAATATTTTATACTCTTTTTATGTATCTGATTTCATATCGATGGTATTTATCTAAATGTCACCAGGTCATTATATGACAGTGTATATATTTACTTGATTGGTGGAATTTCCTATAACGTTTTATTTTTATTGAGATAATAAAAGGCTTGTTTTTTTATAATTTTTCATTACTCATGCCAGGATAGAGGGACACATGCAAACATACAGGGTTATTCAATAAAAACTGAATGGCCCCGCAAGGCTATTTGGTATTAAAAAAACTACACAATTATTTTCTTGGTTAGAAAAAAAATATTGCATTAGCACTGTTTAAGGCATGTCAAACCAGGTTAATTGTTTAACAAAACGACCTTCAGATAGAGAATAGTCATTTTCTGGATAAGTAACTGAACTCCAAGTTCAGGTACAGACTGCACTACAGAGCGCACAGCATTGAATGCTACAGAACGTTCGCTTTATAGAACCTTTCCTGGACTTCATGGTAGAACATCTGTGATTGGTTATTACGGCCGGCACATGTTTACACGCCACCAATAACTATCTGAGTTTCACTTCCTTGTTGAAGGATCAGAGACTCGTTATTGATTTGTTACCAGCATGGACTTCTGCTGTTTTCATTGGCTGACTCGTTCTATAGTGAGTCATGTGATGACACTGCTGTTTCAGAGTTGGACTGACTTCCTGGATTTCACTGCCTACTATTCACTTACAAGGTGCTCAGGTAGGTCTCTGTATATATATGGTATATATATGGTCTATATCTACATAACATTCTGCTTAATTACGGCTATACCAATAAGATTTCAGCATGTTTACACACATTAGCAGACCCCATCAGATACACTTATCATACACTTTTACATGTTATACATATACAAGGATAGTTGGAACAATGTTCCTGTAATTGTTCAATAATAGTTCCTATGTGGGGCAAGAGGATGGTGATCCAGAGATGAATTTGGAGCCAATAAGGATTTTTTCCCCCACCAGATTATTGCATTGGTGGAAATAATTCAAAGGGACGCTTCAGTTTTGCTTTAGTGCTTTATATGTATGGAGTTTGCCATTTCTTATTATTTAGAAAATTGCATATTTCAACTGAAAGATTTCAGACTGCCCTGGAAGTTGTCTTCCACTCCTTCAGCTCTGTTGAACTAAGGTAAGTAGCATGCCTACTTAGCTAGAGTGCGCTTGTATTTGGCTTCTTCACTACACTGCTAACAATTCTCAATGAGTTGTACAAGAACTCCATGAGATGTGTGAATGAAAACGCACCACAGAGGCTTATTTGAGCTGCTAATTTGTAATATACCCTCCCCCCCCCCCACCCCCACAAAACCTGCAAAATCAATTAAATGTGTTTGTTTTCTTTGAAGTATATCAACTAAACAGATGTATTTTTAAAAAAAAATGTACAAGTCATGTTTTCAGTTTGTATATTTTGGCCGTAAATTTGAGATTCAATTTGAATTTTCAATTTAATGAATGACCCAGACCACGTCACTTCACTAAACTCACTTCAAATTCTCTCTTTAGTGAATAACCCTTTAAAGTAAGAAATTGCTGGGAATTCAGAGTAAATTTAAGGCCAAACTGAAAACAAACGTGACTTGGAAAATCTATCTAAACCAACTATTTTGTTTTAAATATTGAAATTCACTTAGAATTCCAAGCAGTTCTCACATTTTTGAATATAAAACGTACAGTGTTCATAAAATAGTAAGGTTCACTTGGCTTAAAAACACTTATTTTGTATTGCCAGGTTAGCATTCACAATATCATTTAATGGAAACAAAAAATAAACAGCAAAAGATATATCTTTAAAAAAAATTATTGTACCAGGAATACATTAAACGTTGGTACGGCCCTTTTGGTTTTAAACCCACAGATTTGCCCAGAATCCAAAGTTAAAATCTCTGAGTGTCTCTCTCTAAGGCTTCATGCATAGTTCCATTTTACTGCCTTCACATTTAGGTTCCATGTAGGCACACTGACACGATGATTTAGGCACACAATTATGACATTGCTCATTTGCCCGTCCAGTGGCCTTTGTCAAAGTGTTAGTCGTCATCATTGCAACTTAGTGTCCAAGCAATATATAAAAGGAATTCAAAGTTCTTAAATTGCCCCCCTAGATATTGGAGACAAAAGTTCTTACACTGTCAGAAGTTACAATAATTTCTCATAGGACTTAAGAAATATATTTGTCTGTTTGTGTTACTTTTTTGAGTGGAAGGGGGGCAAGCATCAAAATGCCATGCAAATAATATTAATACTTTTATTCTCGCTAGGCACACCATCTATCCATGGCTTCTTACTTTGAAGAACATAACTGTGAACCTACTGTTCCTGAGGAGCAGTATCGTCAGAATGCCCTTCTAGAGTTGGCAAGGTAGTCATGAAAACATTGAGTTTTACTGGTTTGTGGTTTTTAGAATTATTTTTTTGTTTGTTTTTAAGGTCACTGACTTGAACAGTGCTGGATTTGTACATAATGTAAGATAATCTACTTGTACATTATCAGTACAGGCTCAGTCAGTGCAGGGTTTGTACGTAATGTGATGTGATTACAGATTATCAGGACATGCTCATTCAGTGCTAAATTGAAAGTAATGTAAGGCAAATTATTATGTCCAGGCAGTGCTTGGTTTGCATCTAATGTACTACAGATTATCATGATGGACCCAAGAAGTCATATGCTTTATTTCCTAACTGCTTGATGTTACTGATAATCAGACATGGATAGACCTTACTAGATGTTAAATCCAAATGTGATTTTATGATTTTGAAGTGATAGGTCCATATAATGTTTAAATTATGTATAAATAAAGGTGACATGGTGTCAGATTTGAGTTTAAAGTCTAGTCCTTTTTTCTAGGAGTCTTCTCAGTGGAATGGATATCGATCTTGGGGGTTTGGACCTTACAGAATGGGATCAGCGACTTCCGCCTCCAGCTTCCAAAAAAGTGGTGGAAAATTTGCCAAAAGTTACTGTAAAACCAGAGCAAGCAGGTAGGAGGACACATACTGAATGGTAAAAGAATGAAGGACTTGTAGAGTCCCAAGTACTTGATTAAATTGTCTCTTCCTTGCCGCTACAGATGCTGCTCTTAAGTGTCCTGTTTGTCTGTTAGAATTTGAGGAGGGTGAGACAGTCCGCCAATTACCTTGTGAGCATCTCTTTCATTCTGCCTGCATCCTGCCCTGGCTTGGAAAGGTAATCACTATTGCATCCTTCTCTGACTTGCTGTACTTTTCCATAAAGTGAATCTTTGGGAAGAAACTGTTCTGTCTGCTGCCTTGAGAGGGAATCATATGAAGAGCAGCTATGGTGGACCTGTCACTTGCCCAAATTTCACATCATAACACTTTGCATACTGCATAAACATTTGCAATAGTGTTTTGATTACCAATATTGGTTAAAAGAAAGCATTAAGGATATATTAATTTGCTTACTACTAGTGGCAAATTAAGCTACTCTTGTCAGAATACATAGTTACATAGTTGCGTCCATCAAGTTCAGCCTTCCTCACATTTGTTTTTTTGCTGTTGATCCAAAAGAAAGCAAAAAAAAAACCAGTTTGAAGCACAATTTTGCAACAAGCTAGGAAAAAAAATCCTTCTTGACCCCAGAATGGCAGTCAGATTTATCCTTCGATCAAGCAGTTATTACCCTACATTGAAAGATTATATCCTTGAAGTTAACCAATTACAATTATTCTGCAACCATGGGTTCTTCCTTAATATATACGGAGGAGAAATATATTTAAAATTCCTGCCTTTTCCTGGTCTTCATTAACTAACACCCCCATTTCTGTTTTTAGTGTACCTACACTTTCATTTTTGTTGTTTTTTAGAATTTATGTACTTAAAAAATGCTTTGGGGTTGGTTTACCTCTCTTTAGCTATCATTTTTTCATTTTGAAGTTTAGCAAGTCTAATTGCCTTTTTGCACGCATTATTTGCTTCCTTATATCTTTTATAAGATGCATCTGATTTGTCCGATTTAAATGTTTTAAATGCCCTTTTCTTATTTTTAATCTCTTGTTTTACTTCTCTACTAAGCCACATTGGTTTTAAAGGGACACTAAAGTCACCTGAACAACTTTAGCTTAATGAAGCAGTTTGGGTGTATAGAACATGCCCCTGCAGCCTCACTGCTCAATCCTCTGCCATTTAGGAGTTAAATCCCTTTGTTTATGAACCCTAGTCACACCCCCCTGCATGTGACTTGCACAGCCTTCCATAAACACTTCATGTAAAGAGAGCCCTATTTAGGCTTTTTTTATTGCAAGTTCTGTTTAATTAAGATTTTCTTATCCCCTGCTATGTCAATAGCTTGCTAAACCCTACAAGAGCCTCCTGTATGTGATTAAAGTTAAATTTAGAGATTGAGATACAATTATTTAAGGTAAATTACATCTGTTTGAAAGTGAAACCAGTTTTTTTTTTCATGCAGGCTCTGTCAATCATAGCCAGGGGAGGTGTGGCTAGGGCTGCATAAACAGAAACAAAGTGATTTAATTCCTAAATGACAGTGAATTGAGCAGTGAAATTGCAGGGGAATGATCTATACACTAAAACTGCTTTATTTAGCTAAAGTTATTTAGGTGACTATAGTGTTTCTTTTATATTTATTTCCCAATGGTACATACTGAGAAATGTACCTTTCTAATATTTGTTGGAAGATGATCCATTTATCCTCAGTGTTCTTTTCACTAAAGAGTTTATGCCAGTCAATATATTGTAAAGCTGCCCTTAACTTATTGAAATTGGCCTTTTTAAAATTATATGTTTTAGTATACCCCACGTGCTTTTGTTTTTCTGAGTTTATTTCGAAGGACACTATATTGTGATCACTATTTCCCAAGTGCTCACCTACTTGGATGTTGGTCAAAAGATCAATGTTGTTTGTTAAAACCAGGTCCAGACAAGCATTCAATATGACAGAGTAGATGACATGTCAATCTCCATTCATTTTAGCTGGGGCTGTGACATGACAAGTGAGAATTCAAAATTTTAAATGGACAATATAGTCACCAAAACCACTTTAGCTTAATAAAGCCGTTTTGGTGTATAGATCATGCCTCTGCAGTCTGACTGCTCAATTCTGCCATTTAGGATTGAAATCACTTTGTTTATGCAGCCCAAATTCTGTTTAATTTAGAATTTATCTCCTGCACTGCTAATAGCTTGCTAAACCCTGGAGTAACCTCCTGTATGTAATTAAAGTATTAAAGTTACATTTACAGCGCAGGAGATAAAAAACAAAAAAAAGTTTTGGGTAAGTTAGATCTGACTTAAAACTGAAACCATTTTTGTTTTCATGCAGACTGTGTCCTTCATGGTCAGGGGAGTTTTGGCTAAGGCTGCTAAACAGAAGCAGAAGTGATTTAACTCCTAAATGGCAGACAATTGAGCAGTGAAACGGAGGCCTGATCTATCCACAAAGACTGTTTCATTAAGCTAAAGTTGTTTTGATGACTATTGTGTACCTTTTAAGGCCACCATAGCAAAAACTGAAAATGGGTAGCTTAGAGAATTTGACCTTACATTTGAAATTCACTTTAGTAAATAACCCTGTTTAGTGTTTTTGTTTTGCACGATGTTGCCAGAGATGCATCTCTCGTTTACTATGTGGAATGCAGAGAAACTACGATAGCAATTCAGCCTTTGCCTTTTTTCTTTTTGTTTGTTAAATCTATTTTTATTTTAGATGATTCATATCATTATTATAGATCACAAACTGACAGTCACTATCAGGGTTTTTCACATTAAGTGTGAATTGAAAGCAATTCAAAGTGAATTTCAAATTTGACACCATAAAAGCTGAATTGGGTACAAAAATCAAGTCAACTGTGTTTACTTTGGCTATTTTATTATCACTTAACTTTGATTCCTGACAAATCACTTATAGTGAATAACCATGATAGTGTGTTGTCAATCAATGTTTTGAGGTCATGCAAATCTCAAATAACAAATCAAAGTATATGAGAGTCAAGGCAGAAATCGGACGTGTCACATACAACCAGCCATTTTATATTTCGATTTCTGGACAATACTCAATGTTACACAACATGTCTATACCTTACTTTATATATTTAAGGTGTGGTAAAGAGAAGGCAAATTGAGCAGTGCACATGTAACAGTATGAAATATAGCAGCGATATATGCACTGGTAGAGAGATCTAGTGTTAATAATATAAACACCTATATGTAATATAACTTTGTAGGCATTTAGGCTCATTAGCATTACAACATATGTTACGACAACAAGGTGACCTGACATAATATTCAGATAGTCAAAAATAGTAAAATGAAACGTAGAGTGAGACATAGCTAAAACATTTAAGACACCACTTAGCGTCATGGAAATACATTTCTTGGTAAGCTGTCAGACTCCTTGTTTTTGGCAGAACAGAGACAGGGGCATCCTAGAACCATATAGGCATGCTCCCTCCCCACTTTTACAAAATCCACCAACCAACCTCCAGGCAGTCGTACAGCCAATAACACAGCGCATCCCAGTAGAGATGCTCCAGGCATCTAGACTTGTTCCACTGTTGGAGCTGAATGGTCGCAGATATGGGAGTGTTGGCTTTGGACACTTCTGCATAACCTGTCGTGTAAACTTGCCCCCTGCAGAAAGTTGGTACTTCTCCTTCGGGTCACCCTTAATTAATTATTTACCAGAATGTCTGCGAGCGCAGCAGGGTTTTCCTTACTCCGCAGCTGTGCACAGAATGCCTTGCAGATATGATGAAGGTCTTTAAAGAGTGCTTCAGGGGCCTGGTGTGATTGGAGCTGAATATTGTCAGGTAGAGTATTAAGCCTGAGTAGCCACTGGATTGCTGAAGAGGTATTGAAGGACTGAAATAGTTTTCTTGACCACCTTATCTTTTTCTCATTTCCCGTTTTACTGGTGCCACTGAATTAGAATATTATAACAATTACATACCTCTTCTCCCACAGACCAATTCCTGCCCATTATGCCGGGATGAGTTACCCACTGACAGTCCGGATTATGAAGAATATAAAAAGGACAAGGTTTGTATAATCCTTAATTTCATGTTGTTGTATAGATTAGAAGCAAGACCCCTGTGAGTCTTCTTTATTTCATAACTCCAATCACCATTAGACAGCCTTTGGATGAGAATGTTGTGCCATCTCCACAGACCACCAGTGTACAATCTGTGAAACCCTGTTTTTATTTTATTCAATTTTAGGCACGAAAGCAGCAACGAGAGCAGAGACTGGAGTATTTGCATGGTGCTATGTACACTTGAGAATAAGATCACACCTCCTCCACCCAGCAATTGCATTTAAATAGTGTCTGAATCTCTTTACAGTTTGACTAGTGGCGCTCAAGACCAGACCTTAAGAAATCAATAAGAGGAGCAGACACTTTTAATGTCTCTGCTTGAGCAGAAAACTTTTCAAATTTTTTAACACATACACTAATGATGGTAATGAAGGATGGGCTCCACATCAGTTGTGTTGGTTGCTAAGAGATCTCGGATAGAAAAGGTAACATAATTTGTTTTGATGTCCCTTTCAATGTTTATTACAATTAGAGCAAAACAATATTTTTGTTTGTACATGTTACATCCGACCTTGGATCTCTAGTAATTATTGGCATTAATTCCCAGAATTCTCTACCAGTTCACAATTCTGGTATATAAAATCCAAACAGCTGGAAAGCCAAAGTTGGACACTCCTCCATTTGAGTGGCCACTTTATCCAATTAACTTTGGCTTCCTGTGAATTTTTGTTCCTGTCATATGAAATTAACATGGTGCCCAGATATACATAGTATAATACTGAACCTGGGTAAATCACAGCATTTCTTATTGATACCTCCCAGTGTCTGTCCATATTAAAATTACCAGCATTTCTTAAAAATGCTAAACTTCCAAGTTTTTGGTTTATTACATTAGACTTCAAAAAAACTTATCAATGAAAGAAAAAAAAATTTCACTGTATACTTTTAATTTTCGAATCACTACTCTGTAACCTTTGCTCATCATCTCATACCAACTGCTGCAGAAATCATGCAAATGATGTCAAATGGCTTTTATTTTAAAGGCAAGACATCAGGTCTGACTTAGGTGTTTAGAAGCTGAAATAAAAGCTTTATTTCACTCAAGTATCCCAGCCTATACTCCCCTGCAGTTTTTCTAATCTGTGGTATATTTTTATTCAAGTCACTTTAAATTATTATTATTTATAAAGCGTTAACAAGTACTGTAGCGCTGTACAATGGGTGGACTAACAGACACGTTTTTTTTTAACCAGACAAGTTGGATGCACAAGAACAGAGGGATTGAGGGCCCTGCTCAATGAGTTTACATGCTAGAGGGAGTGGGGTATAGTGATACAAAAGGGTAGGGTAGAAAAGTAGGTTGCTAGGATAGTATTCATTGAAGGCTTAGTGTTTTGTTTTGATGACAGTTTCAGGAGAGCAATCAGGGTGCAGGGAGGGAAAGCTTTTCACAGTTTAATTGATATGCTTTCCTAAAGAAGTACGTTTAATATTTTTTTTTTTTTTGAAGGAGTGGAGATAGGGTGAAAGTCTAAGAGAGGGGAAGGGCGTTCCATAGGAATGTTGCAGCCCTGGAGAAGTCTTTAAGGTGAGCACCAGAAGTAGGAGTATGAACAGAGGTTAGACGTAGGTCTCCAGCAGCGCATAGGGCCTAGATAGGACATATTTGTGTATTTATGAGGATAAGTAGGTCGGAACAGCATTGTGTCGAGTTTGTAATCAAGTATCAGCCTCTTAAATTGACTCCTATATCTTATGGGAAGCCAATGTAGGGAATGACAAAGGGGGAAGGCGTGGGAGGTGCGGGCAGACAGGAAGATGAGCCTCGCCGCCGCATTCGTTATAGACAGTAACGGGGCAAGTTGGGAACACGTAAGACCACTGAGAAGCGGAATTAAAGTAGTCAAGGCGAGAGAGGACGGCGGAATGGACAAGCACCTTTGCCATATCTGGCGTTAAATAGGGTCAGATGCACGCAATGTTTTTGAGAGAGAAGCGGCAGGATTTGGCAATTGATTGGACATGAGGGGGTGAAGGAGAAGTCAGAGTCAAAGAGAACATCTAGGCAACGAGCCTTAGCGGTAGAGCGAATGGTAGCGCTTGGAGGGACACAGACAAGGGAGTAACAACACTTGAGGCAGGGAAGACCAGAAGTTCTGTTTTGGACAGGTTCAGTTTAAGGAAATGAGCAGCCATCCAGTTGGAAATAGAGAGGCAGTCAGAGACACGAGTCAAGAGGGGTGGTGAGAAATCAGGGGAGGACAGATAAATTTAACTGTCATCCGCATAGAAATGATACTGAAAGCTGAAGGAGCTGATGAGTTTTCCAAAGGAAGAGCCGTGTAGATTGAGAACAATAGAACAAAAAAAATACTATAAATCTATTGTTGTGTACTCTAATTTGTAGATAAACTAATTTTGGTGAGGTTATGAGTGTGTCTGTGTGTTGCACTGATCACAATGGATTTCGGATGTCAATCATCTTGCCACTCCATCGAGAGATACTAGTTGCATCTAAATGACCTAAAAACCTATGCAGTTACCAATCGTTTCATGATTAGCTGAAGTGCTTCAGCAGTTACTAGGACCAATGCAATTCTGTCACAAAAGAGTGCACCCAACAGTAATCAATCTATACTTGTTTAAAGGAAGACAATCCGGGAAATCAACGGAGCTCTGGATCTTTTTAAACTATCAGTGAACAAATATCCTGTTAGAAAGCATAATGTTAAACTTTTGCCCTGGAGAAGTCTTAATGGAAATTAATGTGGTTATTCACTAAAGTTGTAATGGACTCATATTGAATGGGGCAAAACCATTTAGACTGAAAAATCCAGACATTATTTATGCCATTTAAAAAGGTCTGGGATTTGTTATTTAGGACCCAAACAGGCTGAATTTCCTCTGTATTAGTGATATGGGACCCCACTGCACAGCTGAAATGTGGATCCAGATTATATATATATATTTTTAATCTCAACTATTGCCCACTGGCAGCACTAAACAAATAGTTAAATAATGTTCCCATGACTTTATGCCATCGCACATTTGTATTCTGTTGTCAGTGGAATTAAGAAGGCTTAAACCGTAAACATACTGTCTGATAAAATTACATCAGTCTAAACTATATAAGCATGGCACAGAGGTAGTGGTGCTAAAATGGTACTTTTTATTAACAATTTAAAAAATAAAATAAAAACAAAGCCCAGGGAATCACAAAGATACCTATGATCTCCCAAAGTCTCTTAGATGTTTTTAGAGTAGCATTTGCAAATGTGAGAGGTCCCCTGGGAAACAGAGGAAACCGGAATTCTGGATTTGCTGTACTTAAGATTTCCTTTATGTGTTAAGTGGCAGTGAGGAAGCCTGTAACATTGCTTCTTACAGGAAGAACATTTTCCACCCATCTGAAGCAGTAACAGTCAGTCACTCTCCAGGAAGAGGGGGAAGAAAAAAAAATACATATTCATAATAGAAATTTTAAGGCTTGTGGAGACATGACCTTGAAAAGAGTGATGTAAGCACAACTTACTGAGGGCTTATATTTGGACACCTTGTGGTTGATTTAGGGTACAGCAGCAGGATGTTATTGCAGATAAAATCTGTTTGTCAACAGTAGTGCATAATAATTGAAGCGGTACTACAAAATTACAAAACAGCAGACATAATTATGTGTTTCTGCATAACATGTTTTCGTATTTTGGGTTCACAAAAAATACTTTTGGTATTAAAGTGACTTAACAAGTATACTATTTCATACAAAAATATAAAAAACGCCAAGATATATTTATACATGCCAGTATATTTGTTTGCAATGTTTTGCACATGGAATGTAGAATCTACCATTTAGATACTTTGCACTATTAAAAATTGCAGCCCACATTTGGGCTGCTCACCCTCCACAACTCCCATCTGCTGGTTGAGGGTTATAGTTATCCAATCCTGATATTTTGTAAAGACACTCAAAGTCAATCTACACTGTGTTGTGGTTAATATGAGGCAGGATAAGAGTACAGATGTACTTTTTAGTGTGGCACCATTGTAGTTAGATGAGGTTCGATAACACTGTCACTTTATCTTGCCCTTACAAGTATATATTATAAAAACAAAAACAAAAAAACCATAGTTTCCTAAAATTACCACAAGGTGTCTCCATCCAGTCACACAAACTGGAAACAAAAAATTAAAAATTTCTAAAAACAAAACGCCCTAAAATGTGTTAAACATAAAAATGCATGTGACAGAAAAACAAAAAAACAAAAAAAACTGTAGTGAATACTTGGTGTTTAGTTATCTTAAGCTATCAGATAACAAATTGCAACCTCCCTCTGGCTGCAAATTCATAAACATTGGCTTTGTTCTTTTATATTTGGTAAAAACATTAAAAAAAAATGTTAAAATTGTCCTGAGTGTAGAGGAAGAGGGAGGACTTGATCTGTACATCTTGCACCCCTTAAATCATGGCAATTCGTTCAGGGTTACAGTTGAGGTGGGTGGAGGTACTGCTGCTTCCCGGAGACTTGCAGCTGCGAGCTGCGCTGCTTTGCAATGCTGCCATCAGTGTGTCACTAGAGACCGAACCAAACTCATACGCAAAGGTGCCATAGAAGACCAAAATGTCTAGGACAAATATCCACTCACAGATGGCAGCCAAGTGCTGGAGAAGGAAGCTTTCATGGATGAAAAATACTCCACCTGGGTGAGTGGTTAAGGGATAGCCTGTACATGAATCTGGCCAGATTTCTAATATGAATTCATACAGGGTTATTTACTAAAGTGTTTACATTTAAGGTCAAAATATTTTACTCTGGCCTTAAATTTGAATTCTAAATTTAGTAAATAATCCTGATAATATTGCATATGTATTGGTTTTAAAACACACACATTATAGAGTAACAATAATAAAATAAAAAATCAAAAATCACATACAAGGTTAATAACTGAAGTGTTGGGAACTAAAAGTGAATTTTAAAGTCATAGCTGACTTGGAGAATTTTTCAAACTGGCTAATTTGGCTTAAATTTTTTTTAAGACAAGTCACACTATAAAATGAAAAACAAAAATCTACTTTCCTGCTATGACAAAAATTGCAGTATTTACTAAAGGAAACACATGCTACTTCCATTCAGCTGGCCACTCAGAACACACATTCTCACTGACTTGAACATTTCCTCTTTAATTCAAAAATACACCCCTTCTTCACTACTTTACGGCATTAGTGACCTTTCTGTTTCCTTTGCTCATTCTCACACCAATAATTTTAAACAGAATTTCTCAAAGGCAGCATTATTCCTCTGCAATGACCTATCTTGTGTCCTTAAAGCCTTTCCCATAGCTTCCGGTCCTTGAACAGTGCCCTTAAAGTGGCCCTGTCACTTTGCCAGTTTTATTTCGAAATTTTTTATGTTCCTTTATTTCTTATTGTTTCTACTTTTCAGAAATTCTACTTTTTTAGCTATACATACAAACACGTAAGCACTGTGCCATTTGGCAGTTTATAGCAAAAAGCAGAGCTTAAAAGGGACGCTATAGTCACCAAAACAACTTTGGCTTAATGAAGCAGTTTTGGTGTATAGATTATGCCCCTGCAGTCTCACTGGTCAATTCTCTGGGATTTAGGATTTAAATTAATTTGTTTATGCAGCCCTAGCCATACCTTCTTTGACTGTAACTCACACAGCCTCCATGAAAAAAAAAAAAAAAAGCAGCAATTTTTACAGCAAAGTGTGTTTACTTTAGAAGTTTTTATATTCTGCTGTTAACTAAAATGTAATCACACATTTATAGCTGTTGTAGACTCTAGCAGTAAAGCAAAGTAAATTAAACACACTATGCATTAAGGGAAGCAAAAACATAACTAAATGGACCCTTTGTCAGGAAGTGTGTAGGAAGGTTGTGTGAGTCTCAGTTGGGCTTTTCGATCTAAGCTAAAGTTGTTTTAGTGCTTAGAATGTCCTTTTAGGCTTGTTTGAAGAGTACCCCTTTCCATTTTGTGTTGTTCAACATTACTTTGTCAGTTGTTTGCTGCTATGTCTAAAGAACTGCAGAATATGTTGAAGCTAAATAAAATTGAATTGCCATATATCAGCTTGCCATTTGAAATTCCAGTTGTTGTGGATTACATTCTTCATAAAGCTTAACCAGTTGAATGGGGTTACTGACCATACAGCTGCAATGATGTATATACTTCTCTCATTTACTAAAATCTCTCTAGCCTACTTATCTGTTCCTGCTGACACCATCTTCATTGCTCCCACTCTCCTCTCTCTGTTCATCTAATGCACTAAACTCATCCTTATTCAGCCTTTCTCCATAAACTCCTCCTAAATGCATGCCCTCACAAACATATAAATCTTACTCTGACCGTCTCTGCCTTTCTATCGTTCTGCTTATGGCAGCTGATAATGTCGCTTTAAACCATGGTCCCCCTGCCAGTAACCTAACTTAGTATAATAACAGAAACCAAAACAATCTGATGTCAATCCCATATAACTCTACCTTTAAGTCCTCATTTCAAGCTTCCCTCTGCAATGCACGTTCTGTGTGCAACATCATTAAATCAACTTTTATCAATGACTTATTCATCACACACTTCCTAAACTTACTTGGTTTACCTGCACTGTACCTCCCCTACACTTCAGGCCTTCTTTCCAACTACTGAACAAGAGGTGGCTGCACTTTTCTTCTCATTCCACCACTTGTCTGCCTGATCCTGTATGTTCCCACCTTATCAGATCTCTCACTCTCTCCTTGTCTTGTAACATCCTGTACACACATCTTCAACATCGCTCTTGCATCTGGTGGTGTCCCTACTCCCATTAAACATGCTACTGTTGTATCCCTGCTCCCTTTTTCAAAGATTCTATAAAGACTTATATTTACTTGTTTGGCTTGCTTCCTTAATTCCAACTCTCTCCTCAACCCTCTTCAATTTGGCTTGCACTCCCTGTACTTTACTGAGACTGCTCTGATTAAACTTACAAAATGACACAGTTAAATCCAAAGGCCACAACTCCATACTAATACTTCTTGGCCTCTCTGCCGTCTTTGACACTGTTGATCATGTCCTCCTCCTTCAAACTCTTAATTTCCTCTGTCTGTGTGACACTGTCTTGATGGTTCTCCTCCTATCTCTCCCAACGTAGGTTTAGCGTTTCCTGTTCCGATGACACCACCTCCTCTTGTCCTGTCTCATTTGGAGTCTCTCAAGGCTCTGCTCTTGGTTCACTTTTGTTCTCTTTCTATACTGTCTCTCTTGGCAAACTCATTTCATTTGGATTCCACTACCACCTGTACACTGATGACACCCATATATATATCTCCTCCTCTGATCTTTCCCTCACTGTCCTACAATGTGTCTTTGCCTGCTTTTCTTCAATCCCTGACTGCATGTCCCCTCCCTCTGAAATTTGCTGTCTTTAAAACATTACAGTGATCCTCTTTTGCTTTCCCTGCAAGTTGATGGCACCTGCATCCATCTGTCCTTGCAAGCTCGCTGTCATCTTTCATCCTGGCCTCAACTCTGCAACTCATATCCAGTCTGTTGCTAAAACCTGTCAATTCCACCTCAAAAATATTGCCCACATCTGCCCCTTTCTTACGCTAGATGCTGTCTAAGAGCTTGTTCTTGCTCTGGTAATTCTCTTCTAACTGGTCTCCCCAGAAGCCGAACTGCCCCACTGCAATCTGTAATGAATGCTGCTGCCAGGCTGAGCTTTTTATCCTGTTGCTCCTCCCATACCTCGCCCCTCTGTACATCCTTACACTGGTTTCCTGTATCCTATAGGTGTCAATTCAAAATACTAACCCTTAATTATAAATTTCGAAACAACTCTAGCCTGTTACATTTCTTCACAAATTCGTAGTTATGCCCCTTCTTGGTCTCTCCACTCTGCCGGTGAGCTCCTCCGGTCGTCTGCTCGCACCCTTAATGCTTATTCACCCTTCCATGACTTTTCAGGGGCAGCTGGTTTTCTTTTTAACAGCCAGCCTACCCCCATCAGACTCTCCCTTAGTCTTCAATCATTTAAGAAGTCCCTCAAAACCTATCTGTTCAGTAATGCTTATGGCCTCTCAGAGTAACTTCTATGTCACATACCTGTCTCTTATGCCCTCCTAAATATCCACACTTAACAGTCACCTCCAGTTCTGCTATGTTTCCACCTTGCCCTATTTTGACCTTATACTCCACTCCTCTAGACGGTTAGCTTATTTGAGCAGGGTCCTAATCTACCTATTGTTCCTGTATCATTTTGTACTTCTCTCATTTATTGTTAAATTTCCCCCTTCCATAACATTGTTAAGAGCTGTGGAATAAGATGATGCTATATAAATGCCAATAATAATACAAAAAAGTAGCACAAATATGTACATAAAAGGATACTCAGAACAAGGGATATTAAGGCCACAGCGGTTAGGCTGACACGCAGGTGTCCCACCCAGTAATCCAGAGCACTAATTGCCAAATGGTAGGTGAGGATGCAGTGTAGGCATACAAACAGCAATCCTGCTGGGAACGCCACTCCTGCCCCAATATAATGTAGAGATTTGGCGTAATCCACCTGAGAACATAAGAAAATATAATGACTCAAGACACATTGATAGTAGATGTTTACCACTGTCAGCATGAAATGCAAGGTATTCAAACTAAATAATAAGTTACAAAAGAAGAAACAAAAACTAGTTGACAACATGCATTTCAGTCTTCTAACATGTAGTTAAATTGACACATGGATATTTTAATAGCACAAAGATCTAGTCTTCTCTGCCATTTGTCAACAATTTCAACCAAATTCTCTTCTAGATTATGTTCAGCAAATTCTGGGAAATATAGGCACGCAAAAGATGGCAGCATGTATCTATATTTATATTCATTAGTTTGCCTGCTTATTACACAGAGCTGGGAGTAAAGGCAGGCTAACATGTAGAAGCATATTGTGGGTGAAACTGCTTAATGACCAGCATCAAATAAAGCCACGCTTATAAATGGTTAGTCAACCTGCTGTTCACAGACACTCATGGACTACACATTCCATTTGGCTGAATCATAGGGATTTTAGTTTCATCATCAACAACCAGACAATTGTCTTGAACATCCTTGAATTAAATTAGGCTGACAAAGTATAGCTTGCAAGTTAGCTCAGTCTAAGCCCTCTGGTTACAAAGAAATGGATTCTTGGGAAGCCATTGCGAATTTGTGGCAAAATGCTACCCTGGCCAATCAGCATCCCCTCATAAAGATGCATTGGCTCAATGCATCTCTATGGGGAAAGTTCAGCGCTTTCATGCAGAGCATGGAGATAATGTGCAACAGTGACCCAGGAAGCACCTCTAGTGGCCGTCTGAGTGACTGCCACTGGAGATGTCCCAATATAGTAATGCAAACACTGCCTTTTCTGTGAAAAGGCAGTGTTTACATTCAAAAGCCTGCAGAGACATGCTATACTCACCAGAACAACTACATTAAGCTGTAGTTTTTCAGGTGACTATAGTGTCCCTTTAATGTAAAAAGAAAAAGGTGGTGACATGTGGAACCAACTACTTTAACACCAGTATTAATAACTCACCTGTAGTGAGCAGCAATATACTGTACAAGTAGCCTGTGAGCAGTACTCAAGGACTAAACATGTCACCCCATGGCAGAACATGAATGTCTGAGCATCTCACTAGGACCGCTTTATCAATGTGTAGTATATCCCAGCATATTAGGTTATTATTAAAAAAAGAGAGAATCAAGTGTGTGTGAGATGTAGTTTAAATATGTGGTGCAAAGTAGTCGGCTCTTACCTGGAAGTTGCCCACCATGACAAGACCTGCCGCATTGGTGCATCCGGAAATCAGGGCGACTGTGTTCAGCCAGGAACTGTGGCTGAGCTCGATCACCTGACTGTATCTCAGTAAACAGATCATCACCACTGAGAGAGAGGAGAGTCAGGGAGGAAAAAGGAGACTGACGATACAAGTGGGAGGGGGGGGGGGGAGGAGGGGCCACTGAGGGGGAATAAGGAACATGCATTAGGTTCCACAAAATACACTTACCCATAAAAGCTCCAACATTTCCAATCAGGCTAAACAGACAGCTCTCTGGAGGGTATGTCCCACACTTGCTGTTTGGAGAAGAAAAGAAGAGTTGTGTGTTAGAAAATTCTGTCGACAGATACAGACAGAAGGTAAACGGAAAATAAAGGGTGGCTACCTGTTATTTTGTCCATAGAAAAAGTTGTTGCCGGGTAGAGTGTATAGAGGGACGGAATTAGCTGTGAATGACCTACCTGATGAGGGGAACATCCTCTAGGGTACAGCAAGATTTGGGAGTCCCCTGCTTGCTGTTGTCATCGGAGCACGTCAGATTGTATGTCCTACAAAAGAGGGGAAAAGAAAAAAAGCTCAAATTAATAGAAAAGTCAGGGTTCTTATAAGTTACAAGCAACCTGGGCCACCACAGAGGCTACAAAAATCTTCTTTGATTTGTCTGATTCTACACAGGGCAATGTGTGCTTTATGTACGTGGACTCCAGGTATAGAAGTTCTTACCCAAATGTTAACTGGTTAACTTTAGAAGAGAGTCTAGACAATGCGGACATAGTAAATACTGTTAACACATATTACTTTATTTTCAGGGCACTGTGTGGTAATGAATGAAAGCACATCATCTGCCCAGTGCAAATTTACACAAAGTTTAATTAAGTTTTAAAATAAGAATGATGTCCTACTATGCATGTTACAATGCCATTTTGTAACTTTTTTAGGATTAACTAAATCACAAAAACAGACAAGTGGCTTGCACTACACAGTAGCATTACACATCAATAAATCCTAAAATGACACATCCGCAACCATTATTATAGGAGGTCTCAATTAGGTATGATTTGTATACCGTACCAGTTTTCCACTGGACACACGTGATGGTTCATTACAGCCATAGCGTACCTGCAAGAAAGAAAAGGAAGCTTGTGCTGGTCACTTTTATAACGTTTGTTACAATAAATCAATTGCCCATTATCTAGCCATCTTTGCACTCATATATACAGATAATCCTATTTTGATGCATTTATAAAAACACATCTAGGTTTATTTAGTAAATACCAATTTATAGAGAAACCAAAATTAAATGGTAAAATTTAGTCTAATATAGCGGATTTGGAAAAATTCCCTGAAAACTGCACCACAGTCACAACTTACCAATTTTTCACCCAACACTGTGATTTATTTTACAATCCACGTCTATTTATTGTTTAGTGAAAAAAAAACCCCAACAACAAATTACTAGGAGCAAGAAAATCATTACAAAACAAAACAACCTGACATCATTGTCTGTAATAATTGATGATGCCAAACAGGAGCAAAACAGAAATCTGTTCTGTCCCCTGCAAGATACTAATTTTTATATAGAATTTAGGGATGTGGTGTGTTCTCAGACCCTCTGTTACTCAGGGTCCAAAGAAGAACACTTTAGTGTTAGGAAAACATTTACATGTTCTTTTAATAACATTACACATACCTGTATGTTATGTTATGTGCAATTGGCAACTTGAATTAGTGTGTGTGTGTATATATGTATGTATATATCAGGAAAAAATATATTTTTGTTTAAATAGTTTTGTAAGTCAAAGTTTGTGTAACTCCCACTCAACCTTTTTTTGCTTTACATAATTTATTAATGCATTAACTATATTGCAAATGTAAAACTTTGGCATAGAATGTAACTCCAGCATACTGGCTCCATATTTATCCTTAAAAATATAATTTCATGTCTACATCTCTCACTATCAAGATCCCTCTGTATGCTTACACAATCCATATTCCAGGGATAGAGAACGCAGTCAGGCTGATAGGAAGGACAATCCAGCCGGTCATTAGTAAGGAGGAACCGGGGGTCAAGGGAGGGGGACGAGCAGTCAGAACAGGGAGCTCCACAGCAAATCATCAGCGGGCATTGATTGTATGGGCAAGGGACATTTCACTGACCACCTGAGAGACAGAGAGAGATGGATCAAAGAACAAAAACAATCTGAAGAGGAAAATGGATAAATCTTAGAATATGGATCAGGGTACATGTAAAGGAATATCTCGAGAGTTTCTGAAGAATATGGCACATTTATATTTAAAAAAAATCATGACAGATCAAAGGATAATATTACGTAGAGTTTGCTCATAATGGGAGAATAAATGCAGTGCCTGCAAAATAGCAAATATTCATACAGTTGCATGTTATGATCACAGTATCTAATATCTCCTAGCATAAATCACCTTTTATTCCTTCCTCAATACTATTTCACCAAGAAGATTTTACCAGCTGAAGATATATTCTCCCCCCTCCCTACATTTTTACAGACTAAACACTACGCCACAGAATTTTAGGGCAAAAGAGGAGAGCTGTAAAAATAGTAATTTTCCATTCCTTGTTCCCAAAATCTCCAAACTACCCCTAAACCTGGCTTTCCCCTCTGACACCACCTTACAACCTATCAGATTATGGGTAAGCTGGTATGACCTGTCAACCATTTCCCTGACTAATTTTATTATTTTATTGCTATTCATTCAATTTAACCCCATAAATATTACTGCTGTTACCTACCGTTCTTATAGTCATCCTTGTGTTTTTTCTTGAACACTTCTAAATGGTTATGGTCTCCACTCTGGAGAGTCTGGTAATTTCAACAGGTTTCCCACTATCAGAACCCATTCCCTTACTTTACGGTACCATACACCAAGCTCATATTGAACTGCAAAATATTCATCCTGTCCTCATACAGGTTGTACAGTCTAAGCAACATAACCAACACAGCTTTTATTATGCATCAAACCTTTTTGGAGCAATTTGACAAAAAAAAAAAAACCACAGGGCTCTAGCTGGCATTGCTCCCACATTATCAATACCATCCAATCTGAACAATGGTAGGATTATGTTTTCTAGTGGAGGGTTAACCCAGCCGTCCGTAGTGGATGGCATTGATATGAACAAGTTGACTGGAGAATCTATGGGTCCCATGGAGAGTGAAAGTTTTTGTGAAACCACTCCATGACTGTTTCACATTAAAAAAAAAAAATATATATATATGACAAATGGCTGTTCTCAGAGCAGCTGCTGTATTGGTAGGAATGCACACAGAGTTGTGGAGAGGGAGAGAGAAGACAGCCTAGACTAGCCTGTTCCCACGGGGCCCCTGGGAGTCCATCCTCCGACATCCAAAAGATATGAAAACAGGAGGATGACTAGAAAATATATTTTCTTATTTATTTCTCTGTGTGTCTGTGTACCTGTAGACACAGTGTATATCAGTGTGCAACTGTGTGACCAGCAATGCAAGAGTATATATATATATATGTTGATACACCACTGCACTGAAGCACCAAGACTACACATACACACTAGTAACTGCACAAATATACTCCATACAAAAATGCCAACATTCAAATGAATACACCTCTACATTTAATTGCCAACTCAAGCCATTCAAGCAAACCCTACACACAAACACACCTGTCTGCAAATGCCAATACTACACACAAATATACCATTGTGTTCACACACAATGTGAGAATGGGCAAACGATAGAACCAAAGCTGACAAAGACCATGGGAGTTTTAGTGCAGTTGAGGTGATGACCTATTTGGTCATACTTTCCCTAAGTGTAGGGAGGTAAAGCCAAAAAAAATTTTTATTTTTTTTTTCTGGTCAGGTCCCATACACAGACAAACACATCCCCAGACATATAGTCATGCAAGGATACTCACAGTCAGACATACACTCTCGTACACTGATAGACAATGCTAGACACACACAGTCAGAAATATACACAGTCAGTGCACAATGTGGCTGTAACGTACGGTAATTATTTGGTAAATTGTTTTATTTTTTATTTTTTTAAGTTTTTCTAGCATACCACAATTTCTGTAATTGCAAATGAAATTTGGTTATTTTATTAATTGTGTTTGCAAATTATGCCATAACTACTGGCAGAGAGCTCAAGGAGCAGCAGAAAAGTGAACTGCAATGCTGCGAGCCTCTGAATGCTGAATACAAAGGCAAGCATGTCTGCAGGCACACCCTTGAATGTACTTTTCACCAGTGCTGGTTGATGCTTGCCACCTGCACCTCTGCAAAGTCGTGAATCACACCATTATGGCCCACTTTTCTCCCTGTCCACGCAAGGAAAGCAGAGGAGGAGCCGGAAAGTGATGAGAGTGAGGCTTGCAGCAACAGTCATGCTGGCGAGCTGGGTAGCTGATCTTATGTATTGCTTATTGTATTATCTTATGTATTGCTTATTGGAATAAAAAAGGTAAGATTACATTTTTCCCTTCCACTACCTCACTGTATGTATCTGCGAGTGTTTGTACGTATGTCTCCGACTGAATGTATCTGTTGTCGTGTGCCTATGGCTGTACATATGAACGTGTGGTGTCTGAGTCTATAGATGTGTGCAAAGAGGCAGTGTTCTAGTAATGCAGCAATATATATATATATATATATATATATAATGTGCTGTATATGCATACTAAAACAAAACATAGTTAAACATTACTTTCCATGACACCCAAAATACTCGGATTCTGTGGGTGTTTTTTGTTTGCAAACTGCTTGGCAGTGAGGGTTAAAGGGGAACCATCACCCCTTACCTGACTCTCCGCTCCCCTGCCAAAGTCTTCTTAACCCCTTACGGACACATGACATGTATGACATGTCATGATTCCCTTTTATTCCAGAAGTTTGGTCCTTAAGGGGTTAAAGGAGGTGGGTGTTACACTACTCACTACTGTAAAACCCACCTCTGATCTGTCCACGCTCCTTGACTCTATGTTGATTTGAAAACTTGGGGACACTTCCCATAGAAGGGCAATTCTCCTCCATGACACCAACACGCTGGCTTAAATGCTGGTGTCTTTCTGTCATTCTGTTCCTATACTGTCAATTCAGCCCTAGCAACGCCGGCTAGATAGTTGCCATAACAACCATGGCATATGCTATGGGTGGAGAGGGACCTCCTGTAAGAAAAACTTATTAATCTATGCATTTGCTAGCAAAATTGCTAGAACATATAGATATGATTTTATCCTCAATAAAATGAGCAGACGTTATTTTGGACATCACATACGCCCTTTAAATAATGTGCTATCTATGCATATTGAAATGAAAAGTATAAGCATTATCTTCCAGGACACCCACAAAAAAAAAAAAAAAAAAAAAAAATGTAGTTTCTGGTGGCTATTTTCTTTTTGCAAACTACTTGGTAATGAAGGTGTTAAACATTAAATGTATATTAAAAATAAAAGGGCTGCGCTTAAGTAATAAATGAATAAAAGTCCAGATAAAATAAATAAATAAATAAAACAGAAGAGGTCTTATCTTGCAATGTCCGTAATACTTAGTCAGAGGTAATAATCTTGCTTTCTGTCTTGCTTTCTGTCTTTCTTGTGGATTGTCTCTTATGTAAGATATAAAAACAAATATAAAACCACAATGGTGCAGTATATCTATATGTGTAAGGAATAAAATATAAAGGCTTGATTGCGAACTCACATATCCAAGAGCTAGGACCTGCTCTGGTATAGAAGGCGTACAGCGGTTTAGATCCCCGCTTATGGGATATAACATGGTTATTTATAGTGTGTAATGTTACAATTAAAGTATATTTTATAATCTTTTATTGTACTACTTATCTTTTAACACACATATAATTATTATTGTTACCTGGCATCATTCGCTGGACTCCAAGCAATCCTAGGTGGGGATTATTCCACCAGTGCGAAATACCAGGAGCAGTTGACCTGCTCCTGTCTTGTGAGTATCCATTTTTTTATTTTGTTTTTATATTGGATTTTAATTTTACGCAGAGAACACTATTGGCTGTCTCTTTTTATTTGAGCATCTTTTACACCACGGAAGGAGGAAACACGTGGAGGATAACCATCCTATATCCCATAAGGGGGGATCTAAACCGCTGTACGCCTTCTATACCAGAGCAGGTCCTAGCTCTTGGATATGTGAGTTCGCAATCAAGCCTTTATATTTTATTCCTTACACATATAGATATACTGCACCATTGTGGTTTTGTATTTGTTTTTATATCTTACATAAGAGACAATCCACAAGAAAGACAGAAAGCAAGACAGAAAGCAAGAAAGCAAGATTATTACCTCTGACTAAGTATTATGGACATTGCAAGATAAGACCTCTTCTGTTTTATTTATTTATTTATTTATTTTATCTGGACTTTTATTCATTTATTACTTAAGCGCAGCCCTTTTTTTGTATTTTTTGTGTCTTATCCTAAAGGGTTTTTGAGGGATTCCCTTTTTAGGGTTGCTGCCCACTTGTGTTATTTAGCGCTTACTCACCTGTTTTCATTAAATGTATATTGTTTGCTGTTCTGGCAGCTAAAAGGTTAATGTAAATCGATGTCTGAAATTTAAATGACTCAAAAGTGTGTAAATCCCTATTAAAAAGGTAACAGAATAAAAAGACTAGAACCCCGATGGGGTTTTTAAAACCTTGTCTATAATGCAAATTTGTTTTAGGGGAAACCACACATAAGCAACGAATTAAGTTATTCGACTGAGTATAAATATTTTAATTTTGGAGTTTTTAGTCAACATAGAAACTTTTTGCCAGATCAGTTCACCTCATTTAAAAAAAAAAAATTTAAAAAAATATTATTTGTACTAATTGCCTCTTTATTGTTGGTACTCTGTCTTGAGATTTCTGTGGAATTCCTCAGTTTCTATATTCTAACTCAATATCCACAATAAATATGTGATAAATACACAAACACTACAGCCCCTCCACATAGAAAACATACAACTCCGAATATACACACAGAATGCAACCCCTACTTTTTTTTCTCCACATTATAGGCCTCATGTTCGTTTTTGCCTAAGGCCCCGCAAGGTCTAAAAGTCACCAGTGTGGATGTTTTGGGATAGAGCAAAGTGGGCGAATCTGTAGAAAGCATTAAATTAGTGTGGCTTACATTCACTAGCTTGCATACTTGCCATGAAGGGTCTCTGAAATACTTTTTTTCAGATATTGACAACTATGCCTTTAAGCCAAAGGCACTAACCTAGCAACATTCCTTTATATTGCTATCCTTCAATCTACCCTAGACATCAGCTTCAACCAACTCTCTTCATGGCTCCATCGCTGATAAGTGTGTTATTCTCATAATGCTAAGGTTTGTTGGGGAAAGTTTCACACAACATATGTCCTACATTATAAAGTAGTGCTGCATTGGACTGGACTTGTCCAACTCAACCTTACCTTGACAACAACTATTTCTTGTACTCTTAAATATGTACGTCAGAAACCCAAAGCTACATTACTACAGTTTAGCTCTCTGATTTGCACAGGGAAGATATAACCCAAAATCAATATAAACACAAGTTGATTACAATACCTTAGCAAAACAAAGTTTCATATATGCAAGATTGACAACATACATCTTTGTGCATTTTCTAGGTTTAAATGAGAAACTGTGAAAAATATATACACACACAGAATGGAGGATGCAGTTATCATTAAAAGTGACCAATGTCACATACGTCTGTGTACTACTGTCATAACATTTTAGGAATTGATGAAAAGAAGGATAAACCTGTCCGTCACATAAGCAATTAAAAAAAAATTTTTTTTTTTTTTTAACAAGCCAATAAAGAGATGAATAAAAAGCAAAGTGACATCTAATAACACATAAAGGAAGTTGAGACAGAGATGTAATTTCATCAACTAAATCTTCCCCTTAAAATATTTCCATATTGATTTTCTACCACACAGTTAACTCAACATTGCATTACTGCACTAAGTATCATTACCTGACCTCAATCCTGTGTTTTCTATCAAAAACCCAATCCATTTTCTCTTTATCTCTCTCCTGACTCCACCTCTATTCCCCACATTACACTAATGCAAAAATGTCTTGATAATAGCTTTTTAATCCTACTCACAAGGCCTATAGCATATTTTTTCACAAAGACACACACATTACATTTTTTACTACACATTGTCAGGGTGGCTGGTGAATGCAACAAGAAAGAGCATGAGTATAAATAGGTGAATATTGGAATGTGGTGGATCTGAGTGTAAAAAAACACAATCACTGGGAGGAGGATATGAACACTGGATTCTGACCTGCCTTTGTTGCACAATATATTTGAGGGCTTGCATGAGTAAACAACGTGTCCCTTGCAATGTTTCCATATACATGTTTATTTAGAATATGGTCCTGATAGGTAGTACACACATCCCCTTCATACAGCATATACACATACAGAGTACACAGCTAAAATAAATAGAATAGGAAGGGGGGGAAAATAACAAGAGATGAAAATAGTCTATTAGCAGACAGGTATCGCAGGTATGAAACCAATAATGGATGTGAAGCATGGTTCCTCCACCCCCCCCATATCACCCGCTGATACACACCCGTTCCCCGCAGCCCTTAGATCCCCCGGAGCCTCCGCTGAGCAGTCCCTTTAACTCATTAACCAGCACACACCGCGGATGCTCTTGGGAGTTGTGGTGTCGAAAGACGTGCGCAGAGTGTGCCGGTATCTGCACACTGGACTTCATTTCCCAGCATGCAAAGTGTTGCGAGCAGCCCCTTCTCGCTGCACACAGCGTGCTTGCATCAGTGAGGAATGGGGAATGACGTCTTACGTCGAGCGCTGCGTGGAGTTCATTCCACGTCCAAGGACCCCCTGCCATTACCTGGCTGCTCGCGGTATTTACTAAGCGCGAATTCAGAGTGATTTTCAAGTTTACTGCCAGAATAGGCAAACTGGAAACATGGCTGACACACATTTTATTTTCCAATTTTGCTATTGAAGGCTAACTCCAAGCCCACTGATCCCCCCATTTGAGATTTTAAAGGACCACTATAGGCACCCAGACCACTTTAGGTTAACGAGGTGGTCTGGGTGGCAGGTCCAGCTAGGGTTAACCCTTTCTGCTGTAAACAGTTTATAATAGGGTTAATCCAGCCTCTAGCTTCCGCGCTTCTCACTGTGATTAGACGCCAGTGTCCATAGGAAAGCATTGTGAACGCTTTCCTATGGACTGGCTGGATGCGTGCACAGCTCCTGCCGTGCATGCACATTCAGCCGAGGAGAGTCCCCTGCCTGGTGCTGGAGAAAGAGGTAAGTTTAACCCCTTCCACCCCCTAGAGCCCGGCGGGTGGGAGCACCCTCAGGGCACTATTGTGCCAGAAAAAAGTGTGTTTTCCTGGCACTATAGTTGTCCTTTAAGACAAAGTTTAGGCCCCCAGCCCCCCTTTTAAAACTTCTGTATTCCAGCGCCATGCAGATTTGCCGCAAATGACTCCACCTCCTTGGCTGAGATCATCAAAAGTGACTCTCTCAACCTACCCAATGCTTTCCCATAGGAAGCATTGGGAGGCTATTGTGCATGCACGGAAAAATCAGCATTTCCTCATAGAGATGCATTGAATCAATGCATTTCTATGAGAAACATTTGGTGGCTCCACGCAGAGCGTACATCTGAACGACAGGCTATAGATACCAGAACCTCTACATTAAGCTGTAGTTGTTCTGGTGACTATAGTGTCCTTATAAACTAAGTATATCTCCCTATATGCGTCCTGTGAGCTACCACCACTTAATCGGGCAGGTCACTTTATGGGGTATTTGCAAAAAAAAAAAAATACAAAGACCCCACAAATCACAGTACCACTGTACTTGGTCTTATTGTTACAGAGACACTACAGGAATAATTTCACAGATTTTTTTTTCAATACACTCTTTAGAGTGTGAATTTGAAATGTATATTCAAACACACAATTAAACAATAAAATATATTAATGTAGAACTTGGATTTAGGCCAGAGTAGACAAAACTAAACACACATGCAAGTTAGAATTTTCCAGTTTGGCTACTGTGACCTTCAAATTAAAATTTACTTAAAATTCTCACTTTAGTCAATAACCCTGAATGTGTAGCATTATTATTGGAGGAAAACCAAAAACATTTCAGGATGCAAGAGATGATTCAGAAATAATGTAATAAAACAGTTCAGTAATAAAATAAAGAAAAAAGCCTAACCTAAACATTGCAACAAATCTGACTGACATGATTTAGGGCTCATTTTCTGCTGTCCCATGTTTGTTTCTTAGTGTCACACCAACGCCACAAAAATGTATACAGTAAGCAAAGTGCAACTACATCAATAAACGCGCTTATTATGGGCAATGTGCACACAGGGCATTTATGCATTTACAGAGTGCTTCTAAAGCTCTGTACACATGGACAATCCTCAGTGGGCTGGCCCATGCAGCTGCCGCTCAGAAGCCCCCTATTCCATTGTTACTTTAGTCCTACATTCATACTTCCTATGGATCCCAACACATTTATTATTCACCAGTTCAATTCCAGAGTATTTAATACAGGGCTTAACTAGGCCATTAAAGATACTCCCTGCTATAAGTCATAGCATACTCACCAAGGGTGAATTTCTACTGACCAGGGCTAAACCTTCCTTCGCCAAGTGCTAATGGTTAATGGAAATGTTTTAACATATAATATGTCTTTCCAATGGCTACTGGTTTATTTTATATCTAACATATTTCTAAATGTGAGGATTCTCAGGAAAAAAATAAATAAATCATTAACTAGTTTAAAGGAACACTATAGTGTCGGGAACAGAAACAGATATTCCTGACCCTATAGTTTTAAAACCACTATCAACCCTCCCAGCCTCCATAAATATAGTAAAATGTTACTTGTATTCAAGTCTACAGCTGCGGACCCTGCCCCACATCATCAGAAGTGATTCTATGAACCAATAACAATGCTTCCCTATAGGACTGTCAAGAAGGCAGAGCCAGCACAAGTCAAATACAGCATTGTCCACTCAGCATCTTCTCATAGAGAGGCATTTAATTAATGCTTCTCTATGGGGAAAGCTCAGTGTCTCCATGCAGAGAATGGAGAAACTGAATGACAGAAACTGCCCCAGGTAGCACCTCTAGCAGCCATCTGAGTGGCAGCCAGTGGAGTTCTCACTAGGCTGTAATGTAACCAATGCATTTTCTCTGATAACACAGTATTTACTGCAAAAAGCCTAAAGGGAATGATTCTACTGACCAGAACTAATACAATAAGCTGCAGTTGTTCTTGTGACTATAGTCTATACATTATATAATGTATATAACATACTCCATGTAGAATGTAAGAACCTCTTTTCCTGTGTGTCCAAAATGTCATATTGTAGCTACTTGTTTGTCAGTTCATCTTTTGAACAGAGCTACAAAATAATTGGCACTTTATTAATAATAATATTCCCATTTTTATTTTGCAAATAAACCTCATAGTGATCGTGTTACCAAGAGTGTTCTCGCAGTGTCTCGCAAAATGCAGAAAGCAAAGAACCCAGGTAATAAGTCAAACCATTAGCAAACAGTTTAACTACTTATAATAGGGGAGTGCCATGACACTAATGGCACTATAAGCACTACTGTGTGGTTAACCAGGTGTTTCCCAAGGACACTAAACATAAGCCACACAGCAAGTTGTATGGGTTAATTTTTGTAAAGTGCCCCTTTAAGCCAACATGAAATCTATTGTCACCAAAGCTTGCTATTTGGCCACAGGAAGCTGCAATAAAAAAATAATAAAATACACACACACACACACACACACATATATGTTTACAGAAATTCCAGAGTCATTGCAAAAATGCTTTGGTGGCCTGTAATGGTTCATTATTTTAAATAAGTTAAAAAAAAAAATTTAAAAAAATTGTGAGTGTTCTTCATATATTAAAAAGTGATTACATTTCTTGGCAAAGTTTAATATGTATGTAATATGAACTGGTACATATTTTCTAGTCTCAGGTTTGTGTTTAATAAAACTGTTAATGAGTCCTCTAACATTGAGAATAGAACTACCCAGCCCTGCATAACACAGAACAGTTTTATTCTGCATGTGATTGTATCTACAGAATGTGGTAGACAAGGGGCTAGTATAGCTTTGCAAACACACAATAAACTATTTGTCCTTAACCCAAAGCATGCAGAGATAATATAGAGTGTGTCACAATAATTTCTATATTGCAGAGCCAGGCACATACATTGGGTTTACTTTACTCCCTACTACATTTCCAAAACTATAGATTAGTTAGCTGTTCAGATAACACAATTAATAGATACAATTATGTGCATCTTAAAAGAAAAAAAAAAAAAGGCACTAACATGTTATGCATTATAGAGTTCTCTTTTACAAATTAGTAAGAAACTTATAAAATGCCTATTTTGTTTACACTCTCTAACATATTTGCACACAAAACACAATTCCACTGATTTCAAACCAAAATACTGTCTGCTCACAATCACTGTAGATTTATAGAGACTCTGGCAGTCCAAGACACACAATTTCTGAAGTGTGTAGATACTGAATATGCAACAGTCTACAAGAGCTCTCAGTTTGGTAGTAACTTTGGTGAGAAATCAAAACCAGTGTCCTATCCTCTACAGCCTCCTGGCCACAAAACAATTCTTTTTCCCGTTTCCTAGTTTGTCTTCTGGGACTGGGACCAATACTGGCCAGCACCGTGTGCCACGGGTACATATTGTATATGCCATCAAATGGGGGCACATGCCTTCAGCGTTGCACTCTTCTCTTGGAAATCTCCTCTTGGATCCGTTGTCTAAGGGCCTCCTTCATTCTGTTCTCCAAATGATTCTGATTAGAGATTTTGGTTGCCACTTGCTCTGCATCATCATCCTATGGAGTAGATGAAAAAGAAATCCATTAAAGCTTATACTGTAGCCCAACCATTGTTGTGAAATATCAAAGAAACTAGGTAGTGATGACCTTCTAAAATGGTAGTTAAATGTTTGGCAGAATCAAAAGTATTGCCTTGAAGAGACATTAAGCATCACAACCACAACAATTTAACGTATTGGTTCTGGTGCAAACAGCGTGTCTTTGCAGTTTAAGAATTGAAAACAATTATCTGAGAAACAGTAGTATTCAAACTTTACACTTTATATTAAGGAGACCTCTAGTGGCTGTTAGAATAGTTGTTTGGAGTCTTCACACTGAACACTTCTCCACACAAAAGTGGCTAAAAACACACTTTACGTATGTGTATGTTTTGCAATAGTGACAGAATTTGCAGTTTATTGGTGTTAAATACAGCAGTCAGTGGCCGACGAGCTTTGAAAGGATAATAATGATACTAATCCCTGAAAAAAAAAACAAAAACAAAAAACCCTATATCCCTAGTATATGCAAGCCTAAACATAAGCCAGCCAACCAAACACCTGACCTATGTCCGGGCGTGGGAGAAAGAGCTAGGCAAAACACTAACTGAAGAAACATGGAAAACAATATTTGGGACCCCTAGAAAATTAACCCTCTGCTCCAATCACATAGAACTAGCGAGAAAACTACTCTATAGATGGTACTTAGTACCAAAGAGACTCCACCATATAAACCCCAAAGTGCCCAACAAATGCTGGAGATGCCCCAACGGCTCAGGTGATATGCTCCACATATAGTGAGAATGCCCGCCGGTGGCACAATACTGGCTACAAGTAGCACAACCGGTGAAAAACACAACTGGTACACACCTCCCACACAATCCAGATACCTACTTGCTGCATAACTACCCAGGGAGGACTGCCAAAGGCAATACACTACTTAATATTCCAAACTATCATAGCGGCATTGACAGTAATTGGCAGGAAATGGGGAACAGACAACATCCCCGATCTAAAGGAATGCATACATCTGGTGGAATAAAACAAAGTCTCGGAAAGAGCAGCTAGACTAGCAGTAAACCAAAAAAAATAAAAAAATAAAAATAAAAAAAAAAGGATTTGTAAAATAGCGTGGGACACATAGGAAAAAGCCATGGAGACAAACAAACCATTATAAAAAAAAAAATCTCAGAAGCCTCGACAGCCGTGCCCATAAACCCATGCAAATGAGAGTCTGTATGTGTTAAAAAGGAAAAAAAATGGACCAAAGACAGTAACCATGAGCTTGAATAGCAATCGCAACCGTTACCATGAAAATGAGTGACAATGACACAACCTCTAACTACTTAAAACAGGACTATTCCTGACATGTTCAGAGAAAAACGACAAACAACAGACAATCTATCAACTCCTCGAAACACCCATCTATCTCTATATTGAAAAGTGCGTAACCTGATCCCCATCTCTATTCCCCTCCCCCACTCCATCCTTATGTTTATCATTATCTGTACCCCCCCCATCTGACTCTTTGCCTTATAAAGTTAAAAAACCAAGGTTCACATTTCAAAGACTTTATTGCCACAACAATGTACAAATAGAACAAAAGTATGTTAAAAAACAATGTACAGGGAGGACCGGAGCAGTCGCATGTAAACGCGGCTCCGCAAACACTTCAAAAGGAGCTATTAAGCCCACACACATAGGGCAACAACAACAACAACTTAGACATGTCGCAGCCCAAAGGAAAACGGACCGCGGAGAGGTAAAAAAAAAACCAACAAATTTCTTCGCCTTCAGAACCGGCCAAAGCAAAATTCAACAACAGCATGACCAGGCCCAAGATGGCGCCGACGACGGCACGGAACCCACTGAGCAGTCTGCAGAGCCGGAACCCTTGCTGACGCACAGCTCACTAAAAATCACTGCTGGATGAAATGTCCACGAAAATATTACAAAAGCTGGACACAGCAATGAAAGACCTTAGGAAAGATTTGCAGGAGCTGGGCACAAGAACCTCACAAGTGGAGAACAAGATGGTAGAATATGAAGTGGCCCACAACACCTTGGCGGACACGGTGGATGGTCTGGCGGCCAGGTTAGATGCACAAGACATAAAACTAGCAGACATGGAAGACCGTGCATGTAGAAATAACCTGCGAATACGAGGCATAGCAGAGACTGTGGGAGCAACAGACCTCATGGCACATGTCACAGGCCTCCTAAAACACCTGCTGCCGGACTGGCCTCAGGACATGCTCCTAATAGACAGAATTCATCGCACAGCGAAGCCTAGCTTCTTACCCCCTGAAACACCAAGAGATGTACTATTTCGCATGCACTATTACCACGCTAAAGAAGCCGCACTCAATGCCAATAGAACGAGCAAAGGACTACCGGAGATCTACAAAAAAAAAATAAAATAGCGATATACGCCGACATTTCCGCCTACACGTTGAAACGCTGGAGAGAATTCAAAGACATAACACAGAGACTGAGAGAACACCATATTCCATACCGCTGGGGATACCCGACAAAACTCCTGGTCAACCGGAAAGGAAAAACCAGAACTTTTTCTTAAATTTGCCGGGTCAATCCACGGGGAATCAAGGAGAATAGGGCCAAGAGGGAGTAGCAGCTAGGGCCCAAAGCATAGATAGACAACCAGAGCCAGATATTCCCAGAGAGAAGGCGATGACCCACATCACTAGCACATAACCCCTAAGGCAGACGATAGACCCAGGCTCTCCAAGCAGAAAATGCAAAGAGCTCATCCAACCATCAGATAAAACAAAGTACTTTACTACTTCAATACATAAACCGCGACACTGACTAAAAAGCCTATGTAGGGTGACACAACACTAGAAAAACTTAAGTGAAGCAATAAGGGCGGGGACCCACCAAGTCGAGAAGCATAGCTTCAACCCCCAGGGCATGGAGACGCAGTGCCTAGCCATACCTAAGGCAGTACTACTGACTGTATATACTTTTGTTATGTTCATTCCTGTTTTTTCCTGTTCTGTTTATTGTACCCCTGTAAAAATGGAAAACACTAGGGGACACATAAGCGTTACCACACGTACACCTCTCTCACACAGAACTCACAAATTCCAAGAGACCACTACTTGCACAAACTTCCTGCCGGCTCTGGCGGCGCCCAGATCCTTTAGCAAAACAGGGGAACCATCACTCGGCTTGTTAACGCCGGGGAGAGTGTTGGACCCCGTAGAAATGGCTAGCATGATACATCAAAAGCAACAGTGCGTTACGAAACCACTGTAAGAATATGTACTTACAATGTACGGGGACTTAATATCCCTGCAAAGAGACATTTGTTAAACAGGGACCTCACATCACTACACGCTGATATAGTGTGCCTACAGGAGACACACTTTAGGCACAACGATCACCCCACTATGCAATCTCTCCACTTCCCGCACCAGTATCACGCAACCTCACCCGCTAAATCCAGAGGAACCTCCATCCTCTTAAGCAAACACTTGAATTTTCAACCACAATATCATGAAACTGGCGCAAATGGCAGATATGTCATACTAAAGGGAGTAATCAATGATATGCCCTACAATAGTAAACATCTATGCGCCCAATGTAAACCAACGAAACTTCCTCCATAGCATCCTTAAAAAAGTAAGCAATATACAACAAGGAATTACAATGATATGCGGGGATTTCAACCACATATTAGACCCCAAACTAGACACCACGGTATTACAACAGAATCGTAGACACCGACCACTGAGGAGACAATGTAAGGCCATCCAGAAGCTCATAAACGAATACCACTTCTACGATGCATGGCGCATAACACACCAGGAGATAAAGCATTCACCCACTTTTCCAATGTACACAACTCATACTCCCGTATAGATGGATTTCTCCTATCAGGTCCACACTTAAATCAACTGCACACTTGCGACATACAACAGATTACGTGGTGCGACCACGCGCCAGTGCTCCTTGACATGAAAAACATGTACGACTATAAGCACCTTAGCCCATGGAAACTCAATGACACATTACTCCACGACAGGGAATACACGGAGGAACTAACAGCAGACCTGAAATCCTACTTTACACTAAATAACACGGGAGAGGTAATACCAACAACGGTCTGGCAGGCTCACAAGACAATAGCCAGGGGACTACTAATTAGAAGGGCAGCATACCTCAAAAAAACTCACAAACACTAAGCTCAAAAACATGGCAGCAAGAGTTGTATGACCTAAACACACAAAATCAAATAAAACCGCTAGAAACCAAACAATGCATCGCAACTATAACCAGATTAATACACCAAAAGGCCCTAGAGCAAACACAAGTAAACATGACAAAACAAAAAATAACCCACTACATGCAGAGAAACAAAGCAAGCAAACTTCTGGCCACTCATCTCAAAAAGAAACAAGCAAACCAAAAAATTGCTTACATACTAGATAGCAAGGGCCAAAAACACATTACACCTAGAGGAATAAGCGAAGAATTCGCTAAATATTACCACGCCCTCTGTAATCTACAAGAGGACAGGAACACAACACAACCTACAGCGGCAGGCATCACAGCCTACCTAGACAAAATAAAACTGCCACAACTCTCACCGCAAAAACAAAATGACCTCACCAAACCGATAGAATCACAAGAAATTGTAAAAGTCATTCAAACCCTACCAACGGGCAAGTCACCAGGCCCAGATGGCTTAACAAACCACACCTGGCAACAGCATTTAACCATGCGACTGCCACAAGATCTCTACCTAAGGAGATGCTATTAGCCCACATTGTTACACTGCCAAAACCCAATAAACCTCCCACGACGCCACAAAACTTCCGACCTATATCACTCTTAAACACAGATGCAAAATTATTCGCAAAACTCTACGCAATCAGATTAGGACACATCATACCACACATAATACACAATGACCAGGTGGGCTTTGTGAGAGGAAGACAAGGTGCAGACAACACCAGAAAAATCATAAAATTTATTACACAAACTCCAGACAGAAAAGCTAGGTGGACTATTTGTCTTCCTGGACGCCGAGAAGGCTTTTGATAGACTGCACTGGGGCTTCCTTAGCAAGGTCATGTCAAGATTCGGAATACTCAAGGAGTTCGGAGCAGTAGTGGAGGCACTATATAGTACAACGGCGGCACAAGTGCTAAACTCTGGGCTCCTGTCGGAGCCTTTCAGGCTATCCAATGGAACAAGGCAAGGCTGCCCCCTGCCACCATTGCTGTTTATACTAGCCTAGAACCTCTAGCCACACGCATTAGAGACAACGCCAACATACACGGGGTAAGGATAGGGAAACAAGAATACAAAGCGGGACTGTTTGCAGACAACGTGATGCTGATGATCACACAACCACATATATCACTGCTGAACCTCCTAGATGAAATAATAGCATATGGGGAACAATCTTATTACAAATTAAATGTCATGAAAACACAGGCCATGGGGATAGGGATGACTCAAGCCACACTAAGCCAATTAAAAGACAGCTTCCAATTTGATTGGAGGGAGGACTACCTCACGTTCCTGGGATTGAGACTATCAAAAAATCCTGGCCAACTACTAGAGCTAAATTATGGCAGACTGAAGGGATGAGAAAACAAATGCCTGTCCTGGATAGGGAGGCTGACAGCATTTAAAATGATGCTACTACCAAAATTCCAATACTTAACAAGAACATTACAAATTTTCCTACCAAACACATACCTAAACAAACTACAACAAATGATCACACAATTCGTATAGGCACACAAGAAAATCCAGGTGGCAGCAGAAATTCTGAAACAACCTGTTAACAAAAGGGGGACTGGGACTGCCAGACGTACATCTCTACTACAGAGCCGCCCTTATGTCCACAACTATTGTGGCACACACGACAGGGGATAGACCCCAATGGGCAGAGATGGAGGCAGTGGGGGTGTACCCGGGAGGGATAAAATATCTGCTCTGGGTGCCACACAAACTGTGACCCAAGCCCACAACCCTGCTCAAGACCACACAACTACTTCTAGATATATGGGACTCAACTACGAGCCTCCTAGGCTTGAACAATCAATGGGCTCTATCAACCCCATTGCAAAGTTTGCATGTTGTCAACCCTACACTAAACTATCGCCCATGGGTACAGAAAGGATGCACACTAATCAAACATCTATATCGAAACGGTAAACTAGCGCAATATCCTGACCTACAGCAACAATATACATTACCTAGCAACACAATATTCTCCTATCTCCAAATAAAGTCATTAATAGAAGACAAGACAGGCATGGACAGCCCTGAACCCCTGGAACAAATATACAAACTATGCGAAACAGGGAACACACCAAAGAAACTACTGTCCACCCTCTACGCCACCCTAAACGACAATACCTTAACACCAATAGCAGACAACTTCAAAGAGCACTGGCAAAAAGACATACACAAAACCTTCACCGACACCCAATGGCAGAGAGCGTTCTCTGCTCATAAAGGGAGATCCAGGTGCCCTTCCCACCTTAAGCTAATGAGGAAACTCCAGTACAGGTGGTACATGGTGCCGACCAGACTAGCAAGCATATATCCACACATAACAAAACAGTGCTGGAGGTGCGGGTTGGAGGAAGGCACCATGTACCATATATGGTGGACATGTAGCCAGATAACGGCATATTGGAAGACGGTGGAGGGAATAGCCAGGGATACCCTAGATTTGGAACAAAACCTACAACCGGAATGCGGACTGCTCTTCATGACACTAGAGACATACAACAAACCTCAGGCGATACTACTTTTCCATATATTGATAGCAGCAAACACTCTGATAGCAAGAGCATGGAAAAAAGACCACTAGAACCACAAAACCTGATTTGCTGAACCAAATCAGCACAAACCTGATGTATGAAACAAGGCTCACTACGGTGCATCGACACACATGACAAAAGCCAGGGACAGATGGGAGGAATACAAAACAAGGGAAGGGGAAAAGGAGACGAGAGTCTAGGAACGGAGAGCACGGGAGCAGGCAGGAGAAATAGAGGTGGAAGTGGCACAAGTAGAGAGGGGGCCACACACTGAGGAGCCACTGAGGCAGGAGGACAAAAAAAATAAAATAACCACACTCCTAGTAGGACACAACAATGATAGAGAGAGGGACAACAAGTAACGTTGAAATATTTATGTTTATAGTTCAGACAGAAAAAGATAAAATGTCAAGCTCAGAACAAGACTATTGGAAATAAAAACCTATATGAGGGCACTGCGCTGCCTAAATGTCACTGTTCTAATTGTACTAACAGTTATGTCTTACCCAATGTTGTTGCAATCCCTTCCCCCCTTCTACACCCTTCCCTAGGGGAGACGAACAAAACCCAAACTATGAACCTCTACACCAGAGGGAATACTCCCCTCCCTAATTTTTCTTTCTGTACCCTAAATTGAAAATGCTCAATAAAAAAGTAAATTGGAAAAAAAAAAAACCCATGTACAAAAAAATATATATATATTGTTACTGCAAATTACTGCTGTATAACAATGCAATGCTTTGAATATGTATGTGAACTAAAATTACATAAAAAAAAAAAAAAAAATACAGCATCAGTTAGATTCATCAGTTTCTTCCTGCACTTATCTACTGTTCAGAAGTCATTTGTCCAAAGGGTGCTTTGCTTTGAAGGTTCTGTGTTATTCCTGCTTTCTTAACATTGTATTTGTTACACATGATCCTTGGAGGGCCATTTGTAATTCACAAATTCTGATTTACAAAATAAGAACAATTATGTACAACACTCACCTCATATATAATAATGGATGTGATCTTTCCTCCATCTGCCTCAAACTCCAAGCAGAAGAGTTCCGCTCGGGCATGCTCATCATCTGTACCATTATCACCGTCACTAGATCCATTATCTTCTAGACCACAAACCTGTTGGGATTCTCCTGAAAGAAGAAAGTGTACTTGACTGCAAGCCGTTTTGAAAGCTCTATATTGAAACTAAAAGAATAAACTTGTAATTTAAAGAAACTCCAACGTGGTCCTGTCAACCATTCAAGGCAGAACATTGCCATGTTGTAAAAGGGTTAAACACACCCCCAGGGACTGTTACACTGACAGCTACTGGAGGGGTTTCCGCTGTAATGACAGAGTAAAACTTGGCCATGTGATGCGGGCACCCCCAATGGAAAGCATCACATCAATTCTATATCGCAATCCAAAACAAATACTTTTGTTTCCTGCAGCTTTTTTGCTCTACAAGATTGGATTGCTATGTGGTTCTTGATAATACAGAACTAATGCATCATATCTCTCACCTCGAGGGCGAGGATGGTAGACCTGTAAGTCAGGCTTCTTAGGTCGAGAAGGTCCTGGAACATATCTTTTCTTTTGCTTCTGCTGGGCTTGTTTCACTTCCTTGTCATAATCATCTCTAAAACGGCAAGAAAATATGTAGGTGGATATATTATTAGATTAGGAAGCAATTGTACAAAAAAAAATTAAAAAATTTGCAAGAGTTTTCATAAAACAAGCTTCTAGAATATGGAGAAAAAAAAACAACAACAACAAAAAAAAAACCACTGAAGCAAAAATCACATTTCAAGGTAGGGAGCCAAGTGTGGAAATAGTGAACCTCTGGTTTCAAGCTTTTAGGATTTTTTTTCATGCGTTATACCGGACGATTGGAGAAAACCAGATGTGGTTCCTATATTAAAAAATGGTTTAAAATCGTTTGCCTGGAAATTATAGACATGTGAGCTTAATTTCTGTGACTGGGAAAGTATTTGAAGGGTTATTGGGTATAATTTTTCAAGAATTCATGGTGAAGAACAATGTTATTAGTAAAAATCAGAATGGTTTTATGAAAACATATTCAATCATATTTTTGGATTATACGAAGAAGTAAGTAGAAGTATAGATCAGAGTAAATAATACAGTACACAATCTGAAATAGAGAGTGTGTGCAGTAACTGCTATAAACTACCTGAGTGGGAGCCCCTTATACCACTCTAAATAAAACAAAACAAATACATACAATAGGTGGAACACTTCTGTTGCTTACTATATATATCACACTAGGAGCTCGGTGTCTGGTATCCCGCTCTGCGCTCACACACTGGATCCGCTGATACTCAGTCACTGACAGTGCGGCTCCAGCCTGGCTGCGACGTCATTGACTGAGTATCAGCGGATCCAGTGTGTGAGCAGAGAGCGGGATACCGGACAGCGAGCTCCTAGTGTGATATATATAGTAAACAACAGAAGTGTTCCACCTATTGTATGTATTTGTTTAGAAGTATAGATCAGATTGCAGTGGATGTGATCTTCTTGGATTTTATCACAAATGTTCGATACACGTCCACACAAAAAGGTTAGTGTTCAAAGTAAAGTTAATTGGTGTCGATGAAAATTCTTGTTCTTGGATAGATATAGTACTGAGAGTTATCATTAATGGTAAATTTCCAAGATGGACAAGAGTGGTGTCTGTTCTGAGGTTGCTTCTATTCAATCTATTTATAAAATGATCTGATCATGAAATACGCACAGAAAGTCATGTGTCAGCAGATAACACAAAACTAGCTACGGTAATACAATGTGATCAGGAGATTATATAAATAAAAAACACATGGAACATTCTAGCGCTAAAGTATCCATAGAAATCCATGAGGTGTTCCTGGTGTTTGCTTCCCATTCAGGCCTTTCCAAGCATTGATCAGGGTTTATCCTACTACTGTAAATCCTGTGTATAAATGGTAGTACGTGTGTGTGTGTATATATAAATAAATTTGCCTGGAAATTATATATACACGCACACACACACAGTGGAACCTTGGAACTTAAACTTAATCCGTTCCCACAGGCTGTTCGAGTCCAGAAGTGTTTGAGAACCGAATCAACATTTCCCATAAAAAAATTAATGTAAAATTGATTAATCCGTTCCAGACCCTCAAAATTACAGCATTTTACATTTATATGTACAAATTAAAAATGCAGAGATCACTCTAATAATTAGCACCCTTCATTTATTTGAGTGGTTCCTGCCTTTCAAATAGAAAAACAATGTACTGTTGGCCATTATTACAATTATTTTTAATAATTGTCTGACTTGAAAATGAGACATGGCTCTTTGTTGTATGTTCGGGTACCGAAGATCGTTCGCATATCAAGACATTTTTTTACTGGAAATTTTTGTTCGACAACGGGACCGTTCGAGCTCTGAGGTTCCTCTGTGTGTGTGTGTGTGTGTGTGTGTACACATTATATATACACACACACACTATGACACCATTATGATGGATCTATGAAAAGCTATGAGGCAGGGCAGTGCTTTCTTTTTACCAGGGATATTCACTAAAGTGAGAATTTAGGCCAAAGTAGTCGCATAGTAAAAGAGACCACGTCAATCCTGTTTTCCGCTCGATTATTCTGGCCTGAGATGTGAAACTCGGCCATTCTGTTTATAGTGATGGGCCCGGTGTCCCGGGTTACCTGGCTATCTGGTTTCTCCGGATATGGTGTACAAAGCCATGGCTCATATCCAGCCTGCCGCCAGGTCCCGCTCTGCCCCGAGTCTCCGCATCCTCTTCCATGCCAGTCCGTCTCCGATGGCAAGCGGGTGCCTGCAGGGGCAGACTGGCTTCCTGTGATTGGCTGATCACTACAGAGGCATTTCATTGGCTAGTTAGGCGATAGCAGAAACTGATTGGTTAATTTATTTACAGCAATCATGGCTCTCGATGCAGCCCAGCCAATCACAACGAGGGTTTTCCTGCGTGCCAAGCCTCGGTTTGGTTTTGAAGCCTCCACTCAGGTTGTTGCCTGAGAAAGGGGCGGAGTGTGCGGCTACAGCGAGGCTAGCCTGGGGAGCAGGTTCGGTTATCCGGGAGAATGAACCCTGAGAAACGGCCGAAACGGGAACCGGAGGAAGAGGAGGAAATAGAGGAGGAAGGTGAGTGATGGGAGCTGCCGGGAGGGTGAATGATGTCTGATATCCACACAGTACAATGGCTCTCCGGCTGCTATACTGGCTGGATACCATGGAGCATTCCCAGCGCTACAGCAGCCATGGAAACCCACGGGATGTTCCTGGTGTTTGCTGCCCGTTCAGGATCAGCTTACACCGGGCACCATGGGTTGTGTGTACTGCCCAGCACCCTGTGCCCTGAGCGGGTAATTACCGGTATTGGAGTTTGTTAGGGTTAACTCCTCCTCTAGTGACCACCAGACAGCAACTGGAGGGATTTCCGGGTGTTTAGGTTACTTTTTGTCGTCTAAACGACGCTGGATGTCCTCACGCTATGCATCGCCGGAATCCCCATAGGAAGGCATTAAATAATAAGTTTTTATGGGGAAATTCTAATACGAGAGCCGCCATTGCGGCGCATGCACATTGGGTCAATCCCCGAGCCAGCGCTGGACCCAAGTAAGTGGCCGGGGGGCCTCGACGGAGCGCCAGGAAAACGATTTACTGTAACGGTTACAGTAATACTTTTTAAAACCGAACTTCTTAAACTTAAAATGCCCTATTGAACAATACTTATTAGTTGTTTGTGTTTCCCTGAATTTTGCATTAAAACTTGCAAATCATGTTTTTTTTTTTTTTTTGGTTTTAAAATTTACCTGGAACCTAGCGCCAGGGCAAAGCTCACACAGCTGACGTCTCTTCCAAGATCAACAAGGGCCTTGCGTGGTCCAGTTAAATGCATCCTTTGATTGAACCGTTACTATGGCTAAGAGCGCATGCACATGCTCTGATTCTGAAAGGAAGGGAATCGGGATAATATATATATATATATATATATATATATATATATAAAATTTATTATTTTTTTACTACATCCGCTATAAAGGGTATATAAACTTGTGATGACAATTGTTATTTTTGCACAGAATTGTTAGGCAAAGTTACGTGTTGCAGTGATGCAACTGGCGGCCTGCACAAAAGTCATTATATCTCTATATGTGCAGCATTTCAAGCTGAAACAATGCACGCCCAGATTCCTACTGAATCACTGAAGTGGTCATGGAGTAACCGTTCAATAAACCGTTAATATACTATGTGGCTGGTCTAAGGAATTCTACTGCTTTACTTAAGTCTTGTAATGCAGATCGAAAATTAACTCCCGAACACTCTGATTTACAATTCATATGTTGTTCAAAAGTTTTTTTAATTTTTGTACTAGTATTGTAATTTTGATAAATCGTTTGCATGCTTGTGTCATGTATACTTTTTCATATTTCTGTTGGTGGCAGTAGCTACAATAGTGTAATCATGGCAGTTAGGACTTATCTGATTATTACAATCATGACATGAAAAACTGGACCTACTCATGGTACTTGGAGTAATCTTTTAAACAGACACATTTAATACTAGAGTGCATTATTTTTAATAACAAAATAAATAAAAGCAAATATAGGGAATGTATACATACACAGATACATGTAGCAGAAAAGTTTTACATTTGGATGGCTAGTGTTTCCCAGTGCTATGTATTAATAAACAGTTTTTTTTTGTTTTTCATTTTGTTGCAGTAAAACACGGCCGGCATGAACCTGAAGATCGTCGTAGTAGGCATTGCCCATATCTGGACACAATCAATAGGTTATTATGGCTGTTAAACTGTAATATGTCTATTTCGGATTTTGTTGCTTTGATTGTTATCCTTAAACCTTATTTTTGTTTCCTATATTATAAGGAGCGTTTTGGATTTTGATTTCGAAAAGCTGTGTTCCATTTCTCTTTCTCACATCAATGTATATGCCTGCCTGGTGTGTGGAAAATACTTCCAGGGTGAGTAAGACCGGATCAGATATTTCCTATTTTCAAACATAGGGACACACTAAACAGCATAACCAGTAATGTTAACGTGTCCGCAGCAGTATTAGCCAATCAATGTGACTAAGGTTTTATGAAATTGAAACTGATAATGTGAAACTATTAATTCACGCACAGTGTTGTCATTATATTTTCTGTTTATTTTCTTGATTTCTGTCTTTGTGTTCCATTCTATTCTGCATCTTGTTTGCGCTTTTTTTGCTTTCTTAATCTTTTACAATTTTTTTTTTTTTTTTACTTCCTCTTCTGCAGGTCGAGGGTTAAAATCTCATGCTTATATACATAGTGTTCAGTTCAGTCACCATGTTTTCCTCAACTTGCACACGCTGAGGTTTTACTGCCTCCCGGATAACTATAAGATCATAGATTCATCTCTGGAAGATATTACGGTACTTCATATAAAGTTGTTTCATATCTGCATTTTTTATTTTTTTTTAACTTTAGACCTGTCGCTGCAAATCTTTTCTGTTACACCTGCTGGCTGCTTATAGTTTTTCAGGATCAGTAATGTGTAACATTGTCACACTGTGCAGAGTGTGATCCTGTAAGCTCACTCTGAAGACCTTTTTATAACAACTCTGTGTATTATTTGACACAAAGATCACCCATTCCTATGAACTATAATAGGGTATGCAAGGACAACTAGCCAAGTCCTCCTCTCCCATGGGGTTTGCGGAACCATATTATTAGACATATGGACAAATCCTTACTCAACGTTGCATACAGCTGCACATATGTGATATACCCACTGACGCCTGTAGCGTGGCAGAACTCTTGCTTTAGGCTGTAATTTGCGTGCTGTGTGCAGCAACCAGCCTCATAACTGAATTTCCATATGTAGTAGTGAATAACAGACAAAGTACACCGCACAGTCAAACACTGCTTCAAGCTAGCCTGACACTCAAAACATATTAACCAAGGACTAGATTGCGGTCCTGTTGTGGACCTGCCTACCTGCGATATTGAAAGGTGTATGCCAGGGATGCAGACATACTTCTCTATTCTGGGAATGTTGCTATCAAACTGGGTAGAATGGCCACATGAAAGTATTTATGGGTCAGAAATGGCCCTTGAGCTAGTGCTTTTAAAAACCTGCAATACAAAGTGCCTCTTCCATCTTGGCATGAGTAGTAGAAAAAGTAGACTTCCAAATATTCCCATTTTGCTTCCTATGCGTATTACATTTAATCACTGTCTGTTTACACTTTCTTGCAGTATGTGCTGAAACCAACGTTCACAAAAGCTCAAATCACTAACTTGGACAAACAGGCCAAGCTTTCCCGGGCATATGATGGCACCACTTACCTCCCAGGAATTGTGGGGCTTAATAACATCAAAGCTAATGACTATGCCAATTCTGTATTACAGGTAGGAATAAACATGTATGAATGAGTGCATGATTCCCTATATACCATGGCTCAAAATTTAAGGTTATGTTGTGTACCTTAATATCTTGGATAATTTACTGGACTTATTCCAGTCTGAATATAATACCAGAGGGAATGGAAATAGAACTGCACCTTCAACTGAATTCTCTCCGTGTTCCAGGCTCTCTCCAATGTTCCTCCTTTGAGAAATTATTTCCTTGAGGAGGAGAATTACCGTAATATCCAGCGTCCCCCTGGGGACATCATGTTCCTTTTGGTGCAGAGATTTGGGGAACTTATGCGCAAATTGTGGAACCCAAGGAATTTTAAAGCTCACGTATCCCCACATGAAATGTTACAGGCCGTAGTTCTTTGTAGCAAAAAGAATTTCCAGATCACAAAGCAAGGTAAGAACTCCACTCTCTGTGTAAATCATCTATTCTTCCATGTGTTTGTGTCTGTAAACCTATCTTATAGAATTCTTAATTATGGTCTGTGATTAAATTCCTTTTCAAAGGTAAGGTGTGAGGCTGTTTAATCACTTGTCACTTTTTGCTGTGGTATACCATCATAAAGTTGTTCTAAGGACTCCAATAGTTTCTGGAACAATATTATCGCAAGATTTTTTTTTAGCAACCGCCATTATAAAGTATAGTTCTTAGAAGCAAAATTATTTTGGTAACATTTTCAGCATTTATTCTTTCTAAGGTACCTTCCAGCCCACCCACAAGGTAATAAAATATATACTTTGAATATAGCATGAAAGTACATTTTTACCTGGATCTACATAACCTTAGATGAGATTGATTATGACTTCTCTGTTGAATATTCTCTCTGTTTACTGGTTCTCTAGTCCGTTAAAGTAATTTTGATATGAGACATTCCAGATCTGAAATAAAGGAACACTATAATTCAAAATTGACCTCTGTTATTAATGCATTATGGATAAAATGCAAAAGAAACATGAAAAGGGCATTGTGGGGTATTTTGAGCACACAACTTGATCTAAAAAATAAATCAAAACACAGCATTATTATAACACTTCCTAGTGTTATGCTGTCAAAATATTCATCAGCCTTTTAAAATGAACTAAATTCTTTTATTACCAAGCAAGGATAAACATGAACAACAAAAGTAATATGAATATACATTTCAATTCCTTGTTGATTCAGAGATAAATGTGCTTGTTAGTTTGAATTAATAAGTTTTGGGGTTTTTTTTGGTTTGGTTTTTCAATTTGTTGAGGCATCATTGGAATCTTTTCAGTTCAAAGAGGAAATTAGTGAACTTGACGTGTTGGGTGTTTTTTTTTTTTTTCAGGTTAGAGGCAGTGCACAATAATTGGGATATTCATCATGTCTGACAGGAAAAGGCAGTCAGCACACTAGCAATTTAAAAGCTAATCCTCCTCCCCACAAGATACAATACCCCCAAACTGACTCAGAAACTCAATTTCTATAGGTAGGCACTCATGTTTTTCACGTCCCTCACAAGGGCAAGGTGAGGCGGCTTAGGCAGAGGAGGGCTCTGCTCTTACAGGGAAGGACTTTAGGTGGGCCTGTTTCTTCCCTTTTCTCTTCTTAGGCGTTGGAATGTATGGCGGTTGCCTTTATAAGTCCTGTTTACGTCCATGCGGAGTGCCAGAAATGGTGATCATCGCACACACATGCTGGGACTCTCTTATGATTGGAAACATGCATAGGTTCTTATGTGCTCCACTTTGAGTTTGTGGCACTATGTACTAAGCAATCTCTGATTTTAGACACAAAATTCTATTTTTCTAGGTTCTGGGGGCTATTTATTCCAATTTGCAACTGCCTGTTTGCCAGGTGCTCTCAGTTCTGTTGCAGTGAGCTTTCACCAGCACATCCAGAGGCCATTTGAGTTTAGATTCGATCAGGCAACACAACCACAGTCGCATATTTATCCAGGCAAAGAGGAACTCATTCTCTCTCTGGCAAGGGTGTATTCCGGTGTGAAGATTTTTTCAGAAGTCATGTTGGCAGATGCTCTGAGCAGGACTCATTTGAAGCATGGAGATTGGTTTTGTTCCCATCAAAATTTTCAATCAATAGTGTTGAGATTCCGAACTCCAGAAATCAACCTGATGGCTTTAAGACTATACACAAAAATCTGAATATTTTTCTCTATCATCCAATTAGAAAATCTTGACCTTGTGGTTGTCCTAGCAACTACCTGGCATTCTCATTTGGCCTACTTTTTCCCTCCAGTTTTTTTTATTCCAAGGATTTTGCAGAAAATTAAGAGGGAAAACAAGCAAAAATCATTGTTATTCTTCCCTTCTATCTCGGAGCAGCTAGTTCTGAATTTTCTTTGAACCTCTAAAAGGAAACTTTTTGCAATTTCCATTTTCAGTAAACCTTTTGGAACGCAATCTGGTTCCTCTGCTAATCAGTCTCACAGAGTGATATTTGAACGGTAGATTCTTGGTTCCAAAGACTTGTGTCCAGATGTTATTGATATTCTTATTGCCTTCAAGAAAGAATCCACAAGCAGAGTTTATTCAGGATTTGGAGGACATTCAATTCCCTGGGAATTCATAAAAATGATAAATCAACTTCTGTTTCGAATACCAAGATTTCGACATTTGACTTTTGCAAAGGGTCTAGATTCACATCTTTGCTAGTCCAAATTTCTGCAATTAGTTTACACACAATCAGAGACTTGGCTTGAGAACCTCTGATCTCTAGGTTTTGGAGATCTGTCTTTAATCTCTTCCTAACTATCAGAGAAATGGTTGCTACGTGGGAACTTTAGTCCTTTCAGCATTTTGTGACTCCCCTTTTCAACTGTTCGATGAATGCCATCTCATAATCCTTACCTGGGACAACTGTCTGGTAGCCATTATGTCAGCAAAGAGGTTTGATAAAAATGAAGGCTTTAAAGCGCATCTTCCCTATCTATTATTCATAATGATAGTCACGTTTGGTGAACAATATTAATCAGTAAATTGCACTTCCAACATACTGTTGGAATCTTTGTAACAGAGAGTAAAGTAAATGTCATTGCCTTGATGTTAAACAAACTGCAGTGCTATTTGGAATAACCAAGACCATGCCGTCCTTCTGACAGGCTGTTTGATTTCTGTCAGAAGAGGATCTCTTGGCATCCGACTCATTAGCAAAATGGATTAAAGATGCTATCATGCTTTCCTGCAAGTCCTCTGAGTTACTCCCCCACTTTATTTTAAAGGCTCATTCCATATGGGCAAATGCTGCACCCCGGGCATCTAAGGAATTGGCAACTCTTCAGTTTGCTAGCCGTCTGCTTGGTGCCCGTTCACACTTTCTCAGATACTCAAAATACTAAGTAAGACATACAGGCCCCTGAGGATTCTGTTTTTTTTGAGTGCAAGGTGCTTCAACGATGGTAAAATAATGTCTACCCACCCATTTGGGTCTGCTTGTTTATCCCTGTTGATGTGCACAGTCTCTAATCTGAAGGGGAAAAAACGAATTTACTTACCGTAAGTTTCTTTTTCTTTAGGATTAGAGGCAGTACACTGATTTTCTTCCCTATTTAATAAATATTCTAGTTCTTCCCTGTAAGAGCAGAGTTCTTTTCTGCCTTAGCCGCCTAACCTCGCCCCTGGTGAGCAATGTCTAAAACATGAATGCCTACCTATCTTGCATAGAACTGGTGTTTCTGAGTTTGTTTGGGGGTAGTGGGGGAAGTCTTAGGAGGAGCTTAACTTTTAAATTTGTGGTGTGCTGCCTACCTTTTCCTGTCCAGATATGGTGGATATCCCTGCTGTTCTGCACTACATTTACGGTAATATATTTATTGCATACTATATAAGTGCTTTTTTTATCAGAAAAGGTTTGATTTCTGATTTTTCTTTTTTCATTTAATTTGATTTCCTTTCTCTACTGGAATGTGTGTGTGTGTGCTGACCGTATCTCCTTTTTAGTGTTTGTCTAAGCAATCTTTCTTTATGTGTATAGGGGACGGAGTGGATTTTTTGTCCTGGTTCCTAAATGCTCTAAACTCTGCTCTTGGGGGCACCAAGAAAAAGAAAAGTGAGTATCTGGATTACAGTCATATTTCACTTCAGCAATGATAATTTGCAAGGGATTATTCCAGACTTGTCTCTTGAATTCATGCTTTGCATATTTTCTGCATGGTATTTGTATGCTTTCAAGCATGTGACTTTTTTGACTGATGTCTGTATCCATTGTTTTCTTCCAGCTATTGTAACCGATGTCTTCCAAGGATCCATGAGGATATTCACCAAAAAGCTCCCACACCCAGATTTGGTGAGTTGTACAAACATGCTCATTTTGACAAATGTTTACCGCTTGTCTCTGTAATTTATTTCACAATTGCTTGGAAACTTGAACATCATGTGTTCTTTCAAAAATGTATGTAAAGGCGTTGGTGCGCCTTATTGGTCAGTTAAGAGAGTGATAATTGCAAGACTAATGTACAGAAAGCTTTTTCAGTTGACCAATAAAGGTACCTCCTTTACATAACTTTTTTTTTTTTTTTTCTCAAAAAACTTCATCACAGTGTATAGATAGAATTTTAATTGTGTGAGGTTGGAGAATAAATACATCATTAACTTCGCTATGATTGACTGCAGACATCAACTGCACACTCATTCATACATTAAGACGCTGCTTTCAATCACTATTGTGTAGTGGATCATCCTTGGCAAATTTGCCAGGGCTGACTTTCCACTCACCGATGACAAGGCATCAACTGGAAATTTTGAGTCCTGAAATAAATATGTAGAGCTGGGCAGTGATTAGACCTTCTCTCCTGTTATGTAATTGTGTTTTGTTAATGGTTCCATGTGTTCTTAGCCAGCAGAAGAGAAGGAACAGCTGCAGAACAACGAGGAATACCAGGAAACTATGCTGGAGTCTCCCTTCATGTACTTGACTTTGGACCTTCCTACTGCCCCCCTCTACAAGGATGAGAAAGAACAGCTCATTATTCCACAGGTTCCTCTCTTCAGCATCCTGGCCAAGTTCAACGGCATAACTGAGAAGGTACTGGGACACATGGAATAAAGAAATAGACATGTGATGGCCTGAGTAAACTCCTTCAGGCACCCAAGTTGCAGCACTGACCCGCTGCAGTCCTGTTCAGGCAATGCTTTTAATGACTGAGCTTAAAGTACTTTGGAAACCTGAGATATAAAGGGAAGAATTTTTATAAAACATGGGGTGTGTAAAGATGGTTTCGGAATGCTACTATAGCAAAGCTATTAAGATTTTAACATGCAAAACATATTACTGCTGATAAATGCTATCAAACTTAATAAAGCTGTAATGGGGACCAGCGTAGCCAAAACTCTGTTTTGAAAAGCAAAAGAAGTATGTCTTAGGTGAGTGGAGCAATGGCATTTACATGTAGACATAATTGAGTGAGACATTGTTTTTTTTCTTTGCAGGAATACAAGACCTATAAAGAAAATTTCCTCAAGCGTTTCCAGCTAACCAAGCTGCCTCCATATCTGATCTTTTGCATCAAGCGTTTTACGAAGAATAACTTTTTTGTGGAGAAGAATCCCACCATTGTGAACTTTCCCATCACGTGAGTTGACTTGCTGTTAAATTGGACTTTAGAGCATTAGAGATACGTTCCATGTTTCGAGAGTTTGGTGGGTCCTATAAGTCCAGTATGTGTTTGCTCTTTCTGTTATTTAGGAATGTTGATCTTCGAGAATACCTGGCAGAGGAATTTCAATCTGTGCACAAGAACACAACTTATGACCTTATTGCAAACGTAGTGCATGATGGGAAACCCAATGAGGGATCTTACCGTATCCACGTATTACACCACGTAAGTTCCACAGACTGGTCTTCATAACACTGTATAGTGAACATACAAATAAGCAGGAATTCTAATATAAAGGAGTGACACCTCCCAAGTGAAAAAAATTAAAAGGTAATACAACCTCCATATGAGAACAAATATGGTAACCGGGAATATATAATTTAAAAAAAAATAAATAAAAAGACTGGATGTGGTGTAATAAAGTAAAACAAAAATTGACACTACAAAGAAACAAGAAAACTCACAAGAACACAAAGTGTGTCAGACTTATCCATCTGGAAATGTTCTTAAACATGGTGTACAGGCGGTCATCACTTTGCGACCTACCTGTTTTGTGACAGCTCGCACTTACGACCAGCTCTCTAGCATGAAAATTCAAGGGGTTCCCCACGTTAGAGAGCTGTTCACAGAATTTTTCCCGAACATAGCTTAGAGGGATTCCCTGCTCTGGTGAGTATGTCTATGTTTGGGGAAAGTTTATCGAACATAAACCTACGCAGCAGAGCAGGCAATAACTCTAATATATGTTCGGGGGAAATTCCCTGAAAATAGACCTGCGCATGCGCCTCACTTACCGACCAATTGGTTTTATGACCGATTCGTAAGAACGGAACCCGAGTGGTAAGTGAGGAGCATCTGTATATCTTCTTGAACTTTAAAAGAAGCTGAGAAAAAAAAATAGTGCAGATTGCAAAGATATTTAAATATTTATTAAAATTACACTCACAAGAGAAACCATAAAATGGGCATATATCCACTCCCAGGGAATGTGGATACTGATGAAACTTGTACAGAGATGAATTTCCAAGATTGAGGGGAGTGTCCCAAACAATATAAATATAATAAAAACCAAAACAAGAAATCTAAAAAACAAAGTCCCAAAATAGTAATATCCAATGCATTTCCTATTATGGACTTCTTCAGAGATATCTGCCTCATCTTACATGTCCTTCATTTAAATAAGAATTGTTAATGATCTAATGCCATCCACCTGCAGTTTGTGAAAGACGCAGATGCTTTGCTGTTTCAGGCTCTTGTGACACCACATCCTGTTCCTGGATCCTTCTCTAACGAGAATCGTATCTAAGGATATGTCTAAGAATGTCCTGGAGTTTTGGGGACGGAAATACTCATATAAACTTATAAAACCTATGAGGGGACAGGCAACTCACAACAATAATACAAAAATGAACTCAAGATCTTTATAATGACCCGGAAATATGACCTATATAAACAAATATGTGATATAAATAAATAAAAATTCCAGCATTATCCTCCTTATATATATATATTTAAAGAGAAAGTATAAAAATAAATAAGATCTAGAAAACATTTAAATGAATAAAATAGAAAAAGAGCAACAAAACAAAAAAATAAATAAAAAAAAATCCAAGTCATGATAATGATCTCTGTACAATTCCCATAACAATAAAAGATTATAAAATATGGAATACACCACCAACTCAATAAAATCTGAATAAATCCAACACGAACTAGAATGTTTATTCAATCTCTCACAATCTATTAAAGGACCACTATAGTGCCAGGAAAACACACTCGTTCCTGGCACTATAGGGTCTTTAGGTCCCCACCACCCTCAAGGTCCCACTCTCGCTGGGCTGAAGGGGTTAAACTCTTACCTTTCTCTGAAACTGCTATGTTTTCAGCTGCAGGATTAAAACTAGAAGGACCTGGCACCCAGACCACTTCATTGAGCTGAAGTGGTCTGGATGCCTACAGTGGTCCTTTAAACAATATATTGAGGAGAGGAAAGAAAGAATCAACCCTGCAACGGTCTGACCAATCAAATAAGTCCTTCAAGGTCAATGTCTTGATTAAGTTCATGATTAAGTGCTTTTAGATAGTAAATCCATTGGGCTTTTTTATTCAGCTATAAGGCCAGGTTCTCCTTACAGCCCACTACTTCTGTGATGCTACTCAACCTCCTTGCAGGTAGAGTGATCTCATTGAGACAGGGCTGAAGGAGGGCTGTCTGCGTGCTGATGATGGAAGTTTATTTTTTATTTTTTTTTATCCAGAGATTTAACATTAGCAAGCTTAGAACTCCTCCAGCAGCAACACGAACTATCTTTGTATGTTATGTGCAGTATTTCATATTGAAACACTGCACACATGGGCTTCTTACACCATGGGTATCTGCTACCCATATGGTGGGTGCAACTATTTCAATGCTACACACGTGTGTGTGTGTGTGTGTATATTATGAAACCTGTATGCAGTTAGTGTTAATATCTCATTAACCAATATTTTATTAAACTTGTTTTTTATTGAAGTGTTCACATGTTAAGTTTCCTTGGCGTAATTTTATTACACAATAATGTAAAATGGTGTAATACAATAAAGTGACTCCACTGTCACTCACTGCTGGCTAAGGGAAATCATGCAGTGCTTAGGGCAGCATGGAGGGGGATGTCCATTGCCAGAAGGCTGATGGCAGATATGTTTTACGCACAGATTTAACATTTACCAGCCTGGCACTGCGTCAGCAGTTAAACGAACAATCTTTGTATGTGAGATCATTGCACATTGAAACACTGTGCATACAGGCTTCTTGCACCATGACCACTTCAAATCACTCAAGTGCTCATGTTGCTAGGGGTAACCATTCAAAGAAAGTAAGAAACAAATATATGGCTTGGAGAAACATTCAACTAACTGAATCCTGTCTCTTAATATTTGGGCTTGCGGGTTTTGTGATTTCCTTTTATTTTTTTTTTAAACTGACATTTTCCAAAGCAGGAGGGGTTCATGTTTTCGTTATTAACTTATCCCCTCCCACACTGTTCCAGATCAGTAAGATTAATGATTTGTATGTACTTGTAGTAAATATTCCAGGACTGTCTAATATAAAATCCTTAAATGTGATTCTTGTTATAGGGCACCGGGAAGTGGTATGAGCTGCAGGATTTACAAGTGACTGACATCTTGCCACAGATGATCACTTTATCAGAGGCCTACATACAGGTAGGGAACGATAAGACCTCTGTTGTAATTAACATCACAGTATCTGAGTGATGCTTAGACAAACTTTATATAGGAAATCTATACAATCAAATCTCTGTCCTCAACCTGGGCAAATAAAAGGTTTAGAAGATCAAAGCATATGTAGTATATCCACCATTATTAATGTGTTTGTCTGGACCAGTCTCACAGCACTTCCTCTATTGCTTGCAGATCTGGAAGAGAAGGGAAGATGGAGAGAAGAACCAGCAGGGGGCATGATCATAAACCGTTTTCATATCATGATTGAAGTCCATGTAGTAAAGAGAAAATCGTTTTGAAGAACATGAAGAGAAATTGCTACGTGTGAAATGTCTTTATTAATAAAGAGGCCACCTCTAGTCTTTAGAGGGTTATTCTTTAATTCATTTGAAGGGTCTGTCAAGGTGGTTAATGGCAGATTATCATTTTATAGACTTCCTATCTGGGACTGTTTACTATACACAGTGTCTTACGATTTATTGGTCCTTGTCATCCTTATGTGTGTCATAGAATCTGCTACCTATAAGGTAGGACAACCATTTCACTGCTACAACACTCTGCCAGACATTGCTGTTTAGTACAAGTGTATATATTATGAAACCTCTGTGAAGTTTGTGTTAAAAGCCACAGGTCTTTGACTTAAACAGATTATATTTTATTAAACTTGTTTTGTCACAAGTTATTATTGTTTGCATTGTTAATATTCAACTTGTCATTATATTGTAATCTATGAATTCATGGTTTTGAACAAAAATGACATGTTACACTCAGACACTGCCTGGTGAATTGTTCATTACTGGAGTATTCCAAACAGAAACAATTCTTATTTAGCTGACTGAATTTTTCTTTTTCTACCATAACTAACTGTAATGTATTTTTTATTTATTTATTTTTTGTTTGTTTTTTTAAAATTCTTTATTTTTCGTGCATAGATTAATTGAACAAGCATTCAGGTCATGCCCCAACAGCAGTAACATGCATTGAAATTGACAGAGTATAACAGTTGTGGCATAGAAAAACAGATGCACATTTTTGTATGAGGGTTATAAAGAACTGTATTAGGCTAGTTACCAGGAAGCAAACCAAGTAAGAATAGAACAAAGCCTATGTAGCGAGATTGCGTAAGGTTAGGTAGGTTAGTTCAGCAGTTAAACATTTAGTCGTATGCGTAGCCCCGAACCCAGACAAATTAGCTAGGTACTGTACTGCTCAAGGTGAAGATAGATCATTATTAAATGGAGATCCCCGCATTCCTGACATTTAGCCTGTTAAAATGGATGATATGCTAAACACTCCTTATAAACTGGAAGTCACTCATACGCTAAACAAGATTATATGCTGTAACATCAAGTGATAATATATAAACTTGGGTGGGCCTACAGGAAGCAAAATTGTCCTGCCCAGAGTGTGAAAAGAGGCTTTAGGATGTGAATGCTTGGGCAAGTTATGTTTAACGGGGTAAAAAGAAAAAGTGCATGGCAACTGGTCTGGTGTGCTTGCTAAACAGGCAATGTATAAGTCGGTTTAATGTTAAGTTAATGTGAGTGTCCCCAGGTAGGATGCAAGGGAATGTCATCTGGTCCAGCGTCCCCTAGTGTATCAAGAGTCCTGGGTGAGGATGGTGCCCGTGGGTTGCAGGGGATCCAGCTCGCTCCTCTGGTGCAAACTCCGTTCAATCAGCCAATGCCCCTGCGGTGGTCACTGTATGCTCGTGGACAGAGTCCGTTTTTAGGGGCAGCGTAGCGCTGTGAAGGTGAGGCACTTCTCCCGCCTTGAGGTTGTTGGGGAGCTGGTGCTCCGTGGCTGTGTGCTTGAGGTCTTGTGGTCTTCCAGGAGGGATTGACGCGGTGAGCGCTGTTAGTTGAAAGCCGGGTGCGCCATTTGTCCCTTGTAGCTTTCCGCTTGTGTGGCTGAGGCTTGTGATTTGGTGTGTGGCTACATAGGGTCTCACTCCGGTGTTTCAGCTGGTGCTTTGTTTTCTTTCGCCGGCCTGGGTGGCGTGTAGGTGTCGCGACCCGTGTGGCTCTAGTCCCCGGTGGACTAGTTATTTGGTGCTGTAGAGGTTTGTTGCGTACCTTGCCCGGTTGGGGCACCTTCAGCTGCGCCCTGATCTGTTGCCCTTTAGGGTGAGAAGCACTGTCGTGCTGTGGGTGTGTTAGCTGTAGTTCTGCCCGTTGGTGGCTTTTGGGACTGGTGTCTGGCCTCCATGCTTGCCCAGAATCGCCTGCATATGGCCTCAAATCTTGCTTGAAAGGCAATTGCCCACTCGCTGGGGGTCAGTCGCTGTGTGCGGGTATCTGAGCCGGTCGCCATTTTAGACTGGCCTCGTGTCTCTCATTTGTCGTCTGTTCCCTTTTACTGCCTATAGGTGAGTACCTGTTTGAATCTGGCCTCAAGGCTGTGCTTGGTGAGGTGCGTCGTGGTAATACAGCTGGGGCCCTCTTTGTTGTCTGTGGGGGGACCAGGATGACTCCCGCCAGTCCGTGGGAGGGAACGGGGTCCCCTGCCGAGGGTTGCTGCGCACCGTGGCCGAAGGAGAGCGGCTGTCTCTCCCGATATATCCGCGTGCGTCGGCTTCAGGTTAGGCGCGAGGCCTATCCGCTGTTCCATTGGGGGCAGCTACAGGATTCGGGTATCGCTGTGTGCCCACTCGGAAGCAGACCAGCCCCTGGGTCTCAGAGGGTTCTTTTCGGAAGAGAGATTGCCGTTGAGGTGATTTTTATGGCCGGCAATGCCGGAGCTGTGATCAGGCGCGTCCTGCCATATTGGCCGCCAGGCCCCGCCCCTCTGTTTTTTAGTGTGTCTTATACCAAGGACCATGAAATAATAGCCTGCTATAATAGTTGAGACATGTGATGAGTAGACATTAGTTTGTCTACTGACCAATGGCTGTCATAGTGATTCTTTTTTTTGTTGTTGGGTCATAGTGAAATTTCATTATGGAAGTGAGTTTTAGGCATCATGCAGTACTGTAGAACTTTTGCCAATAAGAATCCCATGGGCCACATATTGTGATAATTCTACGGGTATAAGCAAAAATGTCTCTTGACATATTCTCCTTGCTGAACTGTGTGGCTACTAATTGCATTGCCATCATGCTGGAAATTATTTTCTGTGTCCAGTATTTTGCAACTAGGGAAATAATATTGGTTAGGGTGTGGGATAACATCATTTTCTCTTAAAAGACATTATCTGGGTTTATATTTAGAAGTAATGTTTGAGTGCTAGAAGGTATGAAGGTGCGTGTGTTTTTGTGTGTGTGTGTGTGCGCGCGCGCAGGACATGTCCACATGAGAGAGCTACCCCTTTCATGGGACAATACTATTGATCTGTAATGTCCCCAAGAAATATAACCACCCCTACAACAGATCAGACAGTAAGAAACATGCAGTGTGACTTTTTATATATAAAGGAAAATTATATTCCAACGTTCTAGTTAGTGATCTCAAAGTTGTTAATGTTGAGCGCTATAGTATGTATTTTAAAACCTATTTCAATAGATCTATACTGTGAATCTAACAAGTTTAACACAGTCATAACCAGTGCCAGGTTTCCAATTAGGCCTAGTAGGCACCTATCCTATAGGGGGTGAAGGCGGAACAGCATTGAGTGATGTACAATGTATAACAGTTGCTGCAGCTCTGCTATTAATCACATGAGAGTGACTGGACTGTAGAAGACATTGAAGGGTGATTTGCAAAGTACTTCCCCTCCCCCACCCACCCCCATCCTAACTACACATGCGTTAAACACTCCTATTCACTAAACTTAAATTTAACCCCACCAAATAAAAAAAGAAAAAAAAAAGTGTGAGGGTGCATGATTGTATGTAGGGATTTAAAGCCTGTCGGGCTGAGCATTGTTCCGAGGCTAAGATATGTAGAATTATATTTGGAGAAGTTTGTTCCCTGACAGCATGGGGAGAATTCCAGGAGGGATTGACGCGGTGAGCGCCGTTAGTTGAAAGCCGGGTGCGCCATTTGTCCCTTGGTTTTGAGATGGTATAGGGGAGAAGGGCACGGGGACAAAGTAGGGAGATGTCTCATCAGTCTCCAAGCACGGAGTGTAGGTGTAATAGCTGGAGTTGGGGTTTGATGTGTTAGTAGTGAGCCTGTCCTATACCACAGTGCTGTTTCAATCCATCTCAAACTTTAAACACCCTTTTTAAACTAACTCTGATGTTAAACCCTCTCAAACATTAAGCCCCCTTTTGAAGTTATCTTTTCCACCTCTATATCTGCATGATGCATTTTTGGGCTGTTATTGAATTTATTCCAGGGCTGCTTTTCGGTCCCGGTCTGGCCTTGCCCTTGCAAAGAGTCACTTTTGCAAATATGCAGATGTTTATGGTAAATATAGCAACACAAGAAGACTCTGGCTCTTTTTATAAAGTAATTTATTTTATAAAGCACAAGCAAAGTGATTGGTCGCGAGAACCTGATCTCAACAGAATCTCAATAGAATAGAGTTTCGTAATGCCTGCGTTCTGGAATTGCATTGAAGAGATCTTTAATGCCACACATGTTCCAAACAGTGACTGACAGCCTAGAAAAATGAAACACATTATGAAATTTTGAATATATTTGAAATCTAACAATCTTTGAGCACAAGGTGGTAATATTCATCATTTTTCTCCAGAATTATTTTCTGTTTTTACTCAGGGCAGGAAACCTCTTATGTGTGCCAATACCTTCTTTGCACATATTCCAACCCTAATAGCTACAAATATAATTTCCAGATCTAACCATGGTTATTGGTTAATTAGTATAAACTGTACGGACTACTCCCAATTTGTCTTTCACAGTAGTAATTTTCTGCTTTTAGAAGTTGAAATTTGATGTTAATGCAGGTCAGGAATTTTTATTTTCTCCCTAAAGCTTTACTCCAATCACTATAACCACTACAGCCTACTGTAGTGGTTGTGATGTCAGGATTACCCTGGCTGCTTCCCCAGTAATGGGCCGATTATTTTGCAATGGCTTGCCCCTCAGCTAGGTCCCTGACAGGCTTCTTTGTGGTCCGGTGACATGCTTCTTGCTTCTGCAGTAGTCAGAAGCCATATACTTTGTCATTCAGTGACTGAGAGCATTAGCTAACTGCTCTCAGCTAATTACTGGCATTCTGTGCAATTAAATTCTAGTGAATTCTACTTCTAGGCTAGCTGATGGCAAACTCAATGATTCTGTCAGAGGTGGAGTTACAATTCTAGACTTTCTAGATTCAGCAGAGGAAATAAACTAATGTACAGAAATCAATGAATTGGTCATGGTGCTTGGAGTAACCTATGTTTATATCTTAGGTATTACATAAAAGTTGAAGGAACACTCCAGGCACCATATCTTAATTCAAATTAAGTTGTTATGGTGAGGAGGTCCCCGTGTGCTGGTTTACATCAAGGGGTTAAAGCATTAATGAACCATTTACCACCAGTGTTGAAGCCAAAGTCCGATTGTACTGCCCAGGCATATCCACCTCAGAACGAGGCATGAATCATAAAGCCTTTCTAGCACCATAATAACTTTATCAGAATGAAGCTGTTATGGTACTTGAAGTGTCCTTTTAATGCTGTCAGTATTTGTTCAGAAAAACAAAAAAATTAAAGCGTGGCAGCATTAAGTTCGATGGGCATGTGGGACTTATAGTTATACACACTCCCCAATAAGTTCAGTGTTCTGTGAAGTAGCTGTACACACATTAATGCTGCCTTGGTTTTAATCAGGAGAAGCCAATCATTATATGTCTGAATCAATTTTCTATTGCTTTACAGACCTATATATTAAAATCTTTCACTGGGAGGGGCAGAACCTGACCGCCGATCGGATCAGACGTGCCTTGTCTGAGCTCTCGCATCTGAGCTAGAAAATCAGAGCTAACTGCATGCCGCAGGCAGATACTGACCTACATCAGTGATCATATTATTTATCAGCCGACGGTGATCATATTATTTATCAGCCGACGGTGAACTCGGGGATACCCCATAAGTCCCCATATGGCATTGTAGTAACCTGATTGAGGCCTACCAGACCCTGAGCTGGGGTAAAACGGCTGCTCTCCCAGTTCTCCGACCGACGCTTAGCTGCACCCTCCACCCCTTCTGGACCGGTGGGGGTTATCCCGGTCCCCACGAGTAACCATCAGTGCACGCAGCCACGCTTAAGCACTCGTCCTGACAAGCATCAAGGACTATGCAGTTTCCCCAAGATGGCCGACTACCACAAGCCTCTTGCACAGTGGTGTGGGGAGCAAGCGGAACACGTGAGCTCAGGCTACGACACATGGCAAAGGCACACGACAGCTTCAGTGCCAGGTTATCTGCCCACCTTGGGCCGCCTAGAGCACCAGCTGCAGAGAGCATGCAGAGAGAAGAAAGGTGGGAGAAGAGCGGGACCCCCACTGGGCGCTCCATCCACATCTACGTTACAGCCTCACATGATGGGCCCACCAGGGATACCCTCCTGGAGTATCGGCTACTGACCCGGAGGATTCGACGCCGCAGGCAGCGATTGTCCACCAGGATCCACAGCTGTCCTCTGCAAGGGAAGAATTTGGCCTCCTACATGAGTGACCAGGTTTGTGGTCCAAAGATGCAGGCCTTCACGACGGCCCGGGGCTATGGGAAGGACTTACCTGGACTCTGCCTCTTGACACCACGCCACCCCCTAAGCCTGTTACTGAGTCAGGGCATAGGATGATTGCGTATTTGCACCCCCAAACACACAGGAGCTGAAGAGCTCGCCCATAAGTTGGACTATCCAACTAAACTCAACATGCCTGCCTCTCTCTCTGGCATTGACATACGATAGCTCAGATGGGCGCATACACACTTGGCACACCCACCGCCATACCTGTATTGGGGATATAGGGCCGAATCCATACCACATGCAAGTGTATGCTGCAGGGTGGAAACCGTGGCTTCTTGAGCCTGAAACTCTACCTTAATATATGAGCACTTCGCACATACCCACACATATTTAGCCTGCAACACTTAGTCCATCTCATGTACCAGCACTGTAGTACACTCGAAGACACTCAGCATGATTTCTAGTGTTTACTAACAATTTGTTCAGGCATACCTAGATTGACTAAACGTGCACCAGTGAACCAAAGTGGATGCCTCGCCTAGGAGTCTATCCATTTTAACGTTATTACCCGTCTCTTGTCTCTCTGCTTTTACTACTTCCGTACGGTTCCTGTTCCTATTATCATAAAATTGTGCATGTCTACTCTATTATCCCAATTATAATGCGTCAAACTCTGCTTGAGGATTGCCGTTGGGGTAGCTCAGGCTGGTCTGTTATATTCTTATGCACTGCAAAAATACAAAATAAAAAGGAAATCTTTCACTGCCTCTTCCCACTTAGACTACCTGTTTATCTTCATATTCACCCTCAACGGAACCTCCTGTGTAGCCATCCTCACTCACCTCACACTCCTTAGCATTGTCTAGGCTTTTGCACCAGTATGATGGTCCAGATGCGCAACCAGAACGCCCCTCAGCAGCAGTACTAGAAACAGGACAGGCACCTACTTCCTGCACACATGGGAACATAAGCAAAAGGGTAAAGAAAACATGCTTCCTCTCTACTCATCCCATTTTACATTCCAAGAAAACTGTGTATTATGCTATTAATCTTATTAACATTATTGGACCTGGATTTGTTGACTTGCATCTCTCAGAAGTACAACTATTCAACATCAATAAACGTAGCTTTGTTTGCTTTGGTCTTGTGTTTATACAGGTGAACATTTTCATATGGATTTCTACTATCATTCCCAGTGTTCTTGGAATATAGAGTTCTTAATGTTTTCAGCAGGTGTTAAGGCACATAAAACAAACTGGAAGTATAGACTGATTAGGAGTATTTTTGGTTGTGTTCACTAATCGTGCTGAAACAATTTAACAACAAATTTTGGGAGAGAGAGTGTGCGCATGTTTTGTTGGTTTTACCTGGCAGGTCAGCTTGGGATCCCAAGGTTTTTGGAGAATCTGGATCATTTCAATCTGATGCTCCTGCATGAATTGCTGGCACTAAACAGAAATACATTATATGTATACAATAATACATAGGAAAAAGGGAATTTTGGGCACACCCGGAGCAAGCATTTCTCGGTAATGGTCCTGCCGTAAAGACCAATATATACAAAATACAGATTAGGAAACATCCCACAGTCAAAAAAATACAGTATGACATATCACAAGGCTACTTCAGATCACATATCTCAGCAAACAAATATGGGCATTCTATATAGGTGATTTTAAGTTGTAACATTTAAATATGCATATTTTTTGTGTGCACTGTTCATTAATCCGCATTATGTTTGCAATAATGAACTTAACAGTTCTGTACAGTTTTTTTTCAGTTGCTGATCTTATTATTTCCTATTCACTTACTGCATTAAAATCCAGTTCAGGGTCAGAGCACACTCTGGTGAGAGCTGCTTTTATGTCTGCTTGGGTGGCATTTTCACCTAGGGTGGGTTTTACCAAGTGTGTGACCACCATACACATGGTACAGGTTATATCAGAGCTCAATGCCGGCTTCACGGGTAGGTCTGCAGAGATTGTTGGATTACAAAAAATAGTCATGTAATAGATCCTTTAAGCCTGAAGTAGACAACAAAATTCTGAAAACATTCTGCCCTTTGGTAAAGAAGATTAAAAGAAATCCAAAAAGCAATCATACTGTTCATTAGATCAATATTATATATTTATCATGTTACCTTTAAGATAAAAGTATTCACCCAATTCACATTCTCTTTGTTGGCATACAATGTGGGCATTATTTTTTTTTTATAAAAAGAGAACAATCAAGTCCATATTGTGGTAAAATTGTCACTGGGATGTTAGGGTGTAATTTTTTATTTTTATTTTCTCATAACCATTTATATTGTAAGATGTTTTTGCCCAAAGGTTTCATATACAGCATATTTGTAAGGTGCACTCTCTCACCTGATCCACAGTTCTCATCCGTGGAACACATAAAGATGAGTCCACACACCAGCTTGGGCCCCACTTTGTTCAGAAGAGTGTCCAGTAAAATAATGGTGTATTTCTCTACCAAGCACTGGCAGACACCGGCAATCTTTCCTGGCAGAGCAAGGCACAGTGCAGTGGCTGACTTGGCAATAAGGTCCTGTGGGCAGATGAGACTCGGTTTTACGAACTAATAGGGCTAGTTGTCATGCTTGTTGTTAAAGGAACAATCCAAACTCAATAATCACTATAGCACCCTATAGTGGTTATGGTGCCACTTTGTATGGAATCAAATAATTTTAGAATGGTTTGAGATCTTAAGTGGGTCCTGCTGCGTGCCACTCTCTGTCTTGACTACATCAACCAGAAACAAGCTGTAGTGAAACATAGAAACATAGAATGTGACGGCAGATAAGAACCATTTGGCCCATCTAGTCTGCCCAATTTTCTAAATACTTTCCCTGGCCTTATCTTATAGTTAGCATAGCCTTTTGCCTATCCAACGCATGCTTTAACTCCTTCACTGTGTTAACCACTACCACTTCAGCTGGAAGGTTACACCATGCATCCACTACCCTCTCAGTAAAGTAATACTTCCTGATATTATTTTTAAACTAATTTAAAGGAGCACTATATGGTCAGGAACACAAACATGTATTCCTGACCCTATAGGGTTAAAACCACCATCCAGCCACCCTGGTCCCTTCATGCCTCCCTAAATATAGTAACTCTTACTTGTATTCAAGTCTGCAGCTGTATGCTTTGTGCCTGTTTCCTTAAGCCTGCCCACTGCCTGCTGACATCAGAAGTGATAGCCTGATCCAATCACAGTGCTTCCCCATAGGATTGGTTGAGACTGACAAAGAGGCAGATCAGGGGCAGAGCCAGCACAATTCAAACACAGCCCTGGCCAATCAGCACCTCCTCATAGAGATGAATTGAATCAATGAATCTCTAAGAGGAAAGTTCAGTGTCAGCATGCAGAGGGAGGAGACACTGAATGTTTGGATGCATTTTAGGCAGCCATGACCCAGGAAGGATCTCTAACAAACATCTGAGGAGTGGCCAGTGAAATTAATGTAAACATTGCATTTTTTTCTGAAAAGACAGTGTTTACAGCACAAAGCCTGAAGGTAGTGATTCTACTTACTAGAACAAGTTCAATAAGCTGTAGTTGTTCTGGTGACTATAGTGTCCCTTTAAGACTATGTTCTCTTGTTGGGGTAGTTTTTCTTTTTTTTTTAAATATAGTCTCCTCCTTTACTGTGTTGATTCCCTTTATGTATTTAAATGTTTCTATCATATCCCCCTGTCTCGTCTTTCCTCCAAGCTATACATGTTAAGATCCTTTAACCTTTCCTGGTAAGTTTTATCCCGCAATCCATGAACCAGTTTAGTAGCCCTTCTCTGAACTCTCTCTAAGGTATCAATATCCTTCTGAAGATACGGTCTCCAGTACTGCGTACAATACTCCAAGTGAGGTCTCACCAGTGTTCTGTACAATGGCATGAGCACTTCCCTCTTTCTACTGCTAATACCTCTCCCTATACAACCAAGCATTCTGCTAGCATTTCCTGCTGCTCTATTACACTGTCTGCCTACCTTTAAGTCATCAGAAATAATCACCCCTAAATCCCTTTCCTCAGATTTTGATAGGACTCTATCAAATATTCTGTACTCTGCCCTTGGGTTTTTACGTCCAAGATGCATTATCTTGCACTTATCCACATTAAATGTCAGTTGCCACAACTCTGAACATTTTTCTAGTTTACCTAAATCATTTGCCATTTGGCTTATCCCTCCTGGAACATCAACCCTGTTACATATCTTAGTATCATCAGCAAAAAACACAGATCCCTGAGGTACACCACTGGTGACAAGACTTCTAATATACTCCATTGACTACTACCCTCTGTTGCCTGTCACTCAGCCACTGCCTAACCCATTCAACAATATTGGAATCCACACTCAAAGATTGCAGTTTATTGATAAGCCTTCTATGTGCAACAGTGTCAAAAACCTGACTGAAATCTAGGTAAGCAATGTCTACTGCAATCAAAAAAATTAATAAGATTAGTTTGGCATAATCTCCCTGAAGTAAACCCATGATGTCTCTGATCTTGAAATCCATGTGATTTTAGATGTTCAACAATCCTATCCTTTAACATGGTTTCCATTACTTTTCCCACTACTGAAGTAAGGCTTACTGGCCTATAGTTGCTCAACTCTTCCCTACTACCTTTCTTGTGAATGGGTACAACACTCGCTAACTTCCAATCTTCTGGGACTACTCCTGTTAACAATGATTGGTTCAATAAATCTGTTAATGGTTTTGCTAGTACACCACTAAGCTCTTTTAATAACTTTGGGTGTATTCCATCAGGCCCCATTGACTTATTTGTCTTTACGTTTGACAGATGAAATAGAACCTCTTCTTCTGTAAACTCAGAGTGGTACTGGTTATGCTGATTGGAGTGTTCCTTTAAAAAACAGCCATTAATATCATTGTTAATACTAACAGGAATAGGAATTTTCATTGCTCTGGAAGAGATACTCCTTTTAATTTTAAATTTATATTAAAGGAACCTGACCCTATAGTATTAAAACAATTTTTAGATGAAAAACTCACCTTATTTGCAGCACCACACAGGTGAGCAGGCGCTGGCTCTGCCCACACGCCGCCCCCTTGGCTGAGGTCATCAAAACTACGATCCCAGCTAATGCGGTGTGGCTAAATGCTGTGCTGCACCAATCAGAATCTCCTCATAGAGATGCATGTACTCAATGCACATCTATGGGAAAAGAACAGCACCTCTATGCAAAGTGTTGTGCAGTACTGACACAGGAAGAACCTTTTCCACTGTAGGTGTTTCTAGGCAGCAATGTAAACACTGACCTTTCTCTGAAAAGGCAGTGTTTACAGCAAAAGGCCTGCAGGGACATACAATACTCACCAAAACACCAAAACAATTACATTAAAAGAACACTATAAGGCCAGGAACACAAACATGTGTTAAAACCATCATCTGGCTCCCCTTGCCTCCCTAAATATAGGAAAATCTTACTTGTATTTAAGTCTGCAGCCGCTGCCTTCTGTGATCCAATCACAATGCTTCCCCATAGGATTGGCTGAGACTGACAAGGAGGCAGATCAGGGGCAGAGCCACCAAGAGTCAAATACAGCGCTGGCCAATCAGCAATTGGCCAATCAGCAATCCTATTGTGTTTTACACCCCACCTCCTACAGACTGTAAGCTCGTTTGAGCAGGGTCCTCTTCAAGCTATTGTTCCTATTTATAGTTAAATCTCCCTTCTTATAATATTGTAAAGCACTACAGAATCTGTTGGCGCTATACAAATGGCAATAATAATAATGAATTGAATCAATGCATCTCTATGAGGAAAGTTCAGTGTCTGCATGCAGAGAGTGGAGACACTGAATGGCAGTGCTGCTCACTGTGCAGCACTGCCCCAAGAAGCACCTCTAGCAGCAGGGACGTATTAGCCATGAGGCAAACAAGGCATTTGCCTTGGGCAGCATTTTCCAGGGGGCGGCAAAAAAAGCCGCCCCCAAATGCCCAGGGCAAATGTCTTGTAAGCCTTGCGGCTAACAGTCCAGGCAGGCGGGTGAGCGGTCGGTCTGGTGGGCAGTGCTGGCGAGGGAGCACTTCCCCTGAGCGCTCTGCTCAGCTCCCTCACGTGCAGCAGAGTGATGCCGGGAGCCGGAATATGACGTCATATTCATAATATGGTGCGCGAGGGAGCTGAGCAGACAGCTCAGGGGAAAGTGCTCCCTCGCCAGTGCCGCCCGACCACCCAACAGCCCCACTAGAACCCAGGGAGAGGGAGAACCCCCCCCCCAGCATTCCCAAAGGTAAGGAGGCTGGGGGGGTTGAATAAAAAAAAAAGTATGTGTGTGTGTGTGTCTGTGTGTGTGTGTGTGTGTGTGTCTGTGTGTGTCTGTTAGTGTGTGTGTGTGTGTCTGTTAGTGTGTGTGTGTCTGTTAGTGTGTGTTTGTGTGTCTGTTAGTGTGTGTGTGTCTGGGTGTGTCTGTTAGTGTGTGTCTGTGTGTCTGTCAGTTAGTGTGTGTGTGTGTGTGTCTGTTTGTGTGTGTCTGTGTGTCTGTGTCTGTTGGTGGTGTGTGTGTGTCTGTTGTTGTTGTGGTGTCTGTGTCTGTTGGTGTGTGTCTGTTGGTGTGTGTGTCTGTTGGTGTGTCTGTTGGTGTGTCTGTTGGTGGGTGTCTGTTGGTGGGTGTGTTGGTGTGTGTCTGTGTCTGTCTGTGTGTCTGTTGTGTGTGTCTGTTGGGTGTGTGTGTCTGTTGGTGTGTGTCTGTTAGTGTGTGTGTCTGTCTGTGTGTGTGTGTCTGTTAATGTGTGTGTCTGTTAGTGTGTGTCTGTTAGTGTGTGTCTGTGTGTCTGTCTGTTAGTGCATGTGTGACTGTCTGTTAGTGTGTGTGTGTCTGCTGGTGTGTGTCTGTGTGTGTCTGTTAGTGTGTGTGTCTGTTAGTGAGTGTGTGTGTCTGTTAGTGAGTGAGTGTGTCTGTTAGTGAGTGTGTGTGTCTGTTAGTGAGTGTGTGTGTGTGTGTGTTTGTCTGTTAGCTAGTGTATGCGTATCTGTCAGTGAATGTGTGTGTGTGTATTTAGAAGGCGGGTCAGGGGGAAGGGTTGAATGGGGGTCCTGCGTAGGATAGCACAAAATCAGGATACACCACTGTCTAGCAGCCATGTGAGGAGTGGCGAGTGGAGTTATCCCAAGGCTGTAATGTAAACATTGCATTTTCTCTGAAAAGACAGTGTTTACTGCAAAAAGCCTGAAGGGAACTATTCTACTCACCAGAACAATTGCAATAAGCTGTAGTTGTTCTGATGACTATAGTGTCCCTTTAAAGAATTAGCAAATTACATAATGATCCAGTTCAGACAAGGCAAAACCAGGGCAAACATTGCAAATGAAGAGGAGAAATGTAAATATTGTATAATTTCTCCCCTTGTCTGTATGTTTGTTCTTTGCTGACTGCCAAGTGCAAAGGACAGTTTGCCTCAATGATTGACAGGGATGCAAGATGGATGAAGCCTTTTTGCAGAATAATGAGGTGTGGATTTCTAAAATTAATTTAGTTTTTAAACCTCACAAATGCATATGTATTTAGTTTACAATTATTCTCTGGGCAATATCCACTATCTCCCACCCGATAATGCTGGAAATAAAGAAAAGTACCTGGAATCCAGCACTGGGTGAGGCTCTTCGCACTGGTTTCCATGTCCCAATTCGACATCACCACTGCCCACGCGTGGTCCAATCAAATGCTTCCCATAAAGAAGTATTCTACCTACTTAAACTGACTAGGTAGAATTGAAATTGGGCAGTCTAGAACATAGTGTACAACTAGACCCCAGCACAAAGTAGCAGATTACTCTACCTGTACAGCATCTCAAGCAGGAACTATGCACGTACAAACACCTACCACCATTTCTAAAAGCAGAAGTGGTCATGGTGGTTGGAGTAATCCTGTAAATTTGAAATTTGAAATTCTTTTTGAAATCTCTAGTGAATAACCATGCTGGTCATGAATTAGATGGATATGAATATGAAAATACAATGAAGGGGTAGCAGAAAGCAGAATTCACCTTCGGGATGGCTGCCTCGATTCGACCAATAAATGATTTGCACATCCAGCATGTTGGCAGTGGGATTGGCAAGTCTCCTTTGCCATTCTGTAATACAGAGTGAAAAAATAGTTAAACAGCACTGAGTCAAGTGACTACCCAGGTTCCCTAGTTAGATCATACCGCATTCACTTTAAGGCTCACTTCCATGCACCATTTTTCTTTGATTTTTCTACAAAAATAGCTGGATAGACATCCTTGTAGAAAGCGTCATTTTATTTATATTTAATTTTCAGCTTTCATGGTTAACAAACCAACAGATCTTTAGGAGATGAACATATGCTATTCTCATATTTAAAAAAAAATAGTAATTTTGTTTTCTTTAGAAGTTTGGTTTAAATTAACTTAAATTAACTCATTTTAGTATGTGATATAATTTGTAATTGTATAATGTCAAACAAACTTGAATTTAAGTTCCACTTATTTTATAACTCTACACAGTATGTTGTCTTTTTACAAATAATAATAATAATATGGCCTATGTTTTAGTAAGTGAGATAGGATTGAACTTGTCTCAAAGAAAATGTAATTGGAGCACGTAGCTTCTATGCAGGGGCTTTGTTTAGCTCTCCTCAGCTAGCTCATAATCTGGGAGCATTAGTTTGACCACTTACATTAACGGAGGGAGATGGGGCGGCATCAAGGCACTGCTGGCACCATAACCACTACAGTGCAATGTAGTGCTTATGGTGCTTGGACTTTTCCTTTAATGTAATCTTGAAAAAGTTCCTTACTAGAACATTTTCTCTTGATTATTTTATAATGTATTGATTTACACACCATTATTAAACATGTGATGAGGGGTGTAAGATACATGCTGCTGACTTTCAATAATTCTAATTTTTTGTTTTTGGCATCTCCATATAGTACTAAGGATAAAAAAAAAAAAAAAAAAATATTCTATGTTTTTAATACAGTGAATTAAAATGTTGCTATATGAGTTACTTCTTTTTTGCATTCAGTTTTTATAGCTCTGTTTACTAGATCTTGTTCTGTTAATGATTAAAATAAAGCTTTTTTTTGTTTTGATAAACCAGGGGATTGATTTAAAAAACAAAAAAAAACTGTAATATTACAAGTGGCCTATTTACCAAACACCAAATTTTTGTGAATTAAATCCATATGACAAACTCAAGGATAAAATTATTTTTAAAAAATAAATGAAACCTCCAACTGACTTATAATAACAGCCAGGGCCGGACTGGGGTAAAAATTCGTCCCAGGTGATTTTTAATCACAGTGGCCCACTGAGAATTGAGCGGGCCCAGTTCAGGTGTGTTTTGTCATCAATAATGACAAGCACGCCCCCTCTTGAGCATGTTGGTTCAATGCACTTCCAGGGCACACCATGCGTGGAGCTCTGCTGAAAAGCTCTAGCATGAGAAAAAGGCCCTGCATTTGTTCTGCACAGCGCAAGCAAATACAATAACATGCTTGCGCTGTGTTTGCTTGAAACTTGTCTCTGGTGTCTCTATAAATGGGATACCAGGAGACAAAAATGCCAGGAAAGAGTATTGTGCATGTGTTTGGAGCCTGCTTGTGGGATTGCGTGTGTGTAGATTGAGCTGATTGTTATTTGGTGTTTTGTGTTAATAGGTTGGTTTCAGTCGTGTTGTGTTTGTGGTGTAATGTATGTGTGTCTAGGTGCAGTAGAGAGTGTGTGTGTGTATAGGGGGCATACTGTGTATAGGGGATGTAGTGGGTGTGTGCGTAAGGGCTGTAGTGTGTGTTTAGGTGTGTATAGGTGATGTAGTGTGTGTAGAGGAGTGTGATGCAGTGTGTGAGGGGTGCAGTGTGTGAGGGGTGCTGTGTGTGTGAGAGAATGCTGTGTGTGTGTGCAGCGCTGTACCTAGGCCGAGGTTGACAAGGCATTTGCCTTAAGCGGTGCAACACCCTGGCAAATGCCTTGCGAACCTCTTGTCCTGGGGGGCCCAGGAGCTGGCCGATTGGCCCCCTCAAAGCTGGCATGCGCTAATGTTTAATGCGGGCGGCGAGGGAGCACTCTCCCCCGAGCTCTACCTGCTCAGCTCCCTTGCGCTCACCGCAGTGATGCTGGAGCTGGAATATGATGTCACTCCAGCCCCGGCATCACTAAGAGGTGTGCAAGGGAGCTGAGCAGGGAGATCAGAGCTCCCTCGCAACCCGCCCCCACCGCTCACCTGTCTACCAGATCTCCTGACCACCCACCAAGCTGCAGCCAACCCCACTGGACCACAGGGAAAAATCCACTCCAGCACTCCCAAAGGAATGAGGCCGGGTGGATTAAAACTTTTTTTAATTATTATTGTGAGTGTGTTAGTGTAGGTATTTGTTGGTGAGTGTTAGTGTGTGTCTGTTAGTGAGTGTGTGTCTGTTAGTGTGTGTGTTGGTGTGTGTCTGTTAGTGAGTATTAGTGTGTGTGTTAGTGTGTGTGTGTTGGTGTGTGTCTGTTAGTGTGCGTCTGTTAGTGAGTGTGTTAGTGTGTGTCTGTTAGTGAGTGTGTCTGTGTCTGTGAGTGTTAGTGTGTGTTTGTTAGTGTAAGTGTGTGTCTGTTAGTGTAAGTGTGTGTCTGTTAGTGAGTGTGTGTCTGTTAGCGTGTCTGTGAGGTTTAGTGTGTCTGTTAGTAAGTGTTAGTGTGTCTGTTAGTGAGTGTTAGTGTGTGTCTGTTAGTGTTAGTGTGTGTCTGTTAGAGTGTGTATGTGTCAGTGAGTATGTGTCTGTCACTGACAGTGTATATGTGTTTGTCACTGTGTGTGTATGTGTGTTTGTCAGTCAGAGTGTATATGTATTTGTCAGTGAATGTGCATGTGTCTGTTGGTGAATGCGTATCTGTCAGCTAGTCTTTATGTGTGTCTGTCGGTGAATGTGAGTATGTGTGTAACTGAGTGTAACAGTGAATGAGTGAGTGTGTATGTCTGTGAATGTGTGTTTCAGTGAAAGTGTGTGTTGGTTAAACAATGTGTGTGACAATGACTGTGTCATTTGAAAGGGGTGCTGTGTGTGTGAGAGGATGCTGTGTGTGTGTCAGAGAGTGCTGTGTGTGTGTGTGAGGATGTTGTGTATGTGTGTGAGAGGATGCTGTGTGCATGTGTGAGAGGATGCTGTGTATGTGTGTGAGAGAGTGCTGTGTGTGTGAGAGAGTGTTGTGTGTATTTTTGTGTGTTAGAGAGATTGCTGTGTGTGTGAGAGGATGCTGTGTGTGAGAGAATGCTGTACGTGTGTGTGTGTGTAAGAGAGGATGCTGTGTGGGTGTGTTTGTGAGAGAGTGCTTTGTGTGTATGTGTTTGGAGGGATTGTGTGTTGGGGGAGCCATGTTCATTATATATGTATTTTTTTATTTAAAAAAAAAAAGGCAGCATTGTATCCCCCCTCCTTTCTTACCTTATGCCTGAGAGGGGGACCGTTCTGCCATCCATGATGGTTCTAGTGGTGAGTGAACTCTAGCCTGCACAGCTAGTGTTCACTCTCGCAAGATTCGGAGCGTTGCCATGGATCTAGCGAGAGGAACCCAGTGGAGCTGCAAGATAGAGCTCCTCCGGGGTCCTCTCCTTTCTCTCTCCCCAGCCGGGATCTCCCCACCGGCCCGTCATGGAATGCATCAAGGCCGGCGCTCGCATAGCGCGGGCCCTGCGCGTGCTGACAGGGGAGATCCTGTGACCTCCCCTGCCGGCCTTGGCCCATGCCATTTGCCTGGTGTGCCCGATGGCCAGTCCTGGTCACAGCTTAGTAATTTTAACCTACATTTTGCCGATTGGGTTTAATTCACAAATAATCCGTGTCAGTAAAATGTCATGCCTAGTGTTTCCCTTTAGTCTTGCATTTCCATAGTTTGCTAAGACTGTATTTTTTTTTTTTTTTTTAATCTGGTAACCCTTCTCATTTCCCCATCAATATATCTTGAAACAAGCTATACAAGGTAAATCAGTGAATAATATGCGTTGTCTAACATTTCTCATAAATGATGATGCGGATAGTGTCCCAGTACTCATTGAATCCATTCTATCTATAGAATTTGTTGTTTTTATGGTGATGAAAATATACATGACTTTGCGATCTCAGTTTTAGAAGATCCATCTACCTAATTTTTCAAACTAACCAAATGTTTACTTTTGTATCAAGATTTGTCTGGACATGTTACTACTAGGCAAGGATCAAAGAGGCTTGCAGAGAAAGTGAGGAATGACTAAACACATGTGGTGAAAAGACCAGCAAATTCTAAATTTAGCATACATTGCTAAGATTGAGAATTGTTCTAATTTTGCTATTTTGGTCTAAAATTTGCAATCTGATTGTCAGTTTACCCAATACACTCCACTACTTGCAATTAACCTATTTTTCTGGTCTGATCACCAGATCACACCTTTTTGTAAAACTAAAATATTGCAATTTGTGGTCAGAATATCTATGCCACAGCTGTTCAAAATATAAACTCATGTCCTGATGTTTCACATTTGTTCACTTGTACGTCTTACCTGTAGGCATTTTGGTCCTGTTTAAATAAAGAATTAAAATATATAAAATAATCTATATGTAAGGTAATATGATACCTGTTTCTGGTAAGATTTTAAATAGGCATTCTGTAAATTTTCTTGTACAAGAGGTATTACAGTCTCAAGGATATGATTGGTCAGCAGCTCTGAGTTCAAGTTACTCGATTGGTCAGATGAACAGAGGGTCAGACTACTACATATAGATTGTGGATTCTGTAAAAGAAGAAACATATACAAATATCAGCTAGATATAAACAAACTAATCCATTTGTTGGACACAACTCATGGCGTAAGCAGCGAAAGAAACATAGACACATAAAAACATAGAATGTGACGGCAGATAAGAACATAAGAACCATTTGGCCCATCTAGTCTGCCTAATGTTCTAAATACTTTCATTAGTCCGTGGGAACTTATCTTCAGTCTAGTATAGCATGGAATGAACCCAGTACAAAGAGAATTGTGCTAAAGAATGTCTAGTGAAACCTTGCTTTATTTACTTTGGAGGAGCACAGATGCAATTTCATCACTATGAGTGAGTATGTTCAAATATGTTTAAGTGCATCTAAGGGAGACTTCTCAACTCAAGGGCTCAACAGATAAGAGGATTCAGAAGGAAAGTGGCTTTAGAATATTGCAGATTCCAGCATTTTTAAGCATTTTTCTTCTTGGAAGCTTCAATTTTGACTTTTGTGTAATGCTGTATTGCTGGGCATTTTACCCCCTAAACATTATATTTGAATAAAGTGTGAGAAAGGCTGACCTATGTATCTTCAGTGTATAAAAATACAATAAATGAAAAATGAAGTTATAGCTGGAAAAAAATAGGAGAAAAAAAACTACTTAAATATAAAAAATGCAATGTTTCTAAATGTAAAAAGATACACATTAAGGTGCTATTAAATCTGTATTGTTAAATTCTTCTATGAGAACATTATCCATGAGCAGGAGCTACAAATAAAGCACACATTACATAGATCTATCTAGAAAAGTGTCTACAAATTCCATAAACCATAAACCGTGAATGGGAGGCAATGTAATTAAATGAAACATTATCCATTACTAATAAAATGTCCACTTCGGAGGTGGTGCTGTCATCACTGCTGTATAATACAAGACTGCTCTAAAAACATGAGCAGGCAAGTATATAGAGTAGTAACATATACATAAATAATACAAAATTAACTAAAAACACTTACAGATTCTCCGTAACCTATATTGTTAAAACACACGGACAAAGATAACACTAAGCATGTGTAAGGAGCCAATCAGGGACAGGCCAGGTACACACTAAAGATTTAGAGGCTACCCAGAGACCTTTGCATAGTAACACAGTACTTGTTCACTGATCCAATGTGTAAACAGTTACACTATATTTATTAAGCCTTTCTTTACTTCACCACTCTTGTCAGTTCAGTTTGTTGAAGGTGTCCCAGCAGTTTACTGTGGTACAATCAGCCTCCCAGACACAACAAAGCATCCACTTCTTCACCCAAAAGGACATTCTTGGCTCTTTTAAATTTGAGTTCACTACCACTTAAAATGTTAGGATTGACAGAACAAGGACTTTATTGTCTGCATTTCAAAATGTCCTTTAACATATAATATATAATGAGATAAATTATACATTTTCATATTCATATGTACAGGCAAGGTTTATAATATTTATTACTGACTTCTTCCCAAGATATGATTCTTAAACTTATTGTGCCCAACTGTTCTTACTGTTTTTCCCTAACAGGTGGCAGATACTCACAATTTGACTTTCCAGTAGATCAATCAGGACCCCCTGGTATTGTTCTACCAGTTGGTGACATTGGAGTATAAGAGCAGAGACTGGCAGATGAGAACACTCCTTGTGAAGAAAAGTCTTGATGGTGTCCTGCCAAAGAAAGATTGGATGATAATGATTAAAAAATGTGAGATGAACATTTGATGACAGTTGTCCTTTAAATGATAAGTACATTTAATAAAACAATAACTTTTGAAATGGTGTATATTTGATTCTTAAAGAATATTTTGCTATTTTATCTGACTGAGCAACTGTTGAGTTAGACTCTACTGTTATCTAACCAACTGCTGATCAACCAAACTTGCCTGCTGCTGTGATAGCGCTACGTGAATCTGTGGCAGCAAGCAGGATAGGTTGAGCAGCAGTTGGTCAAAAACCAATGAACATTATTAAAAAATAAATAAAGAATTGTCTCAATAAACGTAACAAACTTTTAAAAAACCAAGAAGTGAAAATTTGAACAGGTGCCCTTTAGGGGAATAATAAGGCAACAGAACACAAATAGGTAAAAAAAAAATAAAAAATAAAAGATGTAGATGCAATGATTGGCCAGGTTAATAGATTGCCATTTACATTGCTAGCCTTCTGTCTTACCTGGATAGATGAAGCTTTTACCATGTTAAGTAGGAGTGTCACAATCTGCTTACACTGGACACACAGGGTATCCTGGAGAAAGACACAAATATTACATAGTAAGAGGATGGAATGAACAGGGGGCAAGTATTAACAGCTCAATTTTTTTATAAACAGAGGATATGGCAGGGATGGCACCTGCCCTGGAAGGGGGTGGCACCACTGAGCCGTGCAAGGCTGGGGATTTATTTTATGTATTTATAACATTGCCACTGGGCTGCCAGGGGAATCCGAGCTTGCAGTGTGAGGATTTGCACCTACCTGGTCTTTTTGCCACCTACCAACTCCCCTGACTAAGACTCTGCTCAGTTTAATTTTCAGCCTCTGTTCAGCTGCTGAGTTTGATTTTCAGCTTTCCTATGTACAGCTACTGAGTTAAAAATTTAGTCTTCAGAGAACTCCTGAGTTAACTGCTCATGCTATAGAGCAGGGGTGCACAAAAGGTAGATCCCCAGATGTTGTAGAACTACAACTCCCTTTATGTTTACATGTGTTTTGAGTGCTTTAGAATGACAAAGCATCATGAATCTGTAGTTTTAAAACATCTGGGGATCTACATTTTAAGGCACCCCTGCTATAGAGAAATGCTATGTACTGCGGAAAACTAAGTGCACGTGCAAAGTGTAGACAGAAGATAATAATCGGATTAAATTGAAATGTATAAGGACAAACTGAAGTCATGGCGAGCTAATAGAGCCTTTGTGCAAATCAGAAAATAATGACTAATCTGCTTTGTATCTAACGAGTAATATTGGTGGCTTTTCTCTTTACCTCTCCTTCTTTCCACACAGCGTCCTTGCAGTGGTCGATTGCTCCACATTGAGCGGCTGTCACCAGATCCTGACACCAGAACTCGGGGCCCTGGGAGCATCCATCCTTTACTATGACCTTTGCAGAGACAGCTGGAAGAACATTTGTAATCAAGTGATACAACGAGCTACTTTATAAGAAACAACTACGGATCTAGGATTAACTGAAATACATCCATCATTGAGACTTTTGGATATAGATGGATTCCCCAAGAAAGAATCTGATGCAGGACTCTCCAATAGTGGCAAGCAGTAACTTGCCACTATTGGAGTACAGTACTCTGTAGAAATACTACCCTATGACTGTCAGTCATTCAACATTCATTTGTAATCTCACACTAGCAGGGTTATTTACTAAAGTGAGAAATCACAGTGAATTTCATATTAATGGTTAAAATAGCTGAACTGGAAACAGGCTTTTATCCAGCTATGCTTTTAGTTTGACTACTGAGACCTTAAACTTGGAATTTAATTTAAATTAACTTTAAATTCGTACCTTAGTAAATAACCCTGTAGCTAATTACTAGCACTGGCATGTTACCAACTAAAATGTTTTTCCTTTCATATTCATGAATTAATAAGTTATTTGTTATCAATGCTGGAAGATCAATGTTTCAGGCTGAATGTTTTCAGTGATTACATTGAAAGAATCACCTAGAGAGATATCAATCACAATCACTGTAACAGCAATTAGATTTACACATATTCTGTAGCACTGCACAGGAAGGTTCCAAACACAGACTGCAAATATGAACATTCATTAAGAAGGATAGAGGAACAGTTGCTCATATACTCTAAAGACAATAATCACAACAATAATTTCAGGAGAGAAAGAAAGAAAAGAGAGAAAAGAAAGAGAGAAAGAATGAGAAATAATTGTTAGCCAACCAATAATTTGCACAGAGATAGTTTATTCTACTATTGAAAAATAAAGTTACTGCTTTATGTAATGTAGAAGATATACCTATGTAACAAGTGGTGCAGAAATCATTAACTGTTTAGCTAATGAGTTTATCAGTCCCTAGCGAGTTGGGGGATACCTACCCTACATATACCTGAGCGTTATCCCATAAGAGACTGCTCTTCTGTGCATTTATAAGTGAGATCCTGAACAAAGCCCTTACCTGCAATCACACAAAAAGCAAATACCCAAATGATGCGTGAAGGTTCCATGTCTGCGTGTCGTGTAGAGTATAGCGTGCTGTGATTGTCCTATATACCTGAGCAGGAGGAAGGGGTTATGTCAAGGGTCCACCCATTAGGGCTGTATCATTCCTATTTTACTGACTCACTGGGACTGAGAGCATGAGATGTGCAAATATCCCCTGCTATTTGTGTGCTACATTGCGTTATCCTATTCTTTTACTGAAATCACACACTGTGCTGTTACTGCATCCCACATTCCTCCCTGCTGTTCCTGTACTGAATACATACAGTGATCTGCCACTGCACCCCACATTCCTCCCTGCTGTTCCTGTACTGAATACATACAGTGATTTACCACTGCACCCCACATTCCTCCCTGCTGTTCCTGTACTGAATACACACAGAGATCTCCCACTGCACCTCACATCCCTCCCTACTATTCCTGTACTGAATACATAGAAAGATTTGTCAGTGCACCACACATTCATATCTCCTATGACTGTATTTGACGACACATTAGTCTGACACAGCACCTACTAGACCCTACATCCCTTTATGGTCTAATTTCTGTCAACTTTAAATACTCCCTGCAACAATCTGCCAACCTTCCATTATTAAATACAGACTGCATGCAGAGGTGTCTCTAGAGTTTCTGACACTGTAGACAAAACTTAAATTATGATGTGTGTAGTATGTGATATATGTGATGTTAGCAGGGCTGGAGCTACCATAAGACGCCACAGGCAACCATCTTAGAAGGGTGAAAGAGACACAAAAGGGAACTGAGAAGAAGAAGGAGGCACACGAAGAGCTGGGAGGAGAAAGAGACACTAAAGGGGATGTAAGACACAAAGGGGCAAAAGGGGGCATAAGATACAGTAGTGTAGGGGGATAAGATACAGTAAAGGTGGTAAGACATTCAAAGCAGGATAAGAAAAACAAAAGGGACTAAAGGTGGTAAGAGATAACAGGTGAAGAAGCAATGCATCTTGCCTGTGTAACCAAAAATCGTTGCACCAGTCCTGGATGTGTATGATATGTGTATTGGTTGCATATGGACATGTGGTCAGGGAAGGGCTGGCAGCCTTAGGCCTAGGGGGCAAATCCAGTCAAGTGGCCCATCGCACCACAGAATCAACTCACCATTCATGCCCACCTTTTCCTGGTTTTATAACGGATATTGATGTCATGAAGCAAGGCAAATATGATACAATGTGGTTTATGTGGGGGTGATGGTGAGTGGTAATGCTGTAAAGGGGGTGGTAATGGTGTGAGGGAGGGGGTGATGGTATGAGGGAGGGGGGGTAATGGTGTGAGGGAGGTGTTTGTGTGAGGGAGGGGAGTGTTTGTGCAGAGGGACGGGGTGTTAGTGTGAGGGAGGGGGGGGTGGTGGGGAGGGGTGTTAGTGTGAGGTAGGGTGTTGATGCGAGAGGGGGGTGATGGTGAGAGGGAGGGGTGTTAATGGTGTGAAGGAGGTGTGGTAATGTTGTGAGGGGGTGGTAATGGTGTGAGGGAGGATGGTGTTGGTGTGAGGGAGGGGTGTTAGAGTGAGGGAGGGTGGTGTTAGTGTGAGGTAGGGGGTGATGGTGAGGGGTGGTGATGTTGAGAGGGAGGGGTGATGGTGAGAGAGAGTGATGGTGAGGGGGTAGTAGTGTGAGGGAGGGTGTCATTTGAGAGGGAGGGGGTCATGGTGAGAGGGATGGGGTGATGGTGTGAAAAGGGGGTGATGTGTGAAGGAGGGATGTGATGGTGTGAAAGAGGGGGGTGATGTGGTGTGAAGGAGGGGTGATGGTTTGAAGGATGGGGGTGTTGGTGTGAGGGATGAGGTGATGGTGAGAGGGAGGGGTGATGGTGGTATTAGTGTGAGGGGGTGATGGTGAGAAGGAGGGGGTGATGGTGTAAAGGAAGGGGTGATTGTGTGAAGGGGGTGATTGTGTGAAGGAGGGGGTGTTAGTGTGAGGGAGGGGTGGTGATGGTGTAAGGGAGGGGTGAGATGGTGCAAGGGAGGGGGTGATGGTGAGAGGGAGGGGTGTTGGTGTGAGGTAAGGGTGGTGATGGTGAGAGGGATGAGTGGTGATGGTGAGAGGGTGATAATGAGAGGGAGGGGTGATGGTGAGGGGCTATTAGTGTGAGGAGGGGTGTGGTGGTGAGAGGGAGGGGTGATGGTGTAAAAAGGGGGGTGATGGTGAAGGAGGTGGGTGTTGGTGGAGTGTGAGGGGTGATGGTGTGAGGAGGGGGGTGATGGTGAAGGAGGGGGTGATGGTGTGAAGGAGGGGTGAAGGAGGGGGTGTTGATGTGGAGGGATGGGGATGAGGTGAGAGGAAGGGGTGATGCTGAGAGGGAGGGGGTGATGGTGTAAAGATAGGTTGTGTGATGGTGTGAAGGAGGGGGTGTTGGTGAGAGGGAGGGGTGTTAAAAATGTGTGGGAGGGTGGTGATGGTGAGAAGGAGGGGGGTGTTTTTTGGTGTGAGTGAGGGGGCAATAATGTTTGGGAGGGGGGGACTACAGACCTTCTGTCCCTTCCTGGTGGTCCAGTGTGAGCTCCCTGGTGGTCCGGTGGTGATATCCGGTCTGCAGCTCCACAGTGTGCAGAGCTGCAGACCATATCTCACAAGATCCGGTAACCCGCGGCAACGCTCTGATTTGCCAGATCTCACAAGACACATGGTCTGCAGCTCTGCACACGGCGGAGCTGCAGACCAGCGCTACGGGGGCTCTCGGGCAGCCTGGAAGGGCCTCACACCCGGCGGCATACTGAACAAACCGCCAGGTCCTCTCCTGGGGTCGGGTGACCGAGGACCCGACACAGTCTGCCCTAAGTCGGTTTAGGCGGCCTAAACCGCTTAATTAGAAAGCCGCCTGCGACTGTTTTTAAAATAATTTAGGGTGGCCTGGGGGGCAATTGCCTCCCTAACCCCGTCCCAGCCCACCCCTGCATGTGGTGTGGGTGATGATTTTGTGTGATAGCTCCATAACCACTACAATCCCATAGCCCCATACTCAATTAAACATTTCCAGCCCTAACCACATTACAATCACATTACCTTATCATCACCAACAATCGCATCATGTACAGAAGCTCCTCAGTACCCCTAAACCTCATCACCAGGGATACCATTAGAATTTTTCACTGGCTGGCTCCTTGCCACTCTCCCAGAGAGAGATACACACTCACTGAGACACCATAGGCTCCCAGAGGGAAATACACATTCATAGACATGGACATACCTTTCAGACACACTTAAAGTATACACACAGTTATAGACACACACAGGTACACATAGTTACACACTGCTAGACACACACATACACCTAAATACACATTGCCAAGCACACGCAGATACACATTACTGCACACACACAACAGTGGCATCTCTAGGATTCATAATTAGGGGGGCACATGGTGGGCCAGGGACAAAAGTAGGGGAGCAGTTATAAAACGTGCGCGTGTGTGTGTATATATATATAAGTAAAGACAGGAGCACTCTCTCGTTTCAACCCTCCTGGGTCTTTATCAAGATGATAGTGAGTCACACACACACAATCCCAATATCAGATGCACTTAGTTATACACATACACTGTCAAATACAGCCACATGCACAAACTTCCATGCACATAGTCACACACACAGTTACAGGTATATAGTCAAACAAACTGTTATAGGGAGTCACAGTCAGATACAGGCAGACAGTCACACACACACACGTACAGGTAGCCACACATACAGTTAAAGGTAGCCACATATGCACACACAGTTACAGGTAGTCAGCCACACACACATAGGTACAGGCAGTCACACGCGGTCACAGGCAGACTCATACACACAGGTACAGGCATCACACATAGTTTTGGGCAGTCTCACACACAGTTATAGACAGTCACACACAGCTACATACAGACGGTCACACACACAAACACAATTACAGACAGACACACAAAATTACAGACACACACAAAGTTACAGACAGTCACATACACAGTTACAGACACACACAGTTACAGGCAGTCACATACACAGTTACAGACAGACACACACACACACACACAGTTACAGACAGTCGCTCTCTCTCACACACACTCACAAACACACAGTTACAATCACACAATCACACATACAGGTACAGGCAGATATACACACAGTTACAAACAATAACACACACAGTTACACACAGTCACACACAAACACAAGTACAGGCAGTCACACACAAACACTGGTACAGGCAGTCACACACAATTACCAGTTTCCATTATGGGCTGGAGGGGGAGCAGGGGCACTGGAGTCCCTGGTGTCTAGGTGTTGGGGAAGCAGGGACTCCTTCCTGCTTCCCCCTCTGTGTCCACAAGTTCCCAGACAGCAGGTTCCAGCCACATGCAGCTCCCCCTTTTCCCCACCCCCCGCTGCCCATTTAGCTCTGGCCGCATCGCAAATTTCAAATGTAGCCCTCTTCCGCTGCCTTATCTCATAGATCTGGGTGGAGGATAATGAAACCCTCCCCCCAGGTGCCGTGTAGTACATGCTGCATGGTCACGCTACATAGTGCAACCTGCATTATAGGAGAGCTCTGTGCGCTCTCTAGTGCAAGAGTGGTGAAAAGATAGATGCCTATCTGTTGTATGACTCCCTCTATGCCATGCCAACTGGGTATCTACCATTTGCACATCCTTGCAAGGTTGCATTTGTATGCAGTGTTTTTGCATTTTAATATAAGCACTTTTTTGATAGAGTGCCAGTGTGTGTTTCTGAGTGTGTGTGTGTGTGTATCTGTGTGTATGTGCCAGTGTGTGTATCTGTGTGTATCTAAGTTTAGTCAATGTGTTGTAGAGCTGCCCTAATTTATTGAAATTGGCCTTTTTTTAATTATACGTTTTAGTATACCCTACATGCTTTTGAGTTTATTTTACAAATTTAATACAAATACAAAAAGATAAGTCCTGCGCTCACTCCCATCACTACTGGGTGGCAGCAACAACCACATCACACATCAGCCCCAATATATAGTAAAAACCAAAGAAAAAAAAAAGTTTAACCCCTTAAGGACCAAACTTCTGGAATAAAAGGGAATCATGACATGTCACACATGTCATGTGTCCTTAAGGGGTTAAAGGCGGGCATTCCCTCCAACGGCTATTGGAGTAACTAAATGATTTTGTCTAAATATACATAGGGATGCAG